TTTCCTTTCTCTCAGTTCCATTTTCCAATTTTTTGTTATCCACCGTCACTTTCTCACTCTAACTTCGCCTTTTGAGCCACTTCCTGGAACCACTTTGGCCGTGGTGAGCCAATTTTGACTAATGTGCTAATGGGCCTGACACTCATCTTCCTCTTTTTTTCTATCAGATGCCCAAAAACGTATTCAGCGCGGATGTCAAGGTTGTCGTAGTCAGAATGGTCCTTCGAGGAATGCGGTTTCATGACATCATCACTACCCTGGGCATGGGTCTCTCCCTGACCTCAGTTCGCCGCTGGTTTTCTCTGTATCAGCGGACTCGAGCTGTGGTAACCAACCCAGTGGACCACATGGCTCAAGGTGCTCCTGCGAGTTTGGGACAAGCTGAAAAGAATTTCATACTCGACTCCCTTCGTCTCGACCCAACTCTTTACCTAGACGAGTTACAAACCAAGCTGTTTGATACTTTTGGCCTACGAGTGACCACTATGACGCTATCGAATGAGCTACGTAATTGGCTTCGCTGGACACGAAAAAAATCCAGGACGGTACACCCAAACCGATCAGATGAGGCTCGAGGTGCTTACATAGAGCGCATTCACGACATCGACCCCAGGTGCCTAGTGTTTACAGGTACTTTTGGTTCTACGCATGCCCAGTTCATATTTGTATCTGAAACACTGATCATCTGTTTTCACATTCAAACAGATGAGAGTGCCATCAGCAAACGTCGACTATATCGTGACTATGCACGAGCTCCTGTTGGTCAAAGAACCTCTCGACTGCAAAGGCCAACAGCGGCCGTTCGTTTTTCAGTACTCCCTGCGATATCGATGGATGGGGTCCTCGCATGTAAAGTTCAGACAGGTGGTTATTCCCGCATTGATTTTGAATCTTTCTTGGAGGAAGATCTAGTTAGTTATTTCAGAACTCCCTGTCTCGCTTTTTTCTTTTTTTTTGGGATCTCATGAGTCACTTCTTTTCCAGTTGCCTGCAATGAACCCATGGCCGGCCCGGAACTCCGTATTGGTCTTGGATAATGCGCCAATACATCATGGAGGCCGTGTTGCTGAGCTATGCGCACACCGAGGGGTTCGTCTGCTATATCTTCCGCCTTATAGCCCCGATTTCAATCCGATTAAAAAAGGCTTTTCAATCCTCAAAGCCCGATTGCGAAGAAGCCAAATTCTCCAAACCGCTTTGAATTTGGCAGAGGAGAAGGCGGGTATTTTCATTTCAACAATGAATGTTTTCTCTGAAACGCTTTGTACTGCCCTTTTTCGCGGGTGTGGTTATTTGTAAACCATTCATTTTGGTGTCTCTCGCCCAAGCCAGATTGGGGGAGTCTCTGTGTGGTTTTGTCCCTCATGTTTTCAAATTGTTCTTCGCAATAAACATATTGATTTTTTGATCACTTGATTTAACATCGTGAAACATAAAAGTGAACTTTTGTGAGATGAGAGAGACCATGAATCGGTTTGTAGCCACATGAGCTACAAACCGAATTGTAGCTTGTACCAAAAATTCAAAGAACTACGAGGTTCTTCAGGTTACACGTAGAAGACAAATAGGACAAAAGTTCTGATTGAAGCGGAACTTTGGCTTTGTCATTATATTGAGAAGTTAAAGATTTCCAAAAGTGATTCAGATCGTTCATGTCTGAAAGAAGAATGTAACCTAAAAAACACGAAGATCTTCGAAGATATTCATTGATGATCTTCTCGGTCACACGGAGCAGACCAATCAAGTGTGAAGGTTCGAATGAAGATCAGCTCTTTGGTATTCATCATGAAATTACTCGGATTCATAGAGGTTATAATCCGAGTAGTTTCATGATGATTGGCAAGGCTCTGAGGGTCAAAAGGATGGACAGATAACATAACTTTGCTTTTCACGGACATCGCCAACAATATTTGGGGAGAGGACTATCACAAAACTCGCACACAAGAAAGATTCAAGACAAAATATCGGTGAGGTCCTATGAGAGACAGTCGATTTCGGAAAGAGACACAAAAAGGGATTGAAATAGAAGATTGGAGTACCACTCAAGCGATTTATATCGCCTATATTTGTAAAGCCTGCTTACATCAAGTTTATTTTTGGAACCATTCATACCGATTCAGGGAAGTAAGGAACAAGGTAAAAGAAAACATCTACTACAAATGCATATGTATGACTTTATATTAGTCACTCGCATTGTGTTGAAGGGAAGCTCGGATTCATTCTGTGAGAAAAAGTTTGTTTAGTGGTCCCGCTAGAAGAGCTCGGGGCTGGAAAGATGGGCCACGTGCCATGACTGACCACGTGAGCGCATTTGGCGAGCTTGGGCCCCCGCAAGGAGGCGGCCAGTGATGGCTTGGGCAATACCGCGGCTGATTAAAGAAGACTCGGTCATTTGGGCTGAGGGAATCAGGTCGGTCCAACTCTCAACGTGCATTTTAGCCAAAGTCAATCGGGTGTTGATGTCCTCCGGTGGAATACCACAGGACATCAAGAAGGTTTCCAACATTGCCTCAGGAGCCATCACCTCAATGCCGTCCGAGGTTGCATCTGAGAGGACGGTCGAGCTGTCTTCTGAGTCGGAAACCCATACGATGTTGGGTTTAGATTGACCTGGGATTGGCAAGAAGAAAGCATGTCGTGCAAAAAATCAAGGTCAGTGATACAATCACCAGGTCACATGCAAATTGAACAATTGGCCTGACCTTGTTCGGTTTTGACCTTCTTGGTAGGATTCTCGGCCTCAGCGGTGGATCCATTCACCGGAGCCGAAGAACCTCCAACAGGAGCAGGAACGGTGGGGACATGATCAAAGAAGGAGCGTTTACTACCTACTTGCCCTTGTACAGCCCAAGCGGGCAGGCGAGCTTCAGCGCGGTCACGAGCGCTCATGGACTTGTGAAACACTCGTCCCTTGATCATCTCGCGAATATAATCAGGCGTGTAGGGCGCAATGGCTCGAGTGGTCATTCCGTTGGCCTGGAAGTCAAGTAAAGTGATGCAATACCAACAGTCTTCAGCATAGCCTTGGCAGAATGGAGTCTAGATTGGTCACTTACCTCCTCTTGAGCCCAAATGTAAGCGCATCTCAAAGTGAAACGATATTGAAACATTGGATCCCAAGGCGCGACCAAAACTGCACCATCCCCTCCAGAAGATGATTCTTCCGCATGCTGATGAAAGATGGCAGCAGTCGCCTCGTGTAAAGCAACCATACGCTCAGAAGCCTGGTTGATAATCACCCAAAGATCGTTAGCCGCAAAACGATGAGATCCAAGAGAGAGATTGTTAGAAATGGGAATTAATGTGACAAACCTCTGCGCGCGCATTTGCCGCGTCCAAATCTTGACTAGCAGGTTGAGTACCACCAGCTGAAGCGATGACCTTTTTGGCCTGAGAGGCCTGTGAAGCATAGAACAAGAGATATCAGTCAAACTGATAGGTAGGAAATGCAATTCGGAATGACTTACTAGCGCGAGTTTCTTGGCCTTAACGGCCTCATTTTCAGTGAAGATCATAATAGTACCTTCCTTTTTCTTTGATTTGTTCAAGTTGTCAACATACGATTGCCAGGTCTGGATATCTTTGATGACCACCTTGGACCGACCAGTCACACCTTTCCATATACAGAGAGGAGCTAGATCACTCTCCAGGATCAGGTGTTTCATACCATCCGAATATTAATCACAAACATCGGCACACATCTTCTTGAAATCATTGAATGATTTCCCGTAAAGACAGCTCTTCATTTCGATTACATTACCATCGTTGAAGATTTTCGAGTCGACTACATTGACCTTGGGAGTAGCTGTCTTACGAGTGGTGGTGACGCGAGTGTTGCTGGGCGGGGTGATTGTGTCAGCCTCATCATTGGAGTGGATCTTGAAATACACTCCAATGGTGAATTCGTGAGACTTGTCGAAACGAAGGCAAGAATCCGAACCAAGTCGAAATAGCGGCTCTTTATGAAAACGTGCGGGAGCATCATCTCCCTCGTAAATGGTTGATATAGGCTCAAACACTGAGAACAAATCAGTTATCGGAGATGGGCATGGTAGATGAAGAGGAGTGTGAGGATTATCTTACATGCGTTCATATGGCCAGTCACTGACTCCTGTGAGTTGGTGACGTTGAGGTTACTTAATCCAGACATTTCTGAAGTAACACAAAATGAAGAGAAATGAGGTTACTGCTGAACAAGGAAAAAGCGAAGCAGAGGGATGACTGACTATTGCTATATTGATGACTAAATCGAACAAGCTGCATACAAAATAAGCGAGCGAAAAGGTAAGGAATTGGCTTATAACCCAAAGAAACAAGAGAGATATATTGGGATAATATAACTGACTATAGACGAGTTGAACTTGAGTGGAAATTGATTTGGAAAAGATGATATTTAGCAAGTGAACCGAAAGACAGGCTTGACTAGTGGATTGCTTGAGGTGGGAGGTTGGTAAGTTCATCAGTCTGTTCTTATAGCAACCAAAGACCAAAGAGATGACGAATTTTTGAGCTTACTTGGAAATCTGCTACGAGAGACTGGAAAATCTACAACAATCGAATGGCAAAATCCGCAGAAACGAAGGGCAAAACGCCAGAGTTTGTCAGAAGAACACAAACGTGAGTCGGTTGTGATCAAACAGGCCAAGAAGCTCCGAAACGAGCTTGAAGTCTCAATGTCGATTAAGATAGAGTTGTTGGTTTTCGAGATAGATTGATATCTTGAACTCAGGTCAGGTGGTCTTGATGGCAAAATTCGAGATTGAAAAAGCCTTGGGAGTCTTAGGAGCCAATGAAAAACACGACGAGCGTCTTGATTCCTGGCAGATTGGTTTGAAAAGTTGGGATGAATCAGGCGCAACCTCAAGAACGTGGTCGAAGTCTCCAATTTGAACAAGATAAAGTTGATGGATTTCGAGATAGATTGTGATCCAGAAGTGAGGTGAGGTGGCCTTGAAGGAAAATGTCCAGATTCGAACAGCGTTTGGAGATTTGGGAGCCAAATGAAAGTCGTATTCGAGGGTGACAAGGGTCCAGCTGGATTCCTTGGAGATTGGGTTGAAAAGTGTCGTGCGTAAGGGGCGGATAGCGATTACAATTTGGGATATGAGAATCCAATGAAGGCTGATATTGAGAGAGTTGAAACCGAAAGTTGGTAATAAGGTTGAGCGATTTGAAAGATGATGTGAAAAGAGATCAAACAATTGAACGACTCAGATCCATGACGGACTGGTCCCTAAAGCGAGGTGGTGTGAAATGGACATGCGTGCTATGTAGGTGGAGGTCGTGATGTCGTGGGGCATGGAATCAAAGGAGAGGATGTTCGGCCAGGTTCAGCCCAAGGCTGTCAAACGCCATTGAGAAAATACGGTTGAAAATGAGTTTTGGACTTTGGAATTAAATCCCGTTGTAACACATTTACATGTGTTTCTACCGTTATTTCTTTTAACAGCTGTATCTCTCAATCCGTATTGTGCTCAGTATCTTCTTCCTCTTTACTTGGTTGTTTTAAATTTGTATGGTACTTCATCTTATTGTTCTCTTCTCTTTTCACTGCTCCTGCTAATATTTTGTTTCTAGGCTTCAAGTCGGTTTTCCAAATCTAATGTCTACTTCCAACTGTTGGTCGGTCACTCAATTACTTTATCGCTAGTGTCTTCCAAACGTTTCCGTGAGTCTTTTCTTCATTTACTAGTCTCATCCAGATCAATCAATCAATCCTCAAGCAACTCTTTACTTTGTTATCCTATCTTTTATTGGTCAGTTCATCATTTCCTATTCTTATCTCTCGTCCTATCTTAAACTAACAACAATACTCTTTTCTCTTCACTTGTTTTGGCTCGATCGATCATCTTCTTACTTCTTTTCTCATCATCAACTTCTTACTTTAGTTTTCACCTCGTTTGATCAATTCAGAAGGCTTTTAACCATTCCTCCTCTATTATCTCAGCAAGTTCTTCTTTTGATCTACTAGTAAGTTTTAAATGTCCTTCTTTCTTTCTTTCAATCTCATAACTTTAACTAATCTGTATTATCTTTTCTTGATCTTCTTTATTTCTTTTCTGCATCCACTTTTCTTTTAGATTGATCGCTATATAAGTTGATCCCCCTTCCTTTCTCTCTACTCTCTTCTCCTATTTCTCATTCTCCTTCCTACTACACCTATGAACCCTTTTGTTAAATCTAAACTCCCTTCTTATTAATTTTTTTTTTGATTTTTTGTGATTTTCATTATAGCTTCTCTCTATTAATTTGTAAACTAAAAATCCCTATGCCTCTTTATTTTATTCTCAATAATGTACCTTTGAGATTGAAATCAAATTGAAAGAAAATAAAAAAACTTGTCATTAACTAAAGATAAAGATGGCTTCACTCGGGAGAAAAAAGTGAGATGGTTGAGGTATAAATATCTCACCACAACAGGTGAGCCATTGGACCAGACTGCTTGCCTGTTCATGCGGTGAAATGATTTATATGGTCACGGTGTAAGCCTCTTTGGACCAGAAGACTTGTATGGTCATGGTATGAGACTTTATGAGTCTTCTCGCCTCATCATGGTATGAGACTTCTTGCACCATGACCATATGAGTCTTCTCACCTGATGAACAGGTGAGCAGTCTCATCCAATGGCTCACCTGTCCATTATATGAGGATTCTCACCTGACGAACAAGTGAGAATCTTCATATAATGGATGGGTGAGTCATCACCTTGTGGACACATGATCACATCAGGTGTTGGCCACCCTGAGTTTCACCTGAAATCAAATCAGTGTGGCCTCAGGTGGAGAGCCCGGGATTTTTTGGCAGAGGACCATTTCACCTGATGCTCACCTGCCAGCCGCCCTGTGGTGTAGTGGGAGAATCCTGTTAACTTTAACTTCCATCACCAGGTTCTTATATGTGTTGATCTTGTTTAGGTACTAACATGTGTCCTACCATGTTTCCATGTTTCTTTCTTTTACTAACTTTCTTGTTTACTTGCTCAGACTTCACTATCTGTTTTTTTGTGCAATAAAAATGAAATCTCAAGGGATGTGTAATAGGCATATTATATGCTGGTACCGGAGGTCTGTATCATCAAAGTCTCAGAAAATTCTTCTCAGACAACTTATCAAAATTCCCCCCCCGCCCGAGTATAGTCGAGAATCGAGATAGATCCGGTGCTCCCTCCGAAGACGCCTTCGACCAACCTGAACTCTTTCCGGAAAGTCCGGAATGCTTTATCCATCAGCCTCCATCAGCCCGATTGGATTGCACCCGAATTCTCTCTTGATTTTTCAATGCAATGGACGAATGGTCTCTACTGCGATTGAATGGCAAACGGTGACCTTCGCCCACCCTCCAGAAGCAACACGAGGGGACACGTTCAAGGGTAACGCAGTTAGGCCCGTTGACAAGCATCTTTTTTCGTACATGTACTGCACCACATGATTTATAGATGATTCAGTTTTCAAAAGGCTCTATAATCCATTCCCACCACAAGCTTTACATCCCAGACATCTGCGCATCATCATCTCTCGAGCACATTCCCAGCGCGAAAATGAATTTCTTCAATAACCACTATGTTATGATTATCTTTGTTGTTTTGAGCCTTGTAAATCAAAGCAAACAGGCTGACCCTGTGGATGTGGTCTGCATATCCGACTTTTCATTCACCACAGAGACCGATAGGACAAGTCAGTGCAGCTTTTCTGGCGGGGATCACGAATCCGTCACATTGATTTTGATATATTGTGTGCTGACGTACATGTCTTGAACTGGTCCATTAGCTTGCGATGGCTACATTTTCCATAACAATCAATGCCACCCGGAAAGTAAGTCATCTTTGGTTACATAGTGTTCTCGATCTGTAATCAGCAATGGGCACTACTGACGTTCGGTGAATCACATTAGCGCCAGGTCAACCTACTGAGGGCACCGATTGTAAAGATCTCAGCAACTCACCCGTCCAAGGCGTCAAGTGCGTCTGGTATACAATTCAGGGGAATCAGTATGGTGAGTAAACAAATTTTTGCAGATGTTGGATTTTGGATGGACGGATGCTGATGTCTCAACACTTGATATCTATGTGACTTTGTATGATCCAGAGTGTAAAGACTTCGACTCCACAGACAACACAGACATTAAAAAAACATACTTTTGTAACGGTTTGAAGAGCCCTGAACGTGAGTCAGCTTCAAATATCTCTCAACCATTGTATGATGTCCTAAACAATTATCATCGTCCAAATCGTAATCTTATAGGTTGTTCTGGTGTCCCGTTGCCCTGAGGATGATACGTTAAAATTCAAAAAAATGTACACACGACTGATCATATCTGAAACGATGGGGTAAGAACGATTCAATCTAACGACAAGACTATCACAAAACGATACAAGTAAACTCTGTCAAAGTCGCGCTACTTCAACCTTTCTCTTCATTCACTTGCTTAGTCATTGAGGGCTATCAGGCAAGAATCATGAACTAAACTTTGAGTTTGATGTTATAAGACTAGCTTGTTCTGTTGCATTCTTGTGTCTCTCTTCTATTCCCTTTCAGTTTTGTTCTCAGTCTGAAAAATCAAAAATGAAATCAAGTTGGTAACAAGATCAATTGATCAAGAGGGAGATCTCTGATGTGAAGTTATCGTGGCTTTTGTAAGATGATCAGAACTTGGAAATGGTACAGTGGTCAAAAAAGTGGATGTATTGAGATTAGGTACTCTGTTTAGTTTTGCATCAGAAGAAAACCCTATTTACTGATTTGATTTGAGATGATCTACTAATTAGTCAAAGGTCAATGCATGGTAGAATGACAGTCATATAAGAAGATTACTGAATGGGGAATAAATGTGATTGGCAAGAGGTACTCCTATCTCCCATGAAAGCAAATGACAATGCCATCTCTTTATCATGATTTATTGGTATGAAGAGGTCCAGTCCACCCAATCCACCCAACCTCAATTCAAAGCAAGGTTAAATGTCCCCAAAAATGCTGATAGAGAGATCAAAAGAGTAACAGTGATGATTGAGACCAAGAACAAGGCTAGATCAAGATAAGTTAAAGGAATAACATGTGGATGATAAGTGAGTCCAATAAGAGTTATATATCTAGCGGTGTTGGTGCAATATGTCACCAAATAGAGACCTCATAAGGCAGCCAAGCAGGCCATCAAATGGAACCCCTCAATGCTGAGACAAATTAGCTGAAAGTTGAAATCGCTTCAATCTCCACCGCGCTTTCACACACTCACATTCAAGGGAACCTGTCATCTATGCCAGTTGAAATTGGAGAAATGATCCTGAACAACATTCCAAACAAAAATGATGATGATCTTGACCTTTGAGGTATTCAAAAGTTTCAAAATCCAAGCTGCAGTCAGTAAATATGCCTGAAAATTCCTCTACCCATGTTCATCCACAACCAATTGCACAAAAATTATATTTTCTGCTTTTGCGTCCAATATCATGTCTATGTATGATCATATACTTTGCTTACACTACTACTGCACTTGTCTGTAATTTCAAAGGTCTCCCCTTGAAAGAGATTCAATAACCTGCCTCTGCCAATTGTCCATTCTATCAGTTGTTCTCTCCTTATCTTTTCCAGGTAATTTGTTTCCATTATTGTCATCCTATTGTATCCTTGATCTGAATTCCAGCCCTGAGATTTCCACAGTTTTACAGTCCATAGATTGTGGTTCACACTTGACAAAATCATCAGAGGACATTCAGTTCATGTCAAAAACATTTGGTGGAGAGTCACAGACCATCTAGATGACCATAGAGAATGGTTGGATATGGGGGAAAGTAGTCAAGATCCATCTCGGAGTTCACAGTGGGATCTCAAGTCACAATCTGAAATCTTACTCAGAATCCTACAATCTTGTCCTTATATCACCAATCTTGACATAGATCTTGATATAAGACCTTCCATACCTACTGAAAATTCTAAAACATCAGACTCAAAAAATATTCAACACTCTTCAAGCTTGGGAGGCAATCCAATTCAGCTGGTGGGCGCGAACTCTGGAAAAAGGTAGCGCCCAGGAGCGCCCATACAGGCTCCCGGCGCTACTTTTTTGGCAGGAGGCGCGAGAGGCGCGAGAGGCGCGAGAAAATTAAAAAAATTAAATAAGATGGCTAAAAAGCAGTTTCTATTATGATTCTAATCGGATGGGTTTTCTTTGAACTAAATAACAAGGTCATCTGCGCTCCAATCTTCATCATCAATATCTTCATCTTCATTGATGGTTTGTACTTTAGCTCTATTACTTACAATAGTAGTGAAATTAGAAATGTTGAACAAAGTTTCAATAAAGCCAGAGTAGGCTACCTCTATATCCATTTCTGTATGTGAGTCATGCTGAGCAAAAACTCCATCTTCAAATTCTTGCAATTCATCGACTCCGGAGAAGATACCTGATTCAACCTCATCTTCATAGTTAACAATGCTGAGATCCTTGACAGCTGGATCCACAGCTTCCTCGGCTTTGATCTGGAGCTCGAGCTGTGATATCATTTTAAGATTTGTTACAGTCATCCGACTACGATTCTTGGTTTTTGTTGCACCCATCATGCTGAATACACTTTCAACACCTGCTGCGTGCGCCACCAGCTCAAGTACTCGGATGGCGAAGGCTTTGAGGATAGTTGTATTTGGAGTCGAGCGAATCGCTAGCCAGTAGTTCATGGCTACAGAAACCATAGTAGTTGGTTGAAACAACCCTTCGCCGCTGAAGTATTGTATTATTTGATTCTTAAGACTGAGTGCTTCAGATTTCTTGTAGCTCCATGTCTTGGCGATTGAAAGTATCAACTTGATCATGGCATCTATTGGATATGCACGTGAGACAGCGACTTGAGAATAAGAGGGATTGAGAAAGAATCCAGCGATGTAAATTGGCTCGTTGAATATCTTTGCTTGCTCGTTCAAGACCTTGAGACAATGAGATTTGTAAAGAAGGAATCGTGGATAGCTCGATAAGTCAATCTTCAGTAGCTGATTGTAGACTGTGATGATCTCTTTCCAAATGTTGCCTACTGAGGTATTCGCTTGCTCTAATCTACTGAGAGCATCAATCACCGGTCGGATTAATTTTACTAGGATCGAGTTTGAAGTGAAGTGATCTCGATTCTCGATAATGACTTGTACATTCTTATTGATTGTTGGAGTCGAGATTGAGTTGTCTTTCAATAATGAAAGACACATTTGAAAACCTCGTTCGTGGCTTTCGACCGATAATGCAACCTTTGACATCGAATGCCATCGAGACTCGCAGAAGGTTTGGAGTCCGTGTGTTATGCCTTCTTTCATACGCCACTTGAATAGCTTCTGGCTCCAGAAGTGAGATGAGCTGAAGAAGTTGACAATGGTTCGGTCGTTGTTTGCGGTGTCCTTCATGTCCGGGTGGTCAAGACACTTCTTGACGATGAGATTAAACACGTGTAAACAACACGCTAATGGGATGACATGAGGATACTCTTCTTTAACGAGTCTCTGTAAAACCAATTGGTGATGAACAAAAAACTCTCAGCCTTCTAAGCATCACAAGAAAAGAAGAAATGAGGAAGACAAAAAAGAAATATATCAAGTACTTACTCGTAACTTGACCATTGAACTGGGTGAATCAGTGACAATAGCTCCTATCTGCTCCCAGGTGACATCTTGCCCGTGTAAAGCAGTTTTCAAAGCAGCCAGGATGTTGTCTGAAGTATGTCGGATCTCATCCAAGTCTAGAACATCAATAAGCTTCTTGATTTGGGTACCACGTAAAAGAAGGACAGCATAGACACTGTTTCGGGAGCAGTCAGTCCATCCGTCTAATGAAATAGTCATATTGCTATTCTGCTTAAGTTCCGCTTTTGACGCAACTGCATAACGAGCATGAAGTTGTGGAAGAACTTTGTCCATCATAACGTATCGTGAGGCTGGAGTGAATGGAGCAATTGAGAGTTTCTGTTGAAATTCGAGAAATGATTTGTTATGGAGAAATCGAAAAGGAATATGGCCAGTAATGAGTGCTTTGAGTAGATCTTCATAAATTTTCATATTTTCTTCTGGTTTACGGATACTGAAATGATGGAGATTTGAAAAATCATGATCAAGTTTTGGTCGCTTTAAAATGGAAACAGGTGCGGGTGTTGATCCAGTTGATTCTTCTGGTGTCGTATTCAGTGGTTGTAGTGCAACTTCAAGATTGATTTGTTGGTAATTAGATCTTTCGTGTATTGAAATGGATTTACACAATTGAGTCATATGGTGATATAATTTTGGTGGCTTCCCATCCATTTCTAACTTGCAGAATTTACACTTTGCACGGCGTCGTCCGTGGTGGCGAATGCTGAAAGCTTTGAATCCAGTCCATTTGTTACCGCTACCTGAAGGAGGCTCAATCCACGTTGCTTTAGGTGACATAATTGATAGGTGAATGAATAAAGGTGCCAACCCCAGCGCTGATAGAGTGGGAACTCCTTGAAGGTGGGCGTGAGAAAGGGTGGAAACCTCCTTTTCTCACCTACTTAGGTTTGAGGGCGCTCCCACCCCTTTTTTCAAAAAAAAACCCGCGCCCGGGAGCGCCGCTCCCAGGCGCTGCTCAGGGCGCCAAAATCGCGCCGCGCCCACCACCTGAAATCCAATACAAGACTTATTTATTGGACCCATCACTTTACTTGCTTCATGCAAAATCTTTCAGTCTCATATGCTTATTGTGGAGCACCCTACACTGAAACCTTTATCACCAAAATTCTCACCCATTTTCCTCAACTCACAACTTTTAGCTGTACAGGGATTGATGCTATACATCCAAGGGCTTTGGACAACCAAGCAGCTAATTGTCAATCTTGACTTGGAATTCATCTTGCTTTGATTACTAGCCTTGTCAAATTAAACTTGCACAGAGCTGAATGTGTGGAATCCAGTTGGAGTCAACTTGAGTGGAAAAGTTTATTGTAGGTGTTATCATTGGTGTATTGTAATTCATTTGTGGTATCAACCTTACATAAATTCATCAAACCTCTCAGCTCAAGCTTAGCCACACTTATATGCAATAACCTTTGTAATTTTGCTTATGGCAAGTTGAACCCAGTGGTAGGCCCAATTTGGGATGACATCAGAAACGACAAATTTGAATTTGAATTATCCAAAAGGACTCTGACAAACTTGGAAATCACACACTTTTTACCCATTCAATTTGCACAATCCTTTCAATGTTCAAAAAACCTCACAAGGATTTACTTAGGTGACCTGTCTCATGATCTTGATGAATTTGCAAATTTAATTAAAGATCAACTTTGGCCTAACTGAAGAAGTTTCAATTTCTGGATTATAAAGAGACTTCTCTTTGTCCAGAAGACTTCAAAAGTTTACAGGAAGTGTGTCAGCAAAATGGCATTGAGATGATTTTTGGTGGGAAAGTTTATAATGAGGATGAGGATGAAAATGTTGTTGACAATGCCATGTTTGAAGCTTTTGTGAATGAACATCAGGAAGAATTGGACAAACTGGTGTATGGTGGTTATAAGGATTTTGATCATGAACCAGAAGAGTATGATCCATATTGATGTTTTGGTTCAGGTCACAGTTCATATGGGTTTGGTTCAGGTGACAGAGTTTGTTCCAGAGGTGTAACTTGTGCTTCATCCAATTTCAAACATTGGCATGTAATTCAACACAAGGCACAAGGCGCTTCTCACCTCTAGCTTGAGAAGCTCTTTACTTTGTTTTCTTTTTCTTTCTCTTTGAATCTAATTTTGTCATGGCCCAGTGGAGGTTTGGTACAGTGTAATTGATGAGGGCCTGATAGGCAATTGTGAAATGACTATCAAGACCAGTAATTACAAAAACAATTCTCTGAATAAGTTCAAAATTTCATGACCAGCACAATAAATTATCACAGTTTTTTATTTTGTTATGGTGAACGTATAGGCATATAGAGTAGTATAGCTTTTGACTTGACCAAAGTTGAGTACAACCTTACAAATTATTGCTCTTGCTAAATTGTAAGGGGTGGGTAATCTACAAAAATCAAGAGTGTGAAAAAGTAAACCTTGGTTGGCCCCAAGCTCAGCTGGACTATCTACTCTGCCAATGTACAGGATCTAACTTAAAACAGGTCCCAAATTCTCACAGGGCTTTTTTAACCTTCACAAGCTTGGTGCATTGGAGAGGGACTTGCTACTTTTGGTGTACAAGCAGGAACTTGGATAGACCTGATCCTCTAAAGTCTCACAACTTCTTTAGTTGATACAATACATAAATTCTGAGCAGAGCAAAATGTCCACAACAAGCAAATGAACAACTTTTGTATTTGAGCAAATGCCATTGATCAAAAATCAGTCATTTTGCCAGCGCAAATGCCACCCAATTGCAACTTCCAAAAACTTCTTGTCCATGTTGAAGAAGACCCAAGCAAGATACAAGCAATCTGGAAGTACAGATTGGAAGGGGATGGTCACAGGTAGACCCAGTTCAAATGGGCAAGGGGGTTGATTGAATTTGAGAGGAAGTGAGAGCTTTTGGGGTTTGAAAAAAAACCTTCAAGCCAAACCTAATTTTTGAACACCCTGCTGCCAGCTGGCTCATGAAAACTGGTGGATAATTCATAAGTCCCTCTCCGGACACCCGAGCTCGCAAGGAAAACGTGTCTGATTACAGAGGGACTTAGCAAGTTAGGTGCAGGATACTAAATAGGAAGGGTATCACAGTGTCTGGATGTTGCTGGCACAGATAAATCATAACTATAACTCTCACATACGCCATTGTGTTGTCGAATGAAACACTGGGCCTGGAGGTCATTGCCTTGCCATAAATTTCTTTTCTAGCAGCATACAAAGATTGTTGATCAAATTTGAGCGTATGTTTCAAGTGACTTGAGCTTGCTGAGAAACTCAGAAGGGCTCATTTTTAGCTCTTTGATGCTCAACTTTGCACCGTGGGAATGAAAGATACCTTTGATCACGTTCTTGCCCAAGTATCAGCCAAGGAGTGTTGGGAATGGGTGTTAGTCCCGGATGCCGAGACCCAGCGCAGGGGTGCTGCAGGCTGAACAAATGGATCTACCTGGATCTACCTGGATGTATATATTGAAACTATCGTAGATTAGAATCGATGGTCAAAGCAGATATCCGCAACTTGAGGTCAACAATACAACTTCACGAGGAAATCCAATCCATTGACAATTTAGGCTCATCGGAACCTTCACCTTCAGAAATCATCTTAACTTCATATTCACCTTCACTTTCACCTTCAAGCATCCACATCATCAGCAAATCATGCAGGCGGGCTTGTTGTCTATGCCAATCGAAATTTGGGAAACCATTCTCTACTGGCTTCGCCAGCTTCCTGCAAGCCAGCCAATAGACCAACAGACCGAATCGATTCACATAGAACAATACTTTGAAGATGACGACAATCAACGCCTTCGAAAATTTCAAAAAGCACGCGACCGTCAGTCGATTTCCTTGACCATTTCACCATCCTATCCACTTTTCATGCACAACGCCTTTGCATTGGCTTTTTTGCTTACTGGTCTAATACTCCATTGATGAAAGATTACACAGTGTGCTGACATCACTTATTCTTGTACCTTCAAAGATCTTCCTTTGATCGATATCCTATCACTCGCCTCAGTCAACCGTTCATTCTATCGAGTGTTCTCTCCTTATTTTTTTGAGGTATGCAATCGGTTTCTCATCATCATCCTACCTCATCTTTCACTGATTAACCGATGAAATAATCTTCTCTAGCGCTTAGATTTCCAAGGCTTTACCTTGGATAGACTAAAATCCACACAAGAAATTATTCAAAGACATTCAGATCATGTTAGAATACTCCGGTGGCGAGTCTCAGACTACAAATCGCTTGCTAAGGAGCGTGAAGTAATCATGAATGCAAGAGATAATAATGTACCAGTTTGCGATCAACAATGGGATCCTCAGTCTCGATCTGAAGTTATAATCAAAATCTTAACATCTTGCCCAAATATCCTTGGTATCGACCTCGATCTCGATCCAAAATCTTCTATACCTATCAAGACTGGAGAGATGTTGTTTCCAAACTATCAGCTAAACGATTCAACATTATCTACTCATCCTCAAATGCCGAACTTACTTATCGGCCCCATCTCACAACTTACTTCACTTATTCATCTTTCACTGAACTCTCCTAGTGATCGACCACCTTACACAGAAACCTTTCTAGTAGATATTCTCATCAACATTCCTCGACTCCAAACTTTTGCTTGTTCAGGGATTGCAGCGACTCATCCGGATACTTCAGATCTGCGAGAAGGTTGCCGATCTCCGCTTGGCCTTCATCTTGCTTCCCTTACCCATCTCGTTGAAATACATTTTGATAAGGTGGAGTGTTTAGATTCTAGTTGGACAATATGCGATTGGAAGAGTTCATTGAAATGTTTATCATTAGTAGACTGTGATCGAGTCTCAGTACCAGTCTTCCATGAATTCATCAAACTTTTTGCCTCGACTTTGTCATCAATTATGTTCATCAATCTCGCCCTTTACCGTAGCACTTTAGACTCAGCCGCAACACTTCAAGACTTGAAAGATGATAAATTTCAATTTGATCTACCTAGGTTGACCAATTTGGACATTTCGAGCTATTTACCAATCCAATTCTTGAGAGCTTTTCAACACTCGAAAAACCTCTCGTGGCTCTCAATAGGTCACCATTTGAGTTTCAGAAGCCAAGATTTGGAAGACTTAATCCGAGATAAAATTTGGCCCAATTTGAAAACGTTTGAAATCACGAATCGAGCACGTTTTCTTCGTCGTAAAGAGGTTGATGATTTAGAAGCCTTGTGTCAACAACATTCAGTTGAGATGATTTTCAATGGCACGTGTACTGATGAGGAAGATATTTTTGACCACGGCATACCTGAATCACATGTTCACTTGCTTGAACTTCTTCAGGGTGGTGCTGGGAATTTGCAAGATAATTGGGAGGTGAATTCTGAACCTTAATCATATTCCCCTCATTCACATGCTTTTGGTTCAGGTTATTTCATGATCAATGACTTTCGCCTGGGTTCTGGAGTCTTTTTTTTCATGATCATGAGGTTCACTGTTCACTTCATTCTAACATCAACCAATTCAACACAAGCCCAAAAATATGTATACTAATACTATCACCTCATATCGACGAGTCTTCAGTTTTTTTTTCTTAGCTTTTATTTAAATGTATCATTAAGATGGACAAGTTGATAAAGATCACTGTATCACATTGATTGGGGATACCACATCATCTGTAATGTCAATTGTCAATCAAACTTCAAAGGTCTGTTTATAAAGTGATAAAAAAAGCTTTTCGACATTCAAAGAATATTTTATGGCTCTTAATAAGTGACAATGCATCTTACAACAATTAAGATTGAGGCAACATCACCCAAATTCAACTTTGGCCAAATTTAAAGAAATTTGAGATCAAAAACGGAGCGCCATTTCTTTCTTACAGAGAAGTTGAAGACTTGGTTTTTTGTCAGCAACACACAATTGAACTGATTGTTGATAGTTGTTTTATTTTGATGAGTATTGATCCATGATGTTTCCCATTTCAAAATCTCCTTCCCATCCAAAGCTAATAACTTTGGGACATGGTGATGCATACTTCCTGAAGATGCTGTTTGAACATAGACAGTTGGTAGGAAGAAACTTTGCAATGGTTGATTGTTGCGAAGGTAGGAAATGTCAAATTGCGACGCGCATCGGCGCGCATGATTGTTCATTGGTTGGAGCTCATGTTGTGGGCGCGTCCTTTTTGAAACATGCGCGCCCAGGCGCAAAAAAACTCGATTGGGGTGGCGCGGGCGCCAGCGGGGCGCGTAAGGCGCGCCCTTTGCCCCCAAAAAAGTAGAAAAAAAGTAAAAATCTTCTACAGCAGTACATAGTTTCCAATAAAAGAATTCTAGTCATTGATTGCAAGGTAGATTGCAAGAGATATCACGGTAAATGGAAGTCAACTGCGACTCTATCCTCATGAAACTCTTACAGTGAGTGCTTACATCTTTTGGACAAGACTCTGTCTGTCAAGTGACAACAGCTCAGAGTGAGGTAGACTGTTGGACCAATATCTCAATACCAAGATGAAGGACACTCCTCAGAGTCCCTGACTCCTCCTCAGGCATTTCTGATGGAGATGGTGACAAAAACCCGCGGACGAACTATGGGGCGCGCCCCTACACATTTTGAAGATTTGGGGCGCTACCAGGCGCGACTTTTTCACGCTTTTTGTGCCGCGCCCACAACATGAGTTGGAGCTTGACCTGGGAAAACCCTGTGTGTGGCGCCAGTTGATGCGCCCGGGACGCCGCCGCCATTGCGCACGGCGCTGCAGCGCAGCCGGTTCCCTTGCGGCCAGCCGTGGGGCTGTGACCCATGGTTCCCTCTCAAACACGGATGGAAGAAAATATCAAACCAAGAAAAAGACACATCAATGTTACCTAAATCAGAAGGTCTACATTCCTGCTGAAGTTTTCCGCCATCTGCAAAGGAAGGAAACTATTCAAGGAGGACTTGGACAAGACCTATCCCAAGTTCCTCCCCTCAGTGTACTTCAATTTATATTCTCAAGTTTTGGTTTTGTCCATTTGGTAGTTATTTTGCATCTTGTAGCAGTCAACTATCCAAACCAGACTCACTTGATTGAACTTATCAGATTTGATTCTTTAAACTTCAACTTGCACAAGGTGGAGATAATTTATGACCACAACAGGATCAATTGTGGCTCTCAAACCTGACTCAGTTTCAAAAAACCCAGTTGACCCAGTGGAATTTTTGGCTGGGAGCTGTCAACAAATGTCAAGTTGATACACAAAGTAACTGCCAAAAATTCAACTGGCTTGACTGGGTTTTTGAAAACCGGGTCAGGTTTGAGAGCCATAAATATCACAAATAAGTACCCATTCAAAACTTGAAGAAAAATGGTGTATGACTTACTATTGAAGAAACACAGATGATGATGAATCTGATGATATTTCTGAAACTGGTGACGTGGATGAAGATTCAGATTTCTACAATGCTATCTTTGGGATGTGGTAATTATTGCACCATCAGCGTTTGGGGCGTTCAGATAGCTCATAGTAAATTTGATGGATGTTTGGATGGGGTAGCTCAGCACATATATGGAGACCTTCTCTCTGAACAACAAGAAATGAAGTCATTTGAACCATGCAAAAAAATGAAGTAAAAAACACCAAGGTGACTCTGGTGTGCTACACAAGTCCTTATACTGGCATTGGAATTGCATTCCAAAGTGTGGATGATGTAAAACTTACAACTGAATATCAAGACAATGAAAGCTAACTCCATCATCTGAACCATTATACAGATCATACCCCATTCTGAATCTTCATCTGCGTCACCAGTTTCAGAGATATCATCATCATCATCCTTGACACAAATAATGTTTGTTTCAATTCCATTCTCCTGACACAAGTTTTCTAGGTCTAGAGTCTTTCTATAAGAAAAAGCAAACTTTCTACAAAGACAGGTAGGGGCATGATTAGTAACCTGAAACTTTTTCAGATCAGGCCAGTATGGATCTTGTATTGTTTCTTTCCAATCAGACTCAATGTTTGTAACCCAGAGCTCTACCTAATGCAATCATTGAAATGTTTTTTGAAGGATGAGTATTCCATTTACCTAACCTGACCAAACTTACAATCACAAACCACTTATCTATCAAATTCTTACAAGGTACTCATCCTTCAAAAATTTGAAATAATTGAAATTTTAAATGGAATTGAGAACCCATGATTCTCTCTTTATCACTTCAAAATCACCCAAATCAACAATTTTCAGCAGCATAGTCTTACATCCGTATCAAAAAATCTTACAGACAAGCTAGTAACAGCTGTTTTTATTATACTCAAGTCAATTTGGTTGTTCAGTAGCTACCTCAAGGTGGAAAAGTCCAGGATATCTTTGTACAGAGCGGCTTGAAGATCTCCAGAACGTCTTACAAGATATGGTTATCCAAGTACCAAGCCACTGGCTCCGTCATCTCAACTTCAGAAAACTACAACGCTTGGTGTACCCACTCACATCAAGCCTCGCAGGCACAAAATGGTAAAGCACACAATTGCAGACAAATGGACTCTGTCCAAAGAGAGACGGTGTGGAATTTGGAGAAATACAGTAGACTCTGAGAAAACCGATAATCGAAAAATTGGGGCCAATCCTATCGGTTTTGACAGAGTATTGGTTTTATCAAAACTCTGAGAACACCGATAAAAATCAAATTGCAGCAAAATTATCGGTTATGACAAAGATATATAACAACAGTTTAAGAATCTTTGAAAAAGAAAGTTGTGAGGGTTTGCTGCTTGGCAGTTTGGGCACGGACTAAGCGGTAATGTCTTACTGAGGCCCTAATAGCACGTTCCCACCCTTTTGCTACATTATCTTCTTCATAGGCCATAAATCCCAACATGATCTCTGAAGCTTTGAGGAACTCTTGATGAGTTGGTCGAGGTGGTGGTGGTGTTATCTCAACTTTAGCCTTTTCTTTCATTTCTTCTTCTATGCTTGCAACAATCTCTTCGGGTGTCCATTCTTCTAAACCACTTGAATGCTCGCCAATTGGATTGAGAAGCTCAGAGAGTGACATTCGGTTTGGTTTATGGACAAGATTCAACCTTTCAAGACTGTCCAAGTCGGATCTTAAAGTCTCTGTAGCTTCGTCATCGATTATCGGATCTGAATTGGAATCTTCAGTATGGTCATGATTATCCTGACCCTTGACCGATCCATCAGGATTTCGAACGGACAGAATACCTGACTTTCGCCAGCAGTTGCGATTGTCGTGTCAGAGACCCTAAACCACGCCTCGGAAGCAAGCTTCATAGCATCCAGTTGATGAATCTTGTAGATCTCACCAATTGGGATTTGGAGCTCGTAACGATCAATCGCGTAGTTGATAAATTTGGATCGGTAATGACACTTGAAGTTGGCAATGATACCCGCATCAAGTGGTTGGACATGAGATGTAAGATTTGGAGCAAAGAATTCGAGGTGGATGTTTGTTAAAGGTCTGTCTGGGTCAACTGAGTGACCGGAAAAGTTGTCTACAAGAAGTAATATATTGCGACCTTCCAATCTAAGCTCCTGATCCCAGGATTCAATCCACTTGATAAAGATTCCAGTCTGCATCCAAGCTTTTGTGTTGTTCCAATAGTAGAAGCCGAGTTGCTCGCCTGTCTTCCCATGAAAGCATACAGGTTTATGAGCTTTTCCTATGATGAAAGGACGACACTTATCGGATCCGTCGGCATTGATTGCAAAAGCATATGTCAGGCAACGCTTGTCTGACTTGATCCCAGACTTTGCATTGAAAGCTAATCCCTTGTCTGGTGGCATTCTACAGAAGCGTAAAGTACATCAGCAAAATGAAAGGAGGGCTAAATTATTGTAAAAAAGACGTACCCATAAAATAGGCCAGTCTCATCCATATTATAGATATTGGCGAGATCGTATAGATCCGTGATTGCACGCACACGAGACCTCTCTGCAGCAACAGTATCAGGTGAAGCTGAACCAGCCTCACCATGACGTTTGACGGAACGCAGGCCCGTTCGGCTCTTGAAACTGGTCAACCATCCTTCAGAGAGACGGAGTTGGTCTTCATCTGGTACCTTGAAGAGGTCCGCAAAGCGATTCCACATCGTACGCATCACTGAGCCACTTAAGATAAGACCCAAGTGTTCAGCCTGAGTCACCCAAGTCTCAAGTGCTTGAGTAACTTGAGGGTGCTCGGTTGAAGTGATTCGCTTGGAGTTCAGACCAACCCCAGAATTATAGTCGGCTCGGAACTGGGTCTCTTTCTCTTCCCTCAACCATTCCGAAAGCCGAGGCTGTCCAAATCGGAGCTCGGGATACAATTCTTTGAATCTTTGAGCGGTCTTAGTTTGCTTGCCCCCATTAGCATGATGCCAGTCTAGGATTTCAATTCGCTGAGCAAGCGTTGGGTTGACCTTCTTCACGACTTTTGCCTTTTTATTTTTGACTTTGTTTTTGGTGGAAGGGTTTGGCTTCAAAGTTTCCGTATTTTTACGCTTTTCTAGAAACACAGTTCAAAGGTCAAAACATCATCCATTTGAGAAAGACAACTTCGATTGATCACAATGAAAAGTTCATAGACTCACTGTTCACTGCTTTTAACATCACTGGACGTGTTTGATCAGCCTTGAGAATTAGCACCTCCAATGCAGCCTTCTCCTCCTTGTTAAGGTCAATGGCAGCACGAGCAACATCTCCAACTTCTTTGATGTGTTCCACCACCTTCCACTCGTCAACAAGGTTAGCTGATTGATCCATGAACCGTTCTTCAGCTTCAGTAAGTTTTTTTCCTGAGCTCATCAATTCTTTCAAAGGTTTTAATCGAGCATCATTTTCGGATTTCAATGCCTCAAATCCTTTCTCAATGTGAGAAATGTTGTATGTAGAGAGGTCCTTAGGAAGCATGATATGAAAACTTATAATTGTGAATGCCAGGTGAAGCTTTTGCAATGAAAAAGGATGTACAGAACAGGAAGAAGCACAAAAAAACGAAAACCACAAGTCGCACAACCACCTAAATTATCGGTTTTAAACCCGGGAAACCAAAAAAAAAGTATCGCTTATCGGGTTTGACAGGTTTATCGGTTTTCCAACCCATTTTACTGCAAATAAAATAGGATGCTGATGCGAGGACACCCCCCCCTTCACTCGGAGGACACCCCCCTCCCTGTATTACAGATGTATTCAATTCAATGATCTGATTTTTAAAAAAATCGTTCATTTCAAATCGAGCGATCATGCAGCGCTCGATTTACTTACATCGGACATGAAGATTATACTTATGTATGATCTCAAATCTCATCGGAAGCCTTGTTGACGAGCTTACATATAGAAGACCTCTCAAGTGGCACATGATTGGTTCAAAGGGATGTAAAATCTTCAATTGCAATGATCATCTCAGACTCAAATGGCCTCGGCCTCTAGAGCCCTATTAGTATTAGGACAGCTGCGTTTGTCATGTCCTCCTTCCCGACAAAGCCCACATTTTCTCTTTGTTGGTTGAGTTGAAGTTTTATCGGCTATCATATGCTCAAAATGTGATAGATCTCTTTTGGTAGAGTTTGAAGTGGCCCCAGAAGGCCTTCCTCGAGTTTGGATCGGGATAGGATCGCTGATAGATCCTGTACAGTTTTTTAGTAAGTCGCTGAGACCGTTCTCGAGGGTGAGTTGAAGATGTGGAGGTAAGTTTGCGTGTTGTATTCTTAGATGGTGGAATAATTCACTGGTGGTTGGTGTAGACCGATCACTTGAGTCATGCCTGACTCGGTTCAAATGCCAGTGTGGATCAAAGTGCTGGATCATGAGTGATTCACCTGAATCAAGCAGGTGACGGATGAAATGTGAACAAGGTAAACCTTGAGACCCGTTGAATACATATGTGCAAGTTGATGTGGTTGTGATTGAAACTGCTTTTTGATACTGTTCCAAGGTCTATGGATTATGATAAGGATTTCAGCCAACATACGACAGTTTGAATCATAAAAAACTTGATGCTACACACTAGGATCAATGCGTGATGTGAAATCTTGCGATGGACCCGATGCCAGAAATCGCTTCGAAGCTGAATGAGATTGTGGGTGCAATCATATGAGGTTTTATGAGATATCAAGTTAACTTGTTGTTCGCATGCAAGGTTAATCTTTATGTAAACACATTGAAGATCGCCAGTAGATACCAATATCCAACCCTTTATATTGGTGTGACCCCCTTCGGCTCGTGAGGTAACTGTGTGACCAAAGTGTTTCACATCCTTTGTCCAGGCAAGGACAAACATTTCTTTATACTTGATCCAAGTCTTGTCAAGATATTGATACCCATCCGGCTTGATATATTCTTGAAGTTGCTGAAATCGTTCTGCGAATTCTTCGGGAGAAATCGAGTCGCAAACCTCTGTCCATTTGGCTTTGAATTTATTCCAATCCTCGCTGTCTTCGTTTCCGTTTTTTCCAGGAAAGTATTTCTTCAAGTTTGCATTGATATTTTGATTAATATGCCATTTACACAGCAAGTTTTTTCCTTCCGGGAAAGCTTTGACTAATCCCACGCATCAGGGCGAGTTCTCGATTGGTAACTACAACGACTTCTTTTGATATAAGTGATTTGTAGGCAAGTTTGACGTGTTCCAATGCCCATATATAATCCTCTTCAGTTTCTCGATGCATGAAACAGTAACATAAGGAGAGTGTTTGATGTGTTGATGTGACACCTACAACGTGTAGAAGTGGCATTTTGTATCTGCCCCAAAAAGATGTAGTTCATATGAGTTTCCGTTGCTTGATCAAGATATCAAAGAGACAACAACACCTGTTACTCTTGTATGTCGAGTCCATCAGCAGCACATCTGTAGCACCGTAGGTTTTAGCTGCTGAGACACATAGATTGGGTGCAATGAAAAGACGGAGCAAGTGGTTATTAGTGTCTTTCTCATATGCATGATAAACAGTTTCTTCCTTGAGGGTGTCGAGTAAAGCTTCAAGTGATGTTTGTCCTTGGAGAAAATCAGCCTTGTGCCGACTATTCAAGTTATAGATGTCGCGAGGTATGCTTAAATTAGTGGGGTCTGATAATTTCACATTCTTCAAGATAACTCGAGGTGCTGTTCCGCATATGTTCATCTGTTTGACTTTGTCTTGCTGATTGCTTGTCAGAGATCTTGCACCGGGTATTTCTACTAAAGACTTTGAAGGCTCGTGGTTATGTTCATTCATGGTGATTAGAACCCTCCATTCATACACATCATCAATTATTGCTTGGCGTTTAATTTCAGCTGACCATGGACACTCTAAGAGCCGAGTAGATGTTTTTCGTATATTGTTTTCCTGTGGTCGATGCTTTCCTCCATGAGCACATTCTAGCCACACTTTTCTGACACATCCAGTTTTGCTTTTCTTTGAGCGGAGTCGGTTCAAAAAGTATCCACGACTATTAGCGTAGCCTTGAATGGCATCCTCTGCTTCCTTGCATGAAGTGTACGGTAGCTGATGTGGTTCGAGGCCTAGTAATACTGGATCAATTGGCGTGGTGTCAGGCATTAGTTGAAAACTTTGAAGATGAATATGTGGTGGATGGTTTCCAGTGGATTGAAAAAACATGTGGGCCATGTTTTTTTCTTTCAACTGCATACATATGTAACTTTAAGTTACTCAATACATATGTAATACAGGGAGAGGGGTGTCCTCCGAGTGAAGGGGGGGGGTGTCCTCGCATCAGCATCCATAAAATATATTTGACCCAAAAAGTATCGGGTTTTCCAGAGTATCGCTTTTGACAACTATCGGTTTTCTCAGAGTCTACTGTACTCATGAGCACAAGTTCCACAGCCAACCATCTCCCATGAGCTGAGCAAGAAGATTAGCTTGACTCATAACATTTGTTGGACTCACAATCCCAACCAATCTGAGATGGATTGGTCTTAGGCATCCCAATTGATTGATTAGTTTCCCTTGGTCAGTCTTTTTCTCTATGCAGTTTTCCAATCTGCTTGCTGATCTGATTGGATTTCTTCTTCAACTGTTGCATCTAAATGAAACCTCAATTATTAGGCATAATCTGTACTGTTACAGGACTATGTGATGGGCTCCAATTGGTGAACATACTGATAAAGTTGACCGCTCACTCCAAGGGACTCTCATGGTTTACGCCAAGCTGATATTTTGATATTTTGTTCTCTAGCTGCCTATGATGAATCCAGGGTCCACAAAGAACTCCGTTCTTGTTATGAACAACTTTCCAATTCACATAGGTCCTGAGACTGCTCAATTGTGGTGTGACCAAGATGTAGTTTTGATGTACCTTTGATTGAGTGTTTTGTGTTCAATAATAGTACTGCTGTAATATATTTTGAATCAGTCGAGTCTACTGTGCTTTAAGTCAAATGAGAAGGCAGAGGGATACTTTCAAGTTGTATTTTGCCCAGTAGCTGCTTCATCATATTAATGCCGTCAATATCATAGTCATATGATATTGGTGGAACCAAATCAAGATAAAGTCCAGACAAACATGGAACAAAGTGGGACTATCTACCCCTGTCGACATCGAGACCGTATGCGCTGGAGCAGTGGAAGAAAGGTTCGGTGCGCCTGCCTGCGGAGAACTCAGCCTTTTGTGAAGAGACAACTCTCAATACGTTTCAAAAAGTGCACGTTATCGCGTTCGTGTGAACAAACGAAGCAGTATTCAAGGCTTCTTCCTATGAAGCAGTGTTACTTGAAACCTTGTCAGTTTGAGGAAAACAAGTCACTTGGAACACAATAAGATGTACATAAAGAGAAGAAGAAAAACAGATGCAATAGTTCGAAAACGAGTGCAGAGATGATTAAAACCCGAGGCAAACAATCAAACGATACAGAAAGATGAGATGGTAAAATGGCGTGTTCAAGATTGTACTACTAGCAAAGACGTTCGAAGGAGTTCGTTACAGTGTCATCATTTGGTTGATATATAGTCGGTGACCTGAAATCCTGAGTTATGGGATGTATGAAGAAATAGATCATTTGAGAGGTGCAGCGGCATATGCATTCTCTGGTGTCTCATACTTGCTAATGATCCACCAAGCATGTAACACACCGGGTATCCAACCAACTATTTCCGATAATGAATCCAATCCACAAACCGGCCAGACATTAGCGCTATACGTCAATCGAACAGATAGAAGTCATCAACTTGTGAGAAATAAGACTGACGAATGAAAAGTAAGATATTGATCCAAAAGTCGGGCCCACATTGACCTAAGAATTTGAACAACACAAGTTATTGGGGATATGAGTTTATCGGTGATGAAAGGGAGAGCTTCGTCATGAAAGTTACACTTACGTTTATAGAACACCGATGCAGGGGGAACAAAAATCGCAAGGATGTAGAGGATCACGTCGGTCTAAACGCATCATCGAAACATATCAAAATGTATGCGCGAAGTTGTCAATATCGGTTTTTGACGAGGTTTACTTTGTTCTCATTGAAATTTGCTCACGTTGGAAGATGGTGGTCGTGCCATGATGATTCGAATACTTTTGATCGCAAAAATTTAGGAAATCGATGACTAGTAATCCTCTCTTCGTAGTTTTCGTAGTTCAACGAGTCTGAATTTCTTCGATGTGCTTCAGTGTGCTGCTGAATCGAATCCAAGTGATGAGAAGAAGTTGAGAGCGTTTTTGTATATCTTGACGAATCGATTTCAATCTGATTTCTCAAAATAGAATCAAGTTTACCAATTGAACCAACAAGTCACAGCACACACAAAGGATTTGTCACAAGACGTCAGCATTTACATTCTCATGACGTCCAGGAGTCGACTACTAATCACATCGAAAGGTCAACATCATTCTCAAGATATATGAGGTACTGATCAAAATGTCAGTCGACCTCCTACATATGACTGAAGTCTCCTCTTTCCCCTGTGCGAGAGATAGCCAGAGCCATTCATCATTGAGAATCTTATTGGAAGAAAAGAATGGCACGTACGACAAATGTGTATCTCAAACACACCGACAAATGAATTCTTTCAAAAACTTCAAAAGACTCATCACTCTGCGATGAGACCTGAGTTCAACAATGTCAATATCCATAGTGACCTGTGGTCCAAACTCTTTCAAATTCCATACTTCCTGTTATCCTTTTGAGACTTCAAAAACTTTTGCCTGGAATATCAAGATTGTAGAGTGGCATCAAGTTTTTGCATCGAGACGTCTTTGTGAAACCGACCTTTGAATTTTAGAGTTTATACCATAATCCTACGTTGAGATTTTGATGAGACATGTCCAACAGTCTAAAAAAAGTCCCAGCGTGTTTCATGTACTAAAAGCCATTGCGACCGAAGATGGTCTGCCTAACATACGAGTCGCTGAATTAGATGGTACTCTCGACGCTGAGCTTGCTCGCAAAAGGGAAAGCTTTGATCAGTTTCTTTGAAAAAGTTCCACTTGAGAAAGATATCATTAGTCACAATATGTATTCTTTATGCCGAACCCATCGTGACTAGTCGTGATTTCTCACAACACAAGACTTTGTCGTTGCCTTCATACTCTTAGTTCTGAGTCCATGCCTTACAAGTACAGAGATCTTTCAAAAACGGTTGGGTGATGCGCTCGACTTCACCAAAATAGACACGTGTCACATTCACCAATAATATGGAAAACCTCGAAAGGTGTGGTGGGGGGGTACAAACATAAGATATCATTGGGAGCATATTCGAATACCTCGATCTAACTAAATAGTTAAAAACTATAAGTAAATGAGAATAATCTGTAAAAAAGAAAACAAGCAAAATGAAACGAGAAACTAAAACAATTTTTTGTAAAAGATTTTGTTATTTTTGAAAATGAACAAGGAAGCACGGAACCCCGATCACAAGGGGTCAGTTTTACAAGTCGTGTGTATAAAACGAAGATAGGGGATTCACATTTTTGAAAAAGTGAATATGTAAAATAAAACAAATAACAAACTAAGCAAGTTTAATATTTTTTTTCAACTAAGGTTTTTTTCAAGCAAGCTTTGATTTTTTTGAGGTTTAGTTTTTTCAAGCACGGTTCAATTCTTTTCGAGCGAAGTCCACGTCTCATTTTCATTAAAACATAGAAAAGGTATCACGTCGTTTTTTCTAAAAGTCGGAGAAGTCATGAATTGTGTTTTCCAAAAGTAGTAGAGCTCAATTCGGTATCATTTTTCTTGAACGGAGATTGTCAGCTAAGAAAAAAAGAAGAGATATTTCAGTGAGAAAGACAAAGGCTTAGAAAATATTTGGAAGGAAAATATAAAATAACTCACACGAATCAATCTTCTTCTTCAATGATTAATGAAAGCACCCTGGGAACCAGGTTAATGACAACACCTTCGGCATTTTCATTTTCCTTCTTGCCTTTTCCCTCCTTGGCCTCTTCCTTCTTTGCCTCTGCCTTCTTTCTCTCTTCCTTCTTTTGGTTTGCGTTTATTTTTGCGAAAGGTTTTGATAAGAAAGGTTTACCTGATGTACGTTTAGTTTCAGACTCCCGGGTTTCGATCTCGTGAGAAGCTATAGCAAGTAAAGTACGTTGATCGCAAGCTAAAGATGGCACTCGTCGTTTTCTAGCAGCGGGTGAAAGTATAAGATGTTCGTAAGAAACTCGAGCTGTTCCATACGGGTCACGATTAATCACCGGAGACCATGCGGTTGATGCAGAGACTTTAAGCAACTCGGATCCTTCCGCTCGGTGTGTCGGGATCAAGGTTGGAAATGGTATGACGTTTCGTGGTTGGCGGGTAGGGATTCGCTTTGGCGCACTGATGGTCGCGCTCGCAATTCCCTTTCCTTTTCTTGACTTTAAAGGATGTGTAACAGGAACGACGAGATCAGGGTGAACACCAGGTGGAAGGGGGCGAGATTCTAAGGGGACCGTGGTCTGATTGATTTTATGAACGGCTGTACTGACTAAGACTTTTTTAATGGAAATTGGGAAAGCCGAACCAGACTTACTGCAAAGGATCTGCTGTTTCTACTAGAACGAATGGTTCTATCTCCACTGTTGACATTGCTAAGCGGTCCTACTTGTCTACGTGGTTCTTCTTTACGAATGTGACAGTAAGTCGCCATGCTAAGGCCTATCGTTAGGAACAAGAGCGATATGGCCAGAGCTATCACAACCCAATCTGGTGGGTTTTGTGATTCACGGTCAATTTCCCTGATCAAGTATGATCAAGTTGTCAGCTGAGGTGTCCAACATCAGGTACGAGCTGCGGTTTGAAAAATTTAAAGGAAACATAAGGCTTACGGGGATGCGATATCAGATGACTGTATAGCTTCGGGATTAGCTTCCAGTAAAGGTTCAGATGCGACTAAGGGGTTTTCTGCTCGAATCGTCAAAATGGGTGGAGAGATACGCGTGTAGACATCGGTAGTGATGCTGGGTACATCAGCTAAACGGATTATATCAGTCTTAACAATTCTGGTCGGTGGGGTTGATTTTGAGCCACAAAAAAAATTCAGACAGCATGAAACAGGTCGTGAGATCGAATTCAGGATTGGTAGGTACATGATGTAGATGAAGAAGATCGATATTGGGGTTTCTATTAGCTACTTAGCTTCAATGGGGTATGGATATCTGAGTTGAAGATTTGGGGGACAATGATGATAGCGTTGAAAAAAGATAAGCGGGTCGTGATTTAGGAAGACATCAAAGTGAAGAAACGTGAGGAGACTTGGGGACTTTCTGGATCCTGAAAGAGAAATCAAATGGTCAGTTTAAGTCCTAATCCCATAAAATGAAGAGGAGGTGGGCATGAAACATAGCTTACCTCATACTCTGCATAAGATGGGTGGGTGGAGAGCTAGAGGATATGAAAGTGTGAATAAGTCTATCTGAAGATCATCACGGAGGATATACCATCTGTTTTTCGAGGCGTGAGGCCATGGTATCACAGTCAACTCATCATATATGACATCAATGAGAAACGGTGATGACCCCCTTTTTAATTTGACTACACGCGGAAGAAGACCAGATGGCTGAGGGTCAGCACAAGGCCTACCACACCATTGAAGGAAACAAATGAATCTCGATTGAAAATAATCCCAACACGCATTTCTGATCGTCTTGGCATTCTGATCTGTCTATTGTATCCTTGCCGGCTGCTTCAAAAAATGACTTGATGATGTAGGCAAAACGTCCCCGCAAATATTATCATTAGGTCATTTAGCCTCGTGAGCATGAACACCAGAGCATAGATGGCCATTCTACCTGGCAGAATTGTAATAGTGTATCGAGACAAGATTCTATCAGTCCTAGAAGATATCCTACATTTTCAAGGGAATGATGAACTTACAAGTCTTGCCTGACCTTCCTCAGTGTTTGAAATTTTCACCGTACGATGTTTGAGCGGCGATGGTCTGATTCACAAGGAGCGATTCGTGTGGAGATTTTTCGCGTCATTTGAAGATTTCGGATTCTTTAACATATTCATGACACGAAAAAGAAACGTGCGACTCGCTGCTTTTAATTTCCGCCTCAAAGGAGGCTACTACGATTCACCAATTCTATGGCGTGATAGCGGAGCCCTTTTTATTAGAGGCAGATCAAAATTTGTACCCTCCTTGACACCTTTTCAGCCCAACTCAGTATGACGGAGGACGAATACCGGACGGAAGTCCCAACTGAGGACTCTTCGCCCCATGAACGGCATCCTGAGATGCTCTCTAACCTAACATATGACTCAACATCAGCTATCCTAAGCGGAAGTTCCCCAACTGAACAAATTTTACAGATGACGTACCAACGCTGATCCGATAGTCAATCTCTTCTCTGCCCATTTCCCAAATTCATGTTGGAGATCATACAATGTAACCACTTCCTAATGAAGTAGCCATCACAGCTCATTTCGAACATTCAACGTGGACATCGGCGGCTATATCCATCAGAAGAATTCTTTTATCCCGCAAGAAGCCTTCGTTTTGAGAAATGTGATGTCCGTCTGGATTTGTTTTCGAAATCAGATAGTCAGAATAAAAGGACGTATCCTATGATGTGAAATACGTACGCTACGTGGTGATAAATGCTATATTTTTGTTGCGCTGATGCTTAAAGATTCAGCCATAAATGGAGCAAATATCGATAGGGAAATCTCCCGATCAATGACTCGAGAAATGATTCGATTGAATTTACATGAACACTTCTGGCTTTCTCGCAGAACCGCGCACGACGCATCCTACGATCGAAAAGCGAACAACTGTCACTGTTTACGTATCAAAATTTATTCCGATTTTCAATCTCTGCTCCGAGTATGACCATCTACTTGCTCAAAGTTCGATATCATTCATTTTCCCCACTCCCTAATGTCGGATGGAAGGGCTTCTTCATAGCCATCACATCGCACTTCCCCATTTCGAACGTGTTGCCTGTGGACCAGCGGCTATACCGGCTAAACAATTATCTTATCCTGGTTTTGCCTCAACTGCGATGTCTATCTGGATTTGTTATCGAAACAACGCAGTTTAAATAAAAGGACATATCCTATGATGTGGAATACGTACAATATGTAAAGAAAAACGCCATATTTTTCGTCGCACGGATGTCTGACAATCCAACGATTGATCGCGCGAATGTCAGTAGGGTCATCTCCCATTGCAATCACCTGAACGCGAATCATGGGTGCGACGAGAAATGATTGGATCAGATTTGCGCGAACGTTGCTAGTCTTTGACCCGCTCAAACATTGTGATTGTGAACCAGCGGCGACATCCATTTAAATAATTCTTGTGTCCTTGTTTTACGCACATTGCCTTGATTCTGAGAACTGAGCATAAAAGGCTGTTTCCTATGATGTAGGACACGTACGCTGCGTCACGAAAAATGTCATAGTTTTTCTGATAGTTTTTCTTGCGTCAATGCCTCACAATTCGGCGATATATATAGCTCGGGCGGTTGTCGATAGGGTCATCTCCTGATCACCTGAATGCGAGTTATCGCCGTCGCTCGAAAAATCATTTGTTCGACTTTACACGCAGGTTTCTGGATTTTGCGCTCAATCGTGCTTCAAAGTAAGACACGTCCTACCGTGGCGTACCCAACGAGCGTGCATCTGTTCCGATTAATCCTAGTCAGGTTCGCGTCCTTGTTTCCGCTCTCACCTGAAGGACGGCCATGTATCGCCGAAGTGTGAACCCCATATGATTACAATCTGGGGGCACCTGGCTTGGGAACCTTTGATGACTTCTCGCCTTCTTGCGAGTTTCGAAAAGCTTTTATTTCTACGGACTTTTGACGATTTCAATCCGAGATACGTCGCCCGCAGTATACATATAGCTGAAGCGATCTTGCTCTAGGTGTTCGATGTGCGTCCCATTTATCGGGTTCGGATCCCAAGCATGCCCGCCTTCAAGACTTCAGGGGCTTACGAAGAGACCTTCAGTGGCGCCATCGGATTAAGCTGAGCCTGCTCAGCAGCGGCGAGACTCAAAGTGCCAGTGGTGATACGATGACGTAAGCTTGATCAACGCGGTACATGCATTGCAGTCGGTGGGTGGTTGACGTTCCGAATCTTCGCTAAATGGAGCTCCGTCAGGGATCAGTTTGTCGAATTCGAGGACTTGAAGAAATCTTTTTGACTCACCTTATGCTGGGCAGGACGTTATTGGGAATCAACGGATACCGTTCACAGAGTCTACATACGTCCTGCGACCCGATTGCTAAATCTACCTTACAGCGCAACTCGCGGGGATGTCCGTAAAAATAACTTCATCATTGTCTTCTCAAACTGTCTCCTATTGCTCTGTCGTAGCCTGTATTGCCTGAACAGGACGACCCAAATCGAACTTGAGTCCAATGCCTCTCAAAAGAATCGACCACAGCCACACATGCGGAACGATGGTGCACAACACCAAAGACAATCAAAGGTCCGAAGAATTTAGAAATTCTACGCGGGCCCCAAGTACTCAATTTGATGAGGAGCCGAGGTTATTTTGGAGATTCTCTCATCCAGAGCATCTCAAAAGTAGCATTGTCTTTGGGGTCGTGGACCATACAACCCTCAAGAATGATGGAGTCTTTGGATTCAAGAAAAGTTTTACTTCATCATGGTCTCATGGACAAAACGAAGATGAATCTTGTCCTGGGCATCGCAAATCAAGCCCAGGTGAGAACAACAGCCCGTGAGCGCAATTGAATGTAATGACCATGGATAATAAGTCGTAGATCAGAAAGTTGATCATTGCGAGCGCTGAAGGACAACAACAGAAGAGCCGACGTGATCAAATTTGATTGTAAGGTCCTAAACATCAACAGAGTTGCTGCAGTTGTGATTGAAGAGATTCTTCCTTTATATAGTCCACCAGTTTGATCCTATACGGGCCAAGTCTGCAAAAACAATGCACATGAACCTCATGAAAAGAGCTCAGAAAGATATAAGTGAAGAGCTCTAACAGCCTCTATTACTCCAAACTAAGCATCATGCCCTCCAATTCAAGATATCATGTACACATCCTTTTTGTTATTTTCAATTCCTTCATAGGTCTTGGGCCCGTTGAGACAATCCCCCTGACTTTTGGGGTACATCTGTTTCTTCCTACTTGTAAAACCTACCGGTGATTGATGATCACGAGATCAAGCCATACTTGTGGTGTTCAATGATTCCTTCACTTTTTCTTGGTAACTCAAAACCACCTACATGTGTACTTTTTTGGGACCTCACACCAACTACTTGTCAGACTTGACTGTTGATGTGACAGGGATGAAAACACACACAAGGGCACAGCAATTATATCAATCAAAGTTCTGCGGCTTTTGATGACAAAGGCACCTAAAAGCCAACCTGGAGGACAGGTGGCAATATTCCAAGTGAAGAGGTACAGCTGAATGAACACCATATATGGAGAAAGACTGGATTATTGATCCATATGATCAAATAGGTTTGTGAAACTTATGATCACTATACACCAGTGGGACTAAGGTTTGATGAGTAAAGAGCCAAAATTGAAATTGATTCTTTTCATATAAGCAGGAATCAGGACACAAGCAAGAAAGACGGAATTGTACAGAAAAATCTATCTAGTGATCAAAATTTAACCTGCCCAAGCTACTTTGAACCCCTTTAAAAATACCTACATCCTACCCCTGTGTTGACCACATTCACTACCAAGACAAATTTTTCTAGACAGCTCAGACCACCTCTTACTGCCTTCACTTGCAGACAAGGGACTTGATAAGCCACAATTGGAAGCATGGAATCATCTCTGACCACAATCATAAGACAAGTCTTCTTCTCTTCTTTTCTTCCTCATGATATTCCACACCTTTACATAATATATTCCCTGAAAATACCAAAATCTAAGATTACTAATGCTCATATTCCCAAAATTTCCTTTTGTAGTTACTAAAGCTAATGAACCAGCTGACCCTCTAACAATCATCATTGAACCTAATCTCATTTTATCTTCATCTCCTTCCATTGCAAAATCTTTTGAAATTAATTCTTGAGTTGAAGGAATTGCAATTGTGATACTAGTACCATAATCTAATCTTGTTTTCAATTCAATCAAGGACTCCAAATTTACTGTGAAAGAAAAATCAAAGAATGATGATGAGAAGATTTCAAGACTTACCTCTCAGAGGTTCTTTCAATTTAAAACATAATTCCTCTCCACCATTTCATTTGATTCTCATTGTTATAGGACATCCCATTCCCAGAACCTCCAGTAGTTCCAAACCTCATCAATAAAGGCAATTCAAATAAAGCTTGTTTTGATGAATCTACAATTCAATCCCAAAATCAAATCATTGAACAAAATGACTTCTCCTCCAAAAGACAATCACAACTTGAAAGACATTCATACCTTGCAAACTATTTTCGTAGTAAACTAAAGAGTTTTAGTAAATAGCCTGATCTGTAATTGTGTGTCAAGAATTGTGCTTTGTTTTCTAGTTGGGCCATGGCTCAAAAACTTGCTGGTTAATTTTGAGATGTGAAGGAAGAGTGGCCAAGCTTCCTGCCAAGAAACAACTTGGCCCCTTATGTATATTCTGTCAGAAAACAAATTTAATGGGGTCTCTAATCTCTACAAAGATGATCAACCTTTTTAAAAAGGTTGAGACAAAATAATTAGCCCATGTTGACAAGACACAATTAAGGCAACAACACTAGCCAAGTGCTAAACTAAAAAAACTCTGGAAAATATGGGGAGGATCATAGATAATGAACTACTAGGAGGGAAGATTGATAAAAAAGTAAGGTGAGGAATAAAGAGAAACAATGAAGTGTAACAGGATTGATCTAGTTGAGTTCTCAGTAACACACTAGAGAAGGCAGAAGTCAAAATGGTGACAACTTCTGTTAAGAACCTTTTTCCTTGATGGGGGGAAACAATTCCTAACAAAAAGAGACAGGTTTCTAAGAAAGATTGTCAGGCAGAACATTTTGCACACAAAAAGAATCCCAACCCCTACACCAGGGGGTAAGTGACATGTTCCAAAACTAGGATCAATAGTATTACGGACACGTTACAACATTTCAATTGTTTCCGAATGTGTCCAGAAGGTTTCCAGGTTTTACAAAACAAAAACACTGCCATCACGTAGCAGTCACCGAAAAGCAGGCTGTATTCAAGAGTGCTGGACCCATTGATTGACAGCTCAGCCGAGCAAAGACTGACGAGGTCAAACACATCACATCACAACCAGATGGTTGCACTTGGGTCAAGGTATTGTCTCATCTGAGTCTTGACCAACCTTCATACCATCTTTGACTATGATTTTTGGTTGTTTTGAACCCACAAAAACCGGTGCAAACAACTGATTGTCACACGGTTCTCCTCATTTGGTTACCGGAACCGCTTTGTCTTGGTTCTTGCAACAAGAGTCCTGGACATGTTTCCAGAACCATCCCAGGCCAAGGAAGTTTACCCCCTGGTGTAGTTCAATTAACTCAATGCAAATTCCAATCACATAGCTCCTTCCAAAATTTCCACAACTTGGTGACATCTCTTGACATTACTCAATTTAATTTTGTCTCAATCTGTTCATCATATATTCCATTCCTTCCACTCACCACTTTCTGATTTGGCCTTGACACATCCTTTTAAGCCTTATTGGTTTTGACACACAAATAGCTACAATAGGGCGGTTCAAGAAGGGCTTTTACAGCCTTTTTTAAAATTTTAAATCAGTTTTGGGAGCCTTAAATTATAAGTAAAATTTTAAGTTGGTGAACCACCTTTAGAGGTGGTTCACTGTTTTGCGATCTCATGAATTGTCTTAAAATTTATGAAGCTTTCCAAAGAATCAGGAACATTTGAGCAAAAAAAATTACGATTTGTCTTTTTTCCAAACATTAGTTGTTCCTGGATGTAACAGTTTTTTGTCCAATTTTTTTTTTGGATTTTTTTCTTCTCTTTCATTAACAACATCATTTGAACAAGGAGGGTCCAAACACACATCAAGCCCCTCATCGAAAACGGACGCGGGGCGGATCACTTTGGTTTATGCTTTTCTTGGTCTGGCCAAACTCCTGCGGTCACGTCGACACCCTCGGCTTTCACGCATGGACAGGGTTACAACCACTATCCTCCATCCTAGTTACAAGCTTATCAAGCATCTTATGCTTCTGGACCTCAACAAACTGATTCATCAGCTCCAAACCTTCATACGTCGTCTAATTACTACGATCCAACTTCTTCAGCAGTTTTAGGTGCCGGTGCTTCCGGTTCGAATGTCGATCCAAGTTTCGATGCAAACGTAGCGGCTCAACAATCTATCTATACTCCTGATGCGGTTCAGAATCCGCATATTGTTCAAAAGGCTAATAAGGGAAAGGCTAGAACTACAGTGATTGGTAAAGCAGGTGGAGAAACTTGGGAAGATCAAACTTTGATGGAGTGGGATCCTGGTTGAGTTTCACTTTCATACATTCATAAACCTTCACTCGGGCTTTCCCTCTTCATTCCTACAAGCGATCCCTTTTGCTCATCTACCTTTGTCATTTTCTCTCCCATTATCAAACAGCTCATTTTAGACTCTTTGTAGGAGACCTCGCACCAGATTAGGACTGGTGCTGGAGCGGTTTGGAAGAATGATAATTGTCCGTATGCTAGAAGATAGTCTCTTGTTGGTTTTGTATGTCTTGATGGTCAAGGAGTCATAGAATCATGTTCACTATCAATCAACGTTTCCTGGAGGTTTGGCACTTGTAATATCTCCAACATGATTAGTCTGAGTCTGTTCATCTACTATTTCTTTGTCATTCAATCTTGTGTCCTGCCCAACAGATTTTCATATAGATTGTCTTCAAACTTATGCTCAAAGTAATTAAATGCATAAACCTCGGAATGAGCTCGATCTCAAGTGTTGTCTATGGTGTGTACACTGCTTACATCAAGGCTATGTTTGACTGAGCCATGTTACTAAGCAGAATGTCGGCATCTTTACATGGGCACGATAGTTTTGGGTACATAATTTCTAAGTAGCACAATCCATCCGATCAAAGCAAATGAGATGAGAACAAGATAAGTCAACAATCCAATTATGAAGAAAGATGTGAGGTGAGTTGAGCACTGAATTTGAGTTATAAACGCTCTTGCCAGCCTCCCAGCCAGGTACGTCTTCCATAATCTGTTTCTCGCATTCCAAGTTGGCATGTTCCCTTCGAAATCGATCCCGATCTGATTCGGCGGTTAAGAAGGGTACCAAACCAAGAAGAAGTTGAAATCTTGTGAGGGAACGTAGGAATCCGGTTTGATGAGATCTGGGGATGGACCAGAATCTTGTTTCTTCATGAACAGCAAGAAGCCTTGATTTTTTCCAAAAAAAACCAAAAAAAATAGCAAAGACAAAAAAAAAACTGTTGGATTGACGAAAAAAAATGACCATGGCGCTTTTAGAAATGTTGTCCCTGGAATTCCCAGGTCTTAAAACTTAAATTAGAGGTGTTCGTCACTTTGCGAACACAAATTTTAAGGACTGTCCATCCTTAAAATACCTGATCGCCAACCTGCGTGCAGGGTGTTCGCAAATCTCTTCTTGAACCACCTTAATTCATTTCAATGTAGTCTTAAGTGTGTGTAAATGTATGTAAACCCCGACACACATCAAGGCTCCTTATATGTACATATGTAATACATGATGTCAAGCAGGGAGGTATGAGTTATTTGATGATCAGTGACGCCGGGACTAGGAATTGATCCTGTCCATGTCACGACCCAAGAAGCTCCCGACGTGATGAGATTTCACACTTGAGCTGCCTGTCGCAGTCTCAGTTCTGTGCCTGAGACAGAGGACATATCGTGACAGTCACGCCCTGGATGAGGTCATCCTTCCAGGCACGCAAGTGGTGAACTCTGGAGACTTGCCAAGTTTCCCCCACGAATGAGAATCAGATCCCGATCCAATTCTCTCCTCTGTTGCTGGTCTCACTTCAGCCTCCCTCTCTCACGTACGGAGCACTTCTCGCGGGTAAGAAGTCCCACTTTTTCGAACCCTCTTGACTTCGTCCCCTCCCACCCTACGGTTCAAAGGGTCTCTTACCCGTTCTCGGCGAGACTTGCCGGTATTCAGATAAGATCTGAACACCGGCTCTAGGTTCCCCCTGAAGCTCGCCATCCTCACGCTTGACTTGTTCAAGTGCAAGGCTGGCAATAGCATTATTCTACCTAGAATAAAGTCTGCCACGGTTGATTTTGTACGAAATCACTTTCAATCCCCCTACCTCCCTGCTAAGAGGTAGTAAGACATGGACATGATATGTATCAAGGGATCAAATTGGTGGTTTCTTGGTGGTTTCCCAACTCAGTATTGATTAGCAGGATGTTCAGAAAACTTAACAAAGTCCCTTGTTTTTTGAGCTGTACTGGCTGGCCTGTACAGCTCAAAAACAAGGGACTTTGTTAATTTGGCTGTTGAGGCAGTCTGACCATTGAGGAGTGCTCATATATGCTCAGTTCAACCAAAATTGTTGCTTGGTGACGCTTCAACTGAGTCAAAATGACAAAACATTGAGAAAAAAAAATTACACCAGAGGGCCCCTGACAGTGGGGGCCCCATCCACAGCCACCCTGTGAGTGATGATGAAATTAAATCAAAATGTAATGAACAGACTTGTATTGAATAATTCCTATAACATGAAATTATGGAATCCAGATTCTCATAGAAAGATGTCCTGAGTCTGTTGTTTATTAGAAAGGCTATAAGGAAAACTTTATTTCTAGAATAAACAGTGTCTGAAATGACAAATTGTTGTGATAAGAAATGAAAACCTAAACACAGACACAGACAAAAATACCAACTATATATAATGATATTGAATGACCACTGGCACCACACATAATGATAATATATCCTGCCATGATAACATTATGCATCAAACTTTCATCCCTAAACTAAAAAACACATAACTATGGTGAGATCATTGCACCTTTCTAATTTCAAATACCTTTATATCCTGTAATACAATTACTGTTGACACTCTTGAAACTAGAGTAATAGACTTGTCATTGGATGAATGTGTATAGGTTTTGATTTTTATATATGAAGTAAGAAATATTGGATCAGTGGATTCTTGTTGATGTACTTGGGGTTCAGCAGAGCAGGACCCCTTGCGGTTGCCAAAGGATCAGTTCACATAAAATATTGATGGGAATCAACTGATTTGATTTCTTCAGTCTCAGTGAAAACATATAACAAGAGATAGCAATGGCATTTGTATGATGGCACTCAGGAAGTGATTTGCTCAAGCTTACATATCTGTTATTCACATCCACATTTATATCAAAAATGGGATAAGGCAAGAGATCAAACGCATCAGATGTTTTCACACCTTGTACCATATTTACTCAAGGCTTCATAGATTGGAAGATGGTAACATTGTCTAGTGGGTGTTGAACATCATTGTGTGCATTTTCTTGACTCAGTTATAGCTTGGGGAATGGATGTGTGTGTGATTGGGATAGAGTAAACTGGCCCATGACAACCCAGCAGAACAAATCATGTATCTCCTGCCTCCCAATCAATGGACAACAAAATGGGTACACTTAACAAAGATTTGATCACTAACTCCACCATGCCATTCAAGTTGTTTTACATGCACTTTCACAAGACCCATGTTAAGCCCACTATTTCTTGTGATCACGGCATGAGTTTAACTGCCCGTTTGCCGCGCAAGCCCTACATATATAGATATCAGGAAAGCCTGGAGGAAAGCCTGGAGGAAAGCCTGGAGGAGAGCCTGATTCTTGAGCGTGGTTGACCAGATCCGATGCAATTGCTTCTTCGCTCTTGAGGCCGTGAGTCATTGAACCAAGAGCTTGATTAAATGATACAAATGCCATGAAGATGGTTGCAAGAATGCTAAGTTTCATGATGATATCTATTTGGTTGACCAAGTTTCAGATACAAAGAATTTCAAAGAAGATCTGGTTGAATAATTCAAGACTCACCAGGATTCTAAATCCACAGAATTCAAAAGATTGTGTGTTGTTTGAGGTCAGGTCAAAACTGATAGTATCTAGGCCAATCAAAAGGGCAAAGTAAGGGACCACAAAGTATGAGCTGGGTTCATGTATTTAGAAAAAAATCTCCAATTGGCTGATGAAAATTGTTGGCAAACATACCCAGGCAAGTTTTCACGCTAGGCAAACAAATCAGTAGGCTGATTGGATAGGGAACAAAGTGTCAGCAAATCAGTTGAACTTTTATATTTGTTGAAGACCAGCTGAGTTCCTGTCCGTCTGACTTTACCCAACCATTGTGCCACAGGGCATCAGGCTGTATTACCTTGCACCACCTTCTGTAGAGTTGTATCATGTTGACTTACAACATGTGAATGGTCAAGTTTCAAATTGTGGAGAATCTGGTTGTGGGTTTGGTTGAAAAGGGTCCCTGAATCTTTGGTCTCCACTTGCTTCACAATTTGGTGTAGGAAGTTCAAGTTTCCTATTGTGATAAAGCTGATTGACACATAACAAGTATGCCCTTTAATGCTTTGCCATTTGTTTTTTGCTTTCCACTCAGATTTGCATATCTCCATTGGTGTTCAGAGCCTCCCTTGACTTACATGCAATCATCATTTTCAGTGGAATGGACAGAGGGAAGCCATCACCGCTGCTGCAACAATCAAGCACTTAAGTACATGTACCGGTCAACTTGCCTGCAATCAAGAGTCTCAGGTTTTGAATGTGATAAGAGAACAACCATGTGGTATATCTGTTCACATTAAATATGTACACTTTCATTACTTGATTATCAACCTTATCCGCAACCTAACATGACCAACCCCACCACGCAGGCTGCAACACACTCTCTGCTTGTGTTGCAGCCTGTACAGGGTCAGAATAATTTCTCACAGAGACTGATCATTGCAAAGTTCAGCTTGACACGGCCATTGGGCAGACATGGTAATTGCAAATTTCCCCACCACAGCAGGAAATGGACGTACTTTTGATTGAGTTGTGGTCTGCTTGACCCTTCCCCACCATTGTGTCATGGAGCATAATACTCTATTCCCTGGCATCGCCTTATACAGAGTCCTATCATGTTGACTTTTAGCAGGTGTACAGTCATGTTTTAAATTGTGCAGAAGGTTGAAGGCTTGGTTGACAAGGGTCTCTGAATCCCTGGTCTCTTCTTAGTTCATGTCTTGTTGGTTGCAAATTGAGATTTGTCATTTGTGTTGTGATAGGCATGCCCTTTAATTATTGGCCACCTGTTTTGCGCTTCCCAATCAGATTGTGTAAATCAATTGGTGTTTGGCGTCTCCTTTGCTTTGCATACACAGTGTGATCATCAGCTGAATTTCAGGGGGAAATCCATTGCCCCCGCCACAGCAATCAAGCCGTTACAGTTTAAATTGTCTGAAATCAAGCGTATCAGGTCCTGAATGCAATAAGAGCAGGATAGTGTCATTACTATAGAGTCCAAAAGAGTACATCTAGCCTCTAACTTAACTCAGCCCCTCTGTAGTCAGAAACTTCTTCCTTGCAAGCTTGGATGTCTGGAGGGTATCAAACTTATATAAGTCCAACTTGCTTTAACCCCAACAATACAACTACCATGTACCTTGATGCGCCAGCCAGGGACTTACGTGCTATCTTAAATTTCAAGTGTGAGATCCGGGAGGGCTTCTGCTCAGAATCTGTATTTCCCCTTGCACACCAAACCTTCTTATCAAATTGTGATAAGCTGATAATGAATAAAACGTGCAGCCCTTCCATTCATAATTTGACACTCTCCACTCCCCAATGGCCCATAAACTTCTAACTATGTGGCCAAAACCCCATCTGGGGCTAACACCGGGGCCCTACATGACCAGACTGGAGGATGACTGTGGGGTTCAAAACCCCTGTATTGTCAAGCAGATTTTGGTAAGTACACAACATCTACACTCCTTGCACCGCCACCCCTCTCAAAGGACATACAGAGTTGCTGCAGTTGTGATTGAGGAGATTCTTCCTTTATATAGTCCACCAGTTTGATAATATACAGGTCAAGTCTGCCCAAACAATGCACATGAACCTCATGAAAGGAGCTCAGAGAAATATAAGTGAAGAGCTCTAACATCCTCTATTACTCCAAACTAAGCATCATGCCCTCCAATTCAAGATATCATGTTCACATGCATTTTGTTATGTCTAGTTCCTTCATAGGTCTTGGGCCCGTTGACATAATCCCTTTGACTTTTAGGGCACATCTGTTTCTTCCTCCTTGTAAAACCTGCCGGTGATTGATGATCACAACATCAAGCCATACTTGTGGTGTTCAATGATTCCTTCACTTTGTCTTGGTAACTCAAAATTGCCTACGTACATGCGGCCTTTTTTGAGACCTCACACCAACTACTTGTCAGACTTGACTGTTGATGTGACACAGAGAAAACACATACAAGGGCACAACAATTATTGCAATCAAAGTTCCCAGGCTTTTGTTGACAAAGGCTCCTAAAAGCCAACCTGGAGGACTGGTGGCAATGTTTCAAGTGAAGAGGTGCATCTGAATGAACACCATATATAGAGAAAGACTGGAACATTGATCTACACAATCAAAGAAGTTTGTGAAAATTATGAGCACTATGCACCAGTGGGACTAAGGTTTGATGAACAAAGAGCCAAAATTGAAATTGATTCTGTTCATACAAGCAGGAATCAGAACACAACAAGAAAGACAGAACCATACAGAGAAATCTATTTAATGATCAAAGTTTAACCTGTCCAAGCCACCTCAAACCCCTTTAAAAATATGCACATCCTACTCCTGTGTTCAGCACATTAACTACCAAGACAAGTTTTTCTAAAAAGCTCAGACCACCTCTTACTTCCATCACTGGCAGACAAGGGACTTGATAAGCCACAATTTGAAGCATGGAATCATCTCTGATCACAATTATAAAACAAGTCTTCTGATTTTCTTTTCTTCCTCATGATATTCCACACCTTTGCATAATATATTCCCTGAAAATACCAAAATCTAAGATTACTAATGCTCATATTCCTAAAATTTCCTTTTGTAGTCACTAAAGCTAATGAACCAGCTGACCCTCTAACAATCATCATTGAACCTAATCTCATTTTATCTTCATTTCCTTCCATTGCAAAATCTTTCAAAATCAATTCTTGAGTTGAAGGAATTGCAATTGTGATACTAGTACAATAATCTCATCTTGTTTTCAATTCAACCAAGGACTCCAAAAATTACTGTGAAAGAAAAATCAAAGAATGATGATGAGAAGATTTCAAGACTTACCTCTCAGAGGTTTTTTCAATTTAATCAAATATGATTCCTTTCCACCATTCATTTGATTCTCATGGTTATAAGACATCCCATTCCCAGACATTCCAGTAGTTCCAACCTTCATCAATGATTGCTACTTCCCACCAAAGGCACGACATGTTAAGTGACTTCTATCGTAATGGAACGGGTAAGAGACCGACTAGGTGCACATGTAATATTACATACACAGCAAGGTTGCATGAACCAAAGATACAGGGAGAGAGAAGGAGAAAATTCCTTCCTCCCCACATCATCTTTTTCCTGCACCTCAGTTGTGATAGCAGAGCAGTCAAGCTCTTCAAGTTGCTAAATAATTGAATTTCTTTAATTTTTAGCGTCAATCTTTAGCAGACACAATAAACCACCAGTACAACAATCCCCACACCTCATTCAAAAAAAAAGAAAATCTTTCTTCCTTGGATATACAACCCGGTTTAAACTTTGAATAAATCCATCAGAACCTTATAACTATCACCAGACCTTATTAATTCCCCGGCCTACCCACCCCGCAAACCACATAGAACTTAATCGTCAAATTCTAAAATGGACAGCGAATCATTTCATAAGCAAATCGACAAAAACTTGAGGAAAGAACAAGACAAAGGGAAAGGGAAGGGAGTAGAAAACCAAGAAGGAAATCAGGTTGAAGGAACGAGCAAGGTACAAGAAGAATGTGGGAGAGAAGGAGGACAAGAGGAAGGTGAAGGCAGGAAAGATGCAGGTGAAAAACCAACCAAGTCTACCAGTCAAAAACCAGAAAATCCAACAACCTGTCAATCCAAGAGAAAGAAAGTTGCCCCGAAACCGTTCCCACCACCAACACCGGCAGCTATCAGCAAAGCAAAAGCCATAGGCCAGATACACATCAAGAAGCTGAAACCAACAGAAAAGAAGACACAAGATCAACAAGACAATTCTCAAGCGAGTCAGAAGAAGAGAAAGACTGGTCCTACTCACCAACTCAACACAAACCAAGGGAGTTCTAACCAACAACCACCACCCAATCAACAAGCCCCACCGAAACCTCCACCAACGACCAACCCTCCAGCTCATCAACCTAGAAATCAAATGGTAGAAGAACAATCAGGAGATGAGTCAGAAGAAGATGGAGCACAAGAAGGCAATAACCAAGGAGGTGGTATGTGGTTAGGAGAAAGACATGATCAGAATCCTCAAATGATCGGGACTGTAGGAGGAATAGTACTAGGAGATGTCAAAGAAGGTTAGTACAAGAATTCCCATCTTACTTCCATCCAATATCCCCCCCAAATGGAACCCAAAGAAAGAAGAGCCGACTCTCCAGATCTGGGAAATCAAATTCTTCCTTAGGGAAATACCTCCCAAGGAGATGATATATCCCAATGCACTTTGCAAAAAAAAGGGGAAAGACTCAGGTCAAAAGAAAAAAAAACAGGAACTAACCTGAATGTCATTGTACAAACGTCTCCAGACAAAGCCGCAGAAACAAACCAAACAAAGGCTGAAAACCCTACGACAGATGCCGTAACCTTAAATCTAGGAGAACAAATAAATGCTGCCTTCGAGAGACATGATCGGGTTGCCTATGACAGCCTATCAGAGCAGAAAAGAGCTTGGCTCGAATTCAAGTCCAAGAGCGACAAGACGACGACATCTGATCCTGTTGCAAAAACAACCAAGTCAACAACGGAGCGGAAGTGATGAAAGTACAGAAAGGAGAGACAATAAATGATTACCTGAATGCGCTCTCACCTTACTGGGATACTGCTATGAAAGAGTTCAACTGTTACACCCCCCTTTCAATCTTTGACCCAACCTGGCTCCGCCAAGACATCTCCTTTGTGTCCAAAAAATCTTCCAAGGCAAAGACGAAAGACACTGACTCCAACACGTACAACGGATCCCCTATCGCTAACGAGTGGAGAACGACGGTGGCCCAATGGCACCGTCAGAAAGACCTCTACCTTCAATACTTAGCCAGATACAAACAAACCAAAGTCTTACCGGTCATGAAGAAGCACTTTGATAATGTCCTAGACATACAAAATGAAAACAACGGCTGCTGGGTATTAGCTTACCGCTACGGCTTGATGATGCGACAATCTTACCTTGTGTTCAAAGTTGGTGAAGACGGAACATCAATGGCCGATATTGGTGTCAGAAATCCTACAATCCTAATGAGGGCAGAACAAGACACAATCTGGTACAACAACAACATGTTCCTTGATAAGCCATACACTTTCACAGGGACCAAATGTTTTATTGATCCACTAGACAGATTGAACTGGGAAGGCAGATCAACCAGATGGGATGACCCTAGCAGAACTGATCTGAAAGAAGATAGACTGGAACCAACATGTTCAACCCAATCAGTAAGATCAGTGATGTGGTCTCAGAACAGATATGAATCACATGACAACGGCCAACGCACCACCCCCCAAGCTTACCACCATTATGCACAACCGGTGGCAAGCACCTCACTATCTTACTCCCAACAAGCTCCTAATGAGAACAGTGGTTTTCAAATCAATCCAAACTTCAAAGGAAAGAAAGAAAACTATGTTGTCAACCATAAGAAAGACAATAATAGGGGTGGGAGAGGAGGAATGAGAAGAGGTGGAGGAAGCGGAAACGGAAACTGGGGGAGGTCTCAAGGAGAAGGAGACAACAATAACCAAAGTGGTTCTAGTTCCCAAGTAAACAGACCAAACGTGAACGTTGATGCGACCCAAAAGAAGTGAGTATCACAGTCCACAATAGATAGAAATGAAATGAAATACAAGAAGTGAAATGAATAAAGCCTTGTTAAGAGGAAGTGAGAATGAAAACTGACAAACATGTCTCACCTTGCCATACAAGATCTTGCCCACTTGTAGAACAAGACAATGAGATCCCAAACTTGCTGAATGACCCACAGCCAACGCAGAGAAACAAGAGACGACCTGACCCAAGAGGGAGATGGCTGACTAAAGCCGAGTGTGAATTGAATATTGCGGAATGGGAAGAACCCATGAGAGAACTAGATCTCGAAGATGAGTGGGGAGACGTCTTAGTCAACCTTCAGGAAGGCTTTGACCAAGGAATTCCGGAACACACCATCAAAGGTTTATCCTGGTACACACCACCAAACCAAACTTCAGCCCTATTGGTTCGAGACAAGATTGAAAAGACAATCGAAAAAGAAAGAGCAGACGGAAAATTATACGGCTCATTTACTCACCAAGAAGTTTATGAACACTTCGGGTTCTTTTGCTCCAGCCCTATGGGTAGCATAACCAACAATGATGGGATGTTCTGTATGATAAATAATCTATCATTCCCAAGGCATAATGAAGACATACCGGTGAGTACAGAGTCACAGATAGGACAGAAAGGAATAGAGTGACTGACCCAAATGCTCCAAATAGTCTGTTAATTCATTTGTGCATAAGAATGAGTTTGTAACAATGTGGGACGACTTTAAGAATGAGTTCGTAACAATGTGGGACGACTTTAAGATCCTGGCAGACTTCCTACGGAAATTGGACAGGAAATGGCAGCTGGCATTATTCAATTGGCTGAAAGCCTACCAACAAATCCCCACCCATCCATCATAGTGGAGGTACCTACTCATTCTGGACTTCTATAACAGACTGTGGGTCAATACAAGAGTAGGGTTTGGGGGTGTAGAAGGATGCGGCACATTCGGACGCGCAGCGGACGCCTGGAAGGAGATAATGCAACAAGCCCTAGGCATCCCCAAGATTTTCCGCTGGGTGGACGATAACCTCATCTTGAGGGAAGCTGAATCAAACATCACAATGGAGTCAGTGTTGCACCTGAGTGCCGGCATGGGAGTGAAATCAAATCTCACCAAGTACTCAGACTTTGCCAATGAACAAAGATACCTTGGTTTTATATGGAACGGAAGGGAGAAGACTGTCAGACTTCCGCTAGAGAAATTAGAAACAAGAATCAAACAAGTCAAAGCCTTACTAGACGGTGAGAGATGGAAAAAGAAGCCAGTAGAGAAACCTGTAGGGCAATTATGCCACATCACCTACATCATGCCTAACATGAAATGTTATATGAAAGAATTACATGGGTGGAAAGGAGCCTGGTGTGACGGTGAAGCAAGAAGAGGAATATCAGAAGCAGTAAGAGACAACTTGGAAGAGTGGTTGGAAGTACTTACCAATTTTGAAAACATGAGGATTATACCCAACTTAGAACCAGAAGACGTAAAATGGGTAGGGGATGCCTCCACATCCTACGGTATAGGTGTCCTGATAGGATCCAACTGGGCTCGGTTCAAATTGTTACCAGGTTGGGATGACGTAGGCGACAACCAAGTGAAACAGAAGATCACATGGATCAAAACTGTAGCTGTAAGACTGGGCCTCTTAGTGTTGATGAAACTCAAAGAAACAAGCGGGAGATGTTCATTGTGTGGACAGATAACACTACCACGGAAGCAGCCATCCGAAACACCAGGTCCAAAGACCGAGCGGTCAATAACAAATGGAAACAGATTCAAAAACTTCTGACAACTCACCAATGCTCCATTAAACAAGAACAAGTTGCATCTGGAGACAACGACGCAGACTCCCTATCAAGAGGCCTAGAAACCGACCTACACAAAAACAACAAAATTAGAATCACACTCCCAACAGACCTTACCAAATTCCTCCAACAAGAATGAACAATAAGGAAAACCCTGAAAAAAAGGAGCTCGACCTGAACAAAATTAACAACCTCCTCAGTAACAAACGAGGAATAGTAACAATGCACGAGAACCCCGTACAAAAACTGATGATACTTGGTGGGAGCTGGTCAAAAGACACACTAATGCAATACAATTCAGCATTAGCCAAATACACAACATTTGGGAAAGAAAACGGCAAACAAAGACATCATATCTTACCAGCAAAAGACACCCAGATATTGCAGTTCATCCAATGGGCAGCGCCAAAAGTAGAAGGCGAACTGAAAACAAATCACGAGATCAAACCATCTACAATTGAAGCCTATTTATCCGGACTGAAGGCCTGGCACCTGTTCCACCATCTTTGATTCCCGGACATAGAACCTAAAGAGATCAATCTAGCACTGAAAGCAGCAAAGCTACTAGACGCCAAGTCAAAGACCAGACCACAGAAACGCCCAGTCCAGATCAAACACCTAGCAAGTCTGTTGAGAAACCTACAACAAAACAACAAAGCAACAGAACTATCAGTCACAATAGCACTGGTTGCATTCTGGGGGATGGCAAGATGAGGGGAACTCACCTCATTAAAGGAATCGAGAACCATCTTAATCAATGACGTGAAGATCTCACCAGACAAACAAATCATGTTGATAGCTCTCAGGGGAACCAAAACAGCACGACCCGGAGAAGTCCAATTCTTGACATTACGAAGACATGCGTCGCTCTTAGACACAGTAAGCGCAGTAGAACGCTTACTAAAGAAGCACTTCGATAACGGATCGTGCGACGACAGCCCGCTCTTTGCTCATAGCCAAAAAGACGGGAACGGAGGCTTCCGACTAACAAAGGATGGAGTAATGTCATTATTAAAGAGGTCATGGGCGAAAGATGGATTTGAGAAACTTACCGGACACTCGTTCCGAGTGGGTGGAGCATCATTCCTCTGGAACGAAGGAGTCCCACTGAATCAAATTATCACCAGAGGCAGATGGAAGTTGAGAGCATACAAACAATATTTGAGGAAGTTGGATGACAAAGGACTGGAAGAAGATAGAGAGTGGTTGAGGAAGATGGAAATCAAATGAGAAGAGGATTCAAATAAAACCTATTGAGAATTAGTTTATAGATGCGCAAAGAACTCAAGTCTTGAGAGACACAACGCATAAACTTAAATGCCCAAATTGAACAAGGGAAAGCCATACTACATTCTGAGTTTGCCCATCAATTACAGACCCAATTGAGTTATACAGGGGGAGATCTGCAGGCAAACACCAAGCAGAAGCCTTGTGACACCTGAGTCAACCCGTGATGCGGTCACAATCCAGTGCCTTTTGGCTTGCCTGACCCCCGGACCAACGGATAAAAACTAAAATCCGGGCCTCGGAGGAATACTCGGTCAGATTTTCAGGGAGAATCCTAGCGTCCGACATCCGATCCGGCGGATAGCTGGATATCCGGTAAATTTTTGCAAATTCTGGAAGTTTGGCTCAAACCTTCCAGAATTTTCCTTTTTTTTTCTATTGCCTCGCCAGATTCGACCTCATTCGACCTCAATGCATATCAAAACTTGAAGATCACCGCTCAACAACCATATATAAACCTTATCTTTGCTGTTTAATCATCTCTATATTGATCTTACACAATGTCTGAAGCCACAAACAGTGTTTCCGCCTCCGGAGCAACAGCGTTGACTACTGGTAAAGAGTCTCAAGCGCAGGACTCCGATATCACTGAGACTTCTACCACCGTTTGGCAAACAAGCCATGTGTGGACCTATTTCAAAAAGGTACCCAACAAGCCAATCAACAAGTGTTTCTTCATCATGAAGAACGGACAACCATGTGGTAAAGAAATGTCTCGTGATAAGAAGTCAAGTACTAAATCAATGAGCAACCATCTTGAAACTCAGCATGGTGTTTGTGAAGGCAATCTTTTAAATCAATATGACATTGCTCAATCTTTCAAGAAGATTAAAACAACTCACCCGGTAAGTCTTGATCTTATTGATTTTACCTCTAGTTCCTTTCCAAGCCACAAGATACCTCACGATGATTTTTTACGTTTAATAACGGTCTCAATTCTCACTCCCTCAAAAGTGCACTGACACACTTCATCGCGGAATGCGACCTTCCTTTCTCAGTCATGGAACAACAATCTTTTCGAGACCTGCTCAAATTAACCAACCCAAAAGTCGTGGGTATGCTTGTCAAACGCCACGCCATTGCTCAGCACATGCGCCAAACTTACTATCACTATGAAGATTATGTCAAGGAGTTCTACCTCGGTCCTTGCAAAGCTATTGCAATAACTCAAGGCGCTTGGACGTCTCCAAACAACGCCTCGTTCATGTCTCTTACCGGTCACTTTATCACTAAGGACTGGGAGCTTGTGGATGTGACACTCGGCATAGCTGAAATCAAAGGTGAGTCTTTTTATACTTCATTTTCATTCATTACAATATCTAATTTTCAAAAAGTTCCTTTCATTCCTTATCGTCTAGGTGCGCACGATGCGACCAATTTGGGAGCAATCATCATAGATTATTTAAAAAAAAATCAACCTCACTTGCAAATTGTGTGCAATGACAGCAGATAATGTCAGTACAAATGCGGCGATTGGTCGTGTCATTTTATTATCAGAAGAAATCAATTTCGATTATAACACCCAAGTTCATGGGTGCGTGGCCCATGTAATCAATCTCCCTGCCAAAGATGGCCTCAAAGTGTTTGGGGAAGTGCTTGACAACGACAACAAAGATGCTCAACTCACCTCAAACATACACAACCTTATTGACCCACCCGATTCCAGTCAAGTCAATCTTAAGACTATCTACCACCGATGCCATTGCCTAGTCAAGTGTACCCGGTCCAGCCCTCAGCGTGGCCAATCCTTTGCCGCCATTGTCAAAGCGAGGCAACAACTTGCAAATTCTTCAAACCCAGGCGCCACCAATTCTGCGAATTCAAATGACCCCGCATCTCCCAATTCAGATGACCTCGATCCTGCCACTTCAAATGCTGTCAATTACTTAATGGAAGACCAATCTATTGATGAAGACATGCCTATGCCCAAGTCACGTTCTAGTACTGCCAATCGACTTGTAGCAGATGTCCCAACAAGATGGAATTCATCTTATCACATGTTTCAAAGACTCCTTCTTCTACAGAAGGCGTGTGACAATTTTTGTAGCGCTCAAGACTTCAAGAAGTACGCGCTCTTACCTCTCAAGTGGGATTATGTTAAACAAATGTGCAAATTTCTTGAACCGTTCACCGAGGCAACTGAAATACTTTGAAAATCAAAGTACCCGACCATGCACCAAGTGGTGCCGATCTACATTGTAGTGATACAAGGGCTGAAATCGGTAAGAATGTTTTTTTACTCACTATATCTGATCTTTACTGACATGATTTCAATCTTAGGTGGCTCAGCGATACGATCACAATCAACTTATTCCGTCCTTGAAGCTCATGATAAAGAAACTTGAAGATTACTTCAAGAAAGTCCTAGCAAAACCTGCACCAATCTGTGCCACAATTCTTGATCCGCGCCACAAGCTGGCATATTTTGAAGTGAGTTTGAAGATTTCACTCACTATCATTGCTACCATACTAATCTTTTGTTTCAACATGACAAAAAAAGCAAAATGTGATGATCTTTGCCAACTACGACATGTACCCATCAAACATTAGGTTAATGTTCGAACAAGAGGCCAGGAAGTTTGAAGTTGAATGCCCAACCCCCACTGCAACTACCACCAAAAAACAGAAACCAACCACTTCTAATTCACAGTACTTTGAAGACGCTATCTTTGGCAACCAAGACTTTGTTGCGGAACAATCAATTGACACCAAGCTACACCAATACCTTGGCAAAAATCTCGAAAGGTACAACAAGATTGTGTTAGAATTTTGGAAAGAGCGCATCAACATCTATCCGGGTTTGGCCAACATGGCTATGAGTCTTTTGGCTATCCCTGCAACTAGCTGTCCATAGGAGGGGGTGTTTACCAAGGCTAAAAGAATCTTGGCACCCCAGCGAGTTAGTCTTGTTCCTCGACATGTTGAGGGAGCTTTATGTTTGAAAGACTGGTACCAAGTCTTTGGTCCATTGTATATGGAAGAGCGTGTTGGGACTCCTACCCCTGCTGCAGTCATAATTGACTAGTTTCTTTAATAGTTTTCTTTTATTTTTTCCTTCTTTATTTTTTCTTTCTTTCTCTGATGTCTCTGAAATGCAAACCAAATACACTCTTTGCACGCCTCATACATCACTTTATCCGTTGGATATCCAACATAACATCACTTTTGCCTAATCCACATCCGACCCCCGAACTGGCCGGATTGTCCAACTATTGGGGGTCTCCAAGCGTCTAACCAACCCCCGGACCCGTCAGATCCCCCGTCAGATCCCAGGGTCGGATCCCAGGTTGACACCTGAGAGAGTAGGCCTAGTGAGCTCGGGGCTCTCCAATGCCCCAAGGCAAGGTAGGCTAGGACTAATCTCTCTGGTATCATGTCTCAGGCACTTTACGTAGTTTAGATCACGGATCGGACCCCGGGTCAGACCATGTAGGGCCTCTAAAGTAGGCCCTGAGGTGAACCCGGACCCTTTTGCGCTTGAGACAACACCCCCACACTATTCTCAACTTGGGAAATCCTAGGTTAGGTAGCATAAGGCTGAGAACATGATATGTATAGTAGATACTTGTACACTAGACATATCAGTAATGAAGAGCATGTATGCCTAGCCCTTACCCACAGAGTAGAGATAGAAGGCAATTCAACTAAAGCTTGATTTAATGAATCTACAATTCAATCCCAAAATCAAATCATTGAACAAAATGACTTCTCCTCCAAAATACAATCACAGCTTGAAAGAAATTGATACCGGATGTGATCTTATGCAACTTACATATCTGTTGTTCACATCCACATTCAAATCAAAAGCGGGATAAGGCAAGAGATCAAAGTCATTGACATGTTTTCACACCTTGTGTCATATTTACTCAAGACTTCATAGACTGGACGATGGTAACATTGTCTAGTGGGTGTTGAGCATCATTGTGTGCATTTGCTTGACTCAGTTATAGCTTGGGGAATGGATGTGTGTGTGATTGGGATAGAGTAAACTGGCCCATGACAACCCAGCAGAACGAATCATGTATCTCCTGCCTCCCAAACAATGGACAACAAAATGGGTACACTTAACAAAGATTTGATCACTAACTCCACCATGCCATTCAAGTTGTTTTACATGCACTTTCACAAGACCCATGTTAAGCCCACTATTTCTTGTGTTCAGGGCATTTGTAAGGTCCCCCCCTATCTGCACAAGCGGTACATATCCAGATATCAGGAATGCCTGGAGGACCACCTGATTCATGAGCGTGGTTGACCAAATCTGATGCAATTGCTTCTTCGCTCTTGAGGCTGTGAGTCATTGAACCAAGAGCTTGATTGAATGATACAAATGCCATGAAGATGGTTGCAAGAATGCTAAGTTTCATGATGATATCTATTTGGTTGACCAAGTTTCAGATACAAAGAATTTCAAAGAAGATCTGGTTGAATAATTCAAGACTCACCAGGATTCTAAATCCACAGGATTCAAAAGATTGTGTGTTGTTTGAGGTCAGGTCAAACTGATAGTATCTAGATCAATGAAAAGGGTAAAGCAAAGGACCATAAAGTATGAGCAGGTTTCAGAAAAAATCTACAATTGGCTGATGAGAATTGTTGGGAAACATACCCAGGCAAGTGTTCACGTTAGGCAAACAACTCAGTGGGCTGATTGGATAGGGAGCAAATTACCAGGAAATTAGTTGACCTTTTATATTTGATGAAGACCAGCTGAGTTGCTGTCTGTCTGACTTTCCCCAACCATCATTCCATAGAGCATAATGCTATATTACCTTGCACCCCCTTCTGAAGAGTTGTATCACATTGAATTACCACATGTGAATGGTCAAGTTTCAAATTGTGGAGAAGCTGGTTGACAAGTGTCCCCAAATGTTTGGTCTCCGCTTGCTTCACATTTTGGTGGAAACAGATTAAGTTGATCATTGCTGCATACCAAGTACTCCCTTTGATGCTTTGCCATCTGTTTTTTTGCTTTCCACTCAGATTGAATATATCAATTGATGTTTTGAGCCTCCTTTGATTTATATGAATTCATCATTTTCAATGGAATTGTCAGAGGAAAGCCATCACTGTTGCTACGTCAATCAAGCACTTAAGCACATGTACCAGGCAACCTGTCTGCAATCATGAGTGTCAGGTTTTGAATGTGATAAGAGAACAACCTTGTGGTATATTGGTTAGCAATCAATAAATTTGTAGCCTTCACCCAATTATCAAACTTATCCGCAACCTTACATGATCAACCCTGCCGCGCAGACTGCAACACACACTCTCCGCTTGTGTCATGGCCAGTAGTGGGTCAGAACAATTTCTCACAGAGACTGATTTCAAAGTTTAACTTGACACAGCCATTGGGCGGATGTGGTGATTGCAAATTACCCCACCGCAGCAGGCAATGTACATACTTTTGATTGAGTCATGGTCCGTTTGACCCTTCCCCACCATTATGTCATGGAGCATAATACTGTATTCCCTTGCATCACTTTGTGCAGAGTCCTATCATGTTGACTTTTAACATTTGAACAGTCAAGTTTCAAATTGTGGACAACCTGGTTGCGGGATTGGTTGAGAAGGGTCCCTGAATCTTTGGTCTCCGCTTACTTCATGTCTTGATGGTTGCAGATTCAGATTTGTCATTTGTGTTATGATAGGCATGCCCTTTGATGGTTGGCCACCTGTTTTTCAATTCTTGATCAGATTGTGTAAATCAATTGGTGTTTGGAGTCTCCTTTGCTTTGCATACACATTGTGAATCTGATTATCAGTTGATTTCAAGAGGAAAGCCATTGTCTCTGCCACAGCAATCAAGAAGTTTCATAATATATGGGTTGAATTGTCTGCAATCAAAAGTATCAGGTCCTGAATGCAATAAGACCAGGGCATTGTGTCATTACAATAGAGTCCGAAAGAGTGCATCCATTCTTGATCAATAGGTACACAACCTCTGTGTGATAATCAACCTTGTTGGAAAAATTGTGGGACCATCCCCGCCGCACAGGCTGAGAAACACCCTCTTCTTGCATCAAGACTCATTGAATTTGCAGAGGTCAGCTTGATCTCCAAAGGCGGACATGTTAGCATTGGAACAGGGGTTTACTCAGTCCTCAACTTTCTGATCATTCAACTTCAAATCCTTTTAAAAAAGCAAATCCAAATGGTGCCATTTACTTCAGCCAGATGTGAGGCTCAGTTTCAAAATCCAATCCATCAATTCCACAACAAAAAAACAACCATTTCTTTTTAAAAATTAAATAAAGGTTGTATAAGAATGTTTTTGATGAACTGATCAATCAAATAAAATTTGATGAGATTTTTCAAGACCTCAGAAAACCAAGTAGCCAAACAGCTGTTTGGTCAGTCAAATGAGAGATCAATCCAATTGACTCATCAACCTCACCTCCTATCTCTATTCAAAAACCATCTCCTCAATTCAAAGAATTCATCATTATCAGATTGTATATCATATCCTCATCAATTTCATCCCAGTTGATCATATTTATTCCAGACATTGGAATGTTTTCAATCAGGCTTAGCCAGAGCTAGAGGAGATGTAAATGACGGTGCAGTAGGTTGAGCAAAAGCACAACTTGACAACAAAAGAATTGACTAGGTCTTTATCTTTCCAACTATTGATCCTCTTTGAATCAACTTTTGATCAAATCACCATTCCAATGTGTTGATACAAAATATCATGTTTGTCAACTTTAATCTTGTTTGTATAAAGGTTTTCATCTTCAATTTACCAAGTATTATAAAAATCTAGATCTAAAGCTATACATAGGCTTACTTGTCTTTGTCTAGCTAATGAAACTGAAAATACACAGATTTCAATTGAGTTGTTCACATCAAAAATTTCAAATGACATAATTTCCATGGAATTCTTGGTAGCACAACCACTCAGAGTCATCTTCATATTTATATTCAAAGTTCATCATGGAGATTCACCAGCACTGCCAACATTTCCAGCTTGGATATCTCAATCCAAGGTACTCTCAGGTCTAAACCCTCAGACAGTTCTTGTCTGAGGATTTGATCCAAGCCATTTCATGGCACATAAGATTTGCTCAGATTGAAACCTTGGACAGGATTTATCCAATGATGCCTCAGATTTCTCAACCCAAGGCAAATATGATGGCAGTTCAGCTGAAGGAATTTTCAAAATTGTTTGCTACAGAAAATCATGTTTGAATTTCATTGAGTCATTTACCACCTTCAATTGAATGGATCCAAAAATCAAAAATCAACTTGGATTGATACATAAATGTTAACAGCTACAGGTAGAAGAGTAAAGTATTGTAGAAATACAAAAAACAAGCCAATAGTGAATTTGAGTAGATCATCACAAAGTGCGCAAGAAGAAATAGTAAACCAAGCAAAGGTTTATCTTAAAGGCTGGGTGCCCAATCTCTAGTTGATTAATAACTGAAAGTGAAACTTCTAAACTCACTCCTACTCACTCAGATCTCAAGTTTTTGAGGAGCCAAGCGCATCTTTGGGACGCTCACATTGATGGCTGTCTCGAACTAGGTTTTAGAAACATTGGACAATTGTTTTTTCTTCAAATCGAGTTTTTTAATTTTCAATTTTTACCTTATTGAATATATCCTCCTTCTGAGACTGAAAGAAACTTGACAGCATTGACTATTTAGACCTTGTCCTTCCTTCTTTTATTTTGCATTAAACACCATTTTTTGGTAACATCACGGGGAATTCAATGTAACAGATTTTGAGCCAATACAATTTACTTCTCAGATAAGGAACCGGTTTTTGGTGGTAATCCCCTTGTTTGATTTTTCGCAAAGAGCAAGGGACCTCAAGGGACTTGTTCAAGTTTGCTAAACCGGTATGTAAATCTGATGGGTGAGTGTGCTCTCTTCAAGTTTGGTCTACCGGGCCGGGCTGAGCCGGCTTCGAATCATACCGGAACCGGGTATGCCCACAGCTTTCGGGGTATGGCCTGGTCGTCGTCGGTGCATGCAGCTGCCAGCAGTTGTGCAAACTAATTTTGATCGAAGAGGACTCGCTGTTCCGTGGAGTTCTTCCCAAAGTCAACAACTCAATTCACAACAACCTCCCAAACCATTTTAACGAGCTCATCCCCAACCTACGATCTGGTCATACATATCTCCCAACCCGTTGAATGTAAACAGGAGTTGAAAGCGTTCATCACAAACTACATTCTGAGCATTATTTGAAATCCTAAAGGGGTTCAGATTTAACTTCATTCTTTGAATAGTTGCATTTTCTTTTTCTTACCGGTGATCATCCAAACCAAGAAACCAAAGCATCAAATAAAATTCAAATCTTATCATCATTCTTTGATATCTTTTTTAAAAAAAAACTTCATTAAACCAAACCCAAAAAAAATACTCTTTATCAAAAATGGATTCTTCAAATCCTAAACCGATAGATCAACCTTTAAGTCTAGGCGAAGAATTTGAAACCAAATATGGATGTCAACCATGGATTTGTCCCGAAGATCAAAGATGGTATTATGATCAAACTAAATGTCCAAATGATAAGATTTCAATCATGACTTCAGTGATTTTAAATCGTAAGAAAAACCTTTTTTTTCGAAATTCATTTCAAATCGATTCAGATTCAGATTTCTTGATTTAAATTTATCACATTCGGTTTCTTGGTTTCAATTTAAATCTTTAGCTTTTTTGGAATTAATCTCTTTACGTTCTCCGGCATCTGATCCCACTTTTGGCCGGTATGCTCAATTCTCATACTCTTTGATAAAAGACTAGAGCTTAATATCTATTTGTATGATATTTTTAGATACACACTGCCTTTCTCACCTTACGAAAAACTTATAAGAGATAATCCGAGTTATACTTGTTGGGACGCTAGAGTGTTTCTAGACCGATCTGGGAAAGCTGTAGAGGAGAAAACGAATCGATGGGTTTGGTACCAGGTGAGTGAAGTGAAACTTTTGATCCGCTTACCTTCTGTAGATCTTGATTTTCCATGGAAAAACTGACTCTGCAGACGATTTGCTCTTGATGGGTGGTTGGGTGGTTGGGTGAATAGGTTTGGTGGGACGAAGCAGCAGCCGCAAAAACAGGTGAATGAGATCTCCTTTAACCTTCAATTACTTCTCACCATCAGAATTCCTAACTCTACTTGATTTGATACATTTCTAGGAGTTAAAACGGATTTATGTTTTTGTAAGGATTTCTTGAGTCTAGAATCGAATGAAAGAATTGACCCCCAAAAAACTGATTTTGAGGACTTGATCGATTTGATTTATCTTAGGTCATGGTATTTCTGATTACGGTGGAGGATTCGCCATACATGCTAAACCGTTCTTAGATGCAGGTGTAAGGACTTCAAGATCTCTATCATGTTGTTTTCTATATATAATCTCATTGAAATCTTCATTCTTTTTTGTGTCATTTCAGTATCGTATGATCAGTCAGTATTAAGATTCTTATAACCTATCATATCGTACTTCATTTACACTCGGAGAAAGACACCATGAACTAAAATCTCCACATCGGTTTTGTCTATTCGTATCCCAGTGCCAGATTCGCCATCAGTAAGACCGATTCTCATGATTTCTAACAAACCTAGATCGTCTTTCATTCATTAACCAATCTTGATGTTCTTTAGCATGGTAGAAGTACAGGACTTCATTGTTACCTGAATGATTTGAACGATCTAGGCCATGCAGTTCAAGTGATCTTAACAGATGTCATCAAACGTGACACGGCTGTGGGTCGTGCTCAACGAAATGTGATTGTTAGTGGACAATCCATGGGTGGCTTTAGTGCTGTTTTATATGGTATATTCTATCATCATCTTTCTCTGAAATAGAATGTTTTTCTATACCGATTTCACTGATCTTGTTCTCTTTTCGGTAGCTTTGTAAGTCTCATATTTCTAAAGATAATTCTATCTTTTATGATCAAACCCAATTGAATCAACAACCAATCATCCCTGACCTAAACTCATCTCAGGCTCTATCAAACCCCAAACGTGCCCGGACGTAAAGTTCCCACAGAAGGTCTAACCCCCAAAGTCCTTGGTGTAAGTTACCCCAAACCAATCCTTAGTATTTGAAGCAAAGAAACAAACGAAAAGAAAATCACTGAATGTGATGAATGATAGATCCTACCACTTTGTCCAATGCTCGCTATTTCTCCTGAAACAAGACCTAATTTCATTATTGAAAGTTTTGCAAGATGTTTGAATTTCTTTGCTGGTAGATTACCATTAGTATCAGGATATAAAGGAAAAGCTTCGTAAGTTTTTTTTCAGATTCATGATCAGATGGATTTGGTTTTGAAAATGAAGGTTTCTTAAGATGAGCTTTAGAAGAAAGGTTTTGATTCTTTTTTTTTGCTTTGATGGTTTGCTGGTTTGATGGTTTGTGTAGTGAAGATAGATGGTGTGAAGATCGGTATAATACTGATCCTCAAGTTTGTCATTGTAGAGTTAGAGCTTCTACTGGACTTGCGATTTTAAAAGTAAGTAAATGAACCAGGTTTCCATATTTAAAGCTATGGAAACTTTTTCATATGAGTCTTAAAACTTTGTTATTGATACTTTTGGTTTGATGATTATTGCAAAACGAAAAAAGGCTCTCTTGTTTACTGATAAGTATATGGGAGAGATCACTTTACCATTTAGAGTGATGCATGGTGATTCAGATCGGGTGACGAGTGTGAATGGAAGTAAGAAATTCTTTGAGATGGCTAAAAGTGAAGATAAAGATTTGATTATTTGTCCAAGAGTAAGATTAATCTTTTTCTTTTTTTGGTGTTGATCTTGTTTTTCAAATCACTGATCATCATGGTCTTTTTCTTTTCTTTTGTTTCTTTTTTGATGAGTTTAGACTGAACATATTATGTTGAGGATCGGTAGAGATGAAGTTGATGATCAGAAACGTCAATTGATTATTTGTCAGATGTTAGAATGGATCGAAAGGATTTCTAAAAGTTATGCTTAATCAAGTTATCATTAAGGATTTGAGAAAAAAAAAGATTTCATGATCTCTAGATTTGCTTTATCAATCTTTTTGCATGCTTTGTTTGAATGGCTTGTTTATGATGTTTTTTTTGTACCGGATTTGTAGTCTGTACATCTCTTTTGTTTGAATATTTTTAGTTTGGCAAGGATTGGTTTTGGTTTGAAGAATGCCCCTTTTTGGTTTGATTTGCAAGTTGATTGATTGGGATTGAAATGAAATGATGTCATGAGTTCAAATTAAGATTGCGGATCAAGTGAGCTCAGTGGAGTGAGAGTGAGAAGTGATTGAAGTGTGAAGTTGATTGGGATCACAGTTCAGTTTGAAACACTTCTCCTATCGAGTTTAGTAATTTAAACTATCAAACACTTCTGACAATCACTGACGAACTTTGAGATGATACATATCACTTTTCTTAGTTGACTCAATCCAATCAAAGAATGAAAAACTCACTAGAATCGAATAATCAAGAAGAAGAAGCAGAAGCAGACGAATCAGAAGAAAAAGACGTTGAGAATCAGAATCAAAATCAAAATCAGAATCAGAGAGTGACTTCAACCGATAAGCTCACCACTACTCATCACCATCATCAAAGACTTTCCATTGAAAGTGAACCTGATCCAAGTCAAGAAATACTTCAAACGATCTCATCACTTCACAATTCATCTCAATCCCATTCAGAACCTTTATCTTCATCAACTTCAAATCATCAAACTATGTCCTATCATCAAGCTCACTACAATCAACTACGGAAGCATACTTCACTTCAAGCGCCTGCCACTCTCGGTCTCGGTCTAGGTCTTTTCCCTCGTAAACCAACCAGTGGCTCATCACTCGATACGTTCGTCAATCCTGATCCATACCAAGCTACACCGATCGCAGCACCTATTCTTTCTCTTGCAACTCATCCAGATATCTCAAGACCATTACCAGCAGTGCTGAGTGCAGGTCATTGTACACCTGGTCCTCATTACTCTCGTAGTCCTAGTGTTGCAAGTTTAGAGAATATCATTTCTCATGCTTCACCTTCTAAACCTTCAAGATCGAATCAAAGCACTCCAAAAGCTGAACATGAGAATGGTTCTGGACCGAACCTAACGGCTTGGTGGTCTTCTGTTGCTTCTTTATTTTCAATTGAAGGTTTTAATGATCACGAAAGCAGTCTTGAACCGAATGAAAGAACCGATAGGAATTTAACTTCAATCAATTCATCTTCATCTATTCCGCTCAGAACTCAATCTCATAAATCAGAATCAGATATAAGTGATACATCAGGTCCTTCAACCCGACGTGAAGCAAGTACAAGCAGTAAGATTTCAACAGCCAAAAGATTTTCGAATTGGTGGACTCATACCACTTCATTTCAAAGCACAGAAGAACCTATTGAAGTAAAAGAATCAAATTCACAGATTGAAGGTTTGATTAACCAAGGAATCGAAGAAAACCATCAGACAGGTTCGTTTAGGAAACCTAAACATCCTTTGGTCTTGTGCCATGGTTTGTTTGGGTTTGATTTGATTGGTCCTCAAGCTTTACCACCACTTAGGATTAGTTATTGGAGAGGTGTTAAAGAAGCTTTGGAAAAGGTTAGTATTAATTTTTCAAGAATAGACTTGATTTTTTTTTGAAAAATTTATGAATCGAAATGGGCTTTGGGTTTTTTTAGGAAGGAGTAGAAGTTTTGGTAGCTAGAGTTCCAGCTAGTGCAAGTATTGAGGTAAGTTTTTGATTTGGTTGATGTATTTTTGCTTTGGTTTTGGTTTTTCGAGGATAGAATTGGATCTAATTGAAATGATTTTTGTTAAATTTGATTTGGGATAGGAAAGAGCTAGGATATTGGCTCAGTTTATTGAAGAAAAACTTCCAGGAAGAGATGTTAATTTGATTGGACATTCTATGTAAGTATTTTTGAAGATCAATTTGAGAAAGTTAATTCCGATTTGATGAGTAAAACTGATTTTGTTTTTTTTCGTTTGGGTTTCTTTTGCTTGATGGTTTAGGGGAGGTTTGGATTCTAGGTTTTTGATCACTCATTTGAAGCCTACTTCTTTCAAGGTAGCATCTCTTACTGTTAAGTTTGATATTCCTGTTCTTCTATCATCAGTCTAGTTTTAAATGATCAAAAACTGATACGTTTTGTAAATATTCAGACAATTGCTACTCCTCATCGAGGAAGCGCATTTGCAGACTACGTAGTCTTAGACCTCCTAGGCAGTAAGTCATTTATTTCTTCTCAATATCCACTTCTTCATTCCAACTCTCAACCCAAAAATCCATGATGACGATTTGGTTTTTTTCTTCTCAACCTTAAGCCAATCATTTACCAAAGATTATGACTTTAACACAAAAGATTGGAATTCCAGGAGGAGGTAAAGCATTTGAAGAATTAACGATGAAGAAGATGGAAAGGTTTAATACCGAAACACCTGATGATCCCAACGTTTTATATTTTTCGTATGGTGCTTGTTTCGAACCTGGCTTGACTAATCTTTTTAGGATTCCTTGGGGTGTGATTTATGAACGTGAAGGTAAATCATTAAACCTTTCCTCCCTCCCCACAAAAAAAAACATGAATAAAAAGATGTGTTGATGATTTGATTTTTTGGATTTTTTTTTCTTTTTGGGGAATAGGTCCAAATGATGGAATGGTTTCGGTTTCTTCAGCTACTTGGGGTGAATATAAAGGTACATTAGAGAATGTGAACCATTTAGATTTAGTGGGTTGGACTGGAATGATTAGATATGCTTATGCTGAATGGACTGGTAAAAGGATTGGTAAGTTCTTTTTTTAGGTTCATTTGGTTTTTACTTTCTTTGTTTTTGGTTTCTTGTTGAAAAAAGTTGAAGGAATTGATGAGTTGTTTGGTTTTTTTCTTTTGGTTTATTAGAATTTCAACCTGTTTCTTTCTTTTTAGGTGTAGCTGAATCTTTGGCTGATAAAGGATTATAAAGGAAAAAAAACATCATTGGAAGTTTTCTTATTTGTGATTTTGTAAAGAAAGAAATGTTCTTGGTAAGGATTAAATAAATCTCCATTGAAGAATGGGTTTCTTTTTTTTCGGGGGGGTTTTTCTTTTCAATAATTATTTGTTGTAGCATTTAAATTGAAAGGAAAGGAAAGTTGGATCTAAGTATTTTTTGGAATGGATGTAAGACTAACTGAAGGGGATTCTTGTAAAGTTTTAATTTGATGAATATGAATTGTTTGAATTTTAAAACATTTAAGAAATCGATCGATCTAATTACACATATATATATGCATGTTGTGTTCCGTTTGTATTTTGTATTTTGAACCTTTTTTTAAGGAGGCTTATGAAATTAATCTTTGTACATGGTATGGATCTTTGAATTGTATTAATTGTTTTCAAAGATTTCTCTTGAATCGTAGTTTGAGTTTTTAGAGACGGCTCGTTGGTTGAGCGTGAGATCAGGAAGATGATCAGGAAATAGACCATGGACTCTGGAGATCCAAGAGGAGTAAATCCAGTCAACTCAAGGTGACGAGGTTTCTATGAGGATGATCTTATCTACCTTTCTATGCCTTCTCTCAAAGGTTACACTCAATATCAAATTATCCCTGCACATAGACATAAAGTCAGAGCCGGTGGAAGGTGATGAAAAAATGTAAGCCAGCTCTGTTGCCAAATTCTGAGAAGGGTGATCAACTCTGCTGTGTGGATGAGTGGAGAGGGCAACTGGCAAACATGAGTCACAACATAAAATGTTCACAGATATTTTGGACAGCTCTTTTCAAGAGATCACAGTGTTTCCCACTTTGGTGAACCAGAATGCAAGCCAAATAAAGAATCCATAACTTGATGAGATTGTCAGATTTTGTTCAGATCAATGTTATCATGATTATACAGATCAGACTGGCAGTGGCAGGATTATTGATGATCATCAGAAATTTCTTTGGCTTAATTGGGTTTTAACTTTTGAGTGATGATGGTACCACTACCACCATCAAACAGATTTTGTAAGGCTTTGTCTCCAAGGAGTTATGTCCTGGTCATTAATCCAGCCATGTTTAGCTTCACATGGGTGTTCCAACAATGTCTATGTTTGGCACCAGACCTGGAATTTTAAAAGGCCTACATACTCTATTCTATTCTAGAAGTCTATTTCTTTTGCTCTCTCAAAATTCTCCAGTATAACACAGGAAGTTGATGGCTCTTGAGAGCAGTTAAGGTTTTTTTTTGTGGACTAAAGGAGTCTGAGAAAAAGTCTCAAACTTGACAAAACCTGATCAATCATCTTCATTAGGGACATTTTTTCAAAAAGGCCAAAGCCTGACCATTTTTTCTATCAGGGACCTCCGCAGGAGTTAATTTCCAAGGTCCTCATTTTTCTTTTCCCAATTATTGCTTTCAGGATTGACTTGATCACTTCGTTTTATATTTAGACCTTTCAAAAATGGAAATCAAGATGGTTGATGTTCCCGTCCGCGCATGACTACCGAGGTAGTTGAGGTGAAGATATCTTCATATAAATCACGCTCCGGCAACTTCGCCCTTCAACAGTCTATTATAGCCAATGGTCGCATCGAATCAGCAATTCTTTACCGACGACTAATCGGCACGGCTCAAGTATCAAAATTCCAACCGAACTTTGGCCAATGTTGCTTGCACATGTAAGAGCCAGACTCCTAGCACCCCGATCGAACCCATCATTGCAATCATATGTGTTCATTTCGGCCGCGAATGACCAGCTTGAAGGTAAGTACGCACTTGTTCAGACAAATCGGATTGCATCAAGTCAATTGATTGGATTTTTCCCCGCATCATTTCACTCGGAATGAGAGTCCGAGCCGAAGTTGTTCTCGGTCTTTAGGAATCGTCAGACCGTTGCCAACACCGCCACCCAGAATGCCTTATAAGATGCAGTCGATTCAGGAACATGAGCTCCACCAATGCCATATCCCAATCCGCTTGCGTATCCATAACCCTGTTCAATACTAAAACAATCTCTCCACCTCTTTCTGACCAGCTCAGAAGCTTCTGTGAACTATCTTGGTGGAAATATCTAAATTTCTAAGAAAATATCCCTTGATCATCTAACTGCAATTTGCACGATAACAAAGTAATTAGCAAGACACTCAAACCACAAGTTGGTCAACTTTCTCTGATTAAATACTCTGATACCAGAATGTCTTCAAAAGCACAAACATGTATAAAAACCTACTCCTTCCAACTCCTACTTGCTGTACTTGTATGGCCATTTTAAAGTATTGGACTTTGTGGTTGGATTTTTGGGCAGCAAAAGATTCAGATTGATGTATGTTTCATTCTGTGCATATTGAAGAAACTCACAAAACAAAATGGTTTGAGAATCTGACATGTTTTTATCTATTAGCTGGTCAAGGATTTATACTCTGGAAATCAGTGTCTCCAGTGGCAGAAACTTTCATCAGTTACTTGGGTAGTGCTAGAAATAAACTTTCAGGTGTCTTGTCTAAAATTTAACTTTCACTAACAAATGTTCATCACTAAAAGTTTTCATATGTATTTATTTATTTATTTGTGCAACATACTTATCTTGTTCTAGTATTAGAATACTGATATCATCCACAAAAGTGTTATGGACATTTTCTTATCTGCATCTCAGATTGTAAATATCTTGTGAATTGCGCTCCTTCTATGTTGAATATAAATGGAGATGTGCACAAAATATAGCTATCCCTCTCAATGGGGCGGTTTCCAAAAGGAAAAGAAACATAATATCTACTCAAAGAGATGAAACAGTGCATTTTCTGACTCTGACTGAGACAGTATGAACACATCAAGAGCATGCAAATCTTGAACCGCAAGGACAACAACATGATCCAGATTCTACCAACAGTCCCTTTTAACGTGCTTTGTTCAAAAGAGCTTACTTGCATAGAATAGATGTGACCAGACCCACATATTGGTGTTCAATGTTTTGTATAAAACTGCTACCATGCTATCACAACCCAATGCAGCCTTGGATATAGAAGAAGTAGGCCATTGTGCACTCTATGATGAATTCTTTTGCAAAGCTTCTAAATAAAATTTCACCAAAACACCATCAAGAGTTTGTGGCCTACTTAGTACTTGGAGATCAACAAAACTTGAAGGAAATTCTCAGAAAATGTATGCCTTTCAGTGCCACTTAAAAGTAGCTAGTCGACTAGTAGGCCAAGTACCTCAGCCCAATCAGGACAAGAGCTACAAAATTATCGTCTGTGCCTTGCATCCGAGTGATTTTAAGGAGCCAGATCACTGCCAGATCACTCATGAGTAATGAGTAATCCATCTCAGTTGGCTTGAGAGTCTACTCGCTTGAAGTAGTATCCTATTGGAGTACTTTGCCTGAGTGAGTCGGGTTTGGACCCTGGCACTCGTAGTTGAGTCTGACATGAGTCTCTGTGGCTTGAGCCTTAACCTGTTGGAGCGCCACAGACCCGGTTTCTAGTAACCGAGTAGAGTAGCACTCACACCTGCATCCTTGTCTATTTCCACATCATGTGACCAATTCAATGTGGACCATAAATTTTGCTATCTTCAATCCAACCCTAAAACTCCAATTTACCGCTTAAGATGTGTAAGATGTGCAAATCTTGGATATAATTGCTGTAAGTCTGATTTTAATAATATTTTGGATTTTTCTTTAACACTGTATTTATTGACTTTACTATTTTTTCCCTTCTAGCCTATGTTGACATATTTTCACCTTCACCATCAAACTATCCTATTGAAAGCTCAAGAAATTCTGTTTACATGCCAAATAGCTTCTTAAACCCTATAAATTTTGTGTCACTACCAGAGTCAAATTCTTCTACAACTGAAACCAACTTTACTATATCAAATCCATTCTTTAGACAACTCCAAATTTATCCTGGAAGAAAGATTGTACAACTTCTCAAAACTGGAATTCATGGTGGATTTTAGATGATACCATTAGACAATTACATGATCTAGGGTTTCAAGTTCCTAATATTGTCAACAATAAGAACATGCTTTACATGAGCATGCCATTGATGAATTTATTAACAGAAGGGGTCTTGAGAATGCTCCTACTATCTGTTGATTTATAGCTTTCATCAATCACACAGAAAATGCCAACAATAATTCCAACTTTATAACTCCTGCTACCTCTTCTCTGGTTTTTCTAATCTGCCCAATAATGGTCCTCCTGCTGACATTCCTCCGGATTTCATTGATCCAGAATTATTTTCTTAAATTAGGCTTTGAAGTACCTAATATATGCTAATAATAATATGTAAGAAACTAATTGTGGATCAAGGAAATCAGGTGGACTATTGGCAGGAGGACCAGTATCTGGCCAATTGGGACCAGGAGAAGAGGTAGCAGGGATTACAAAATCAGAATTATTATTGGCATTTTCAGTGTGGGGGATAAAAGGTATAAAAGAACTTACGGTAGGAGCATTTTCAAGGCCTCTTCTGGTAATATATTCATCAATGGAGTGTTCACACAAAGAATGATAACTATTTAGGGGATACAAAGTTGAATCTAGCCATGCAGCCGGATCTTTGGCCAGATTTCATTTGGCTGTAAACTTAGATTTTCTGGCCAAAGATCTGGCCACAATATTTGAATTTACAGCCAAATGAGAGCTGGTCAAAAATCCGGTCGCGTGGCCAGATTCCACCTGTGGCACCTTAAGTACCCGGACTGAGTCCGTACATAAAGCGTGACCTAAGCTCGGAGCGTCTCCGTCTCTTTCAATGCAGATCGGCTCGCCTGGGCAGATCGATATTTGCGACCTTGAAACAGACCAAGTACAAATTAAAAAATTGTCAGACAGATTTATGCCACTAATTTCACTATAGACAATCATGTTTCAACACTCTAATTTCTCAATTTTCCGATTTTTTTCACAAGGGCCTGTCAGACTCGTCTGGAACGCTAGACGAGTCTACAGGCGCGTCTGAAGACCCAGACGAGTCTACAGACTCGTCTGAAGACCCAGACGGGTCTACAGACCTGTCTGGGTTTGTCCTGCTCATCCCCGAGCAGACACAGACTCATCTAGACTCATCTGGGTATACAGATGAGTCTGGCTCCCATCGTAAGTCCACTCAACTGGCTATTCAGCCTGTGCTTGTACATCACTCTTAGGTTCCCTCACGGACAATATTATCAACATACAAGGAGGGTCGATATTGGCCAAGGTGTTTTGTTCAAATGTATTATCACTCGGATTTCTTTGGTACTTGTGTCAAAGCGACTCATATGTATATCACTCACAAAGACAAATTGAGGAACAACAGGAAACCATTGAAGGAGATAAAAGAACAATACAAGTAGACAGACGGATCAAATTAAAACAGAGACCAACAGAGACCAACCACCTAACAATTTTAGCCATCTTCACCAAGTGGCAACTGTAGCTCCACTTCCTCCAAATCGTCTAATTGGGTGGAACAGATAGTTTGCCCCTTTACTATACCCTCCCAAACCCCACTTGCACCATGCACCATTGAAAGCCACCTTGTTTGAAGTACTTTGTCATTTTCTGAGCTGTTGACCATGTATGTAGTCGTGTCATGAAGTAAGTTTGCGGCATCGTTTCCCCACGCCATCACCAATTTTGAGTGCCTCAGACTCAACAAGTCATGCAAGGAGTTGAGAACTAGCCTACACTCATTCCAGATTGTAGCGCTCGGATCGATTTGAGGAAACAGCCACTGTGCCAATGTACACATAGTCGAATTTGAACCATCCCAAACTTAATACAGTGACAAGACTTGAATTTTAGCTCGTTGTAAACCAGCATAGTAGGCGTTGATGCACTCACCACTTTCAAACAAATTTCGTAAGTTGAGCAATTTATCATTCATATCTATTGCCCATTGTAGCATCCTGCAAACCTCTCTTGCAACTCTTCGAAGCTCCTCGTTTGCGCGCTGAAAGTTACGCCAGTCTTGGATGCCCTCTTGCGTAGTTTTATCACCAGCCCACGGTTCGTCAGGATGTTTCAGATTACCTATGATCCAATATACATCATCCATTGGTAGGGCTTGAAGTTCTTCAATTGGTGGACAAGGCTCCATGTTTGAATCAGGATACGACTCCTTGGAATAGGTTCCTAGTAGTGTAGTTACGTGGCAGTTATGTGTGGAAACTAGGCTTAACCAGCCTATGTGATGTACGTGTAGCGCTACCGCGGAGCGGTGCGCGAACAGGAATGTATTACCTTTTCTAAAATGAATGGCACCCCTGGCCCGAAGAAAAAATATTTTTCAGCGCCGCAGTCCCCGCAGCCGGTGCAGTGGACTGTGACAGACAGATGCATTCAGATCAGCTGGCTGACGCGGCCTGCTGAGCACTGCTATTGGCAACCCCTCACCGAACGTTTACTCATCTGCGATGGGCATTCAACACCCACCTCCTCAACATTTTCCCTGACGCCTCAAACTAATCGCTTCATTGATCACACGTATGTCATCCTATCAACTTTCTATCACATCTATTTCATGTTGATTTTTGACCTTTTTTCTTTTTCTTTTCTTTGACTTTGATTTTGATTTTGTCTTCTTTTTTTGACCATGTAGATCAAGCGGGACTTCCTCTCTGGGGTTGACGACATGAGATGCAATGTTGTCAAACAAAACAAATCAGACGATGATCATCATTTAGGGGATTGGGATCGGATTCATTCGTCTCATCGATTAGCTGATGATATTTCGGATTAAGCTTATGCTACTCGTCAAGAATCCTCAATTCAAAGAAATTTAATTTGGGTAGTAATAATCGAAGACATCTTTGAAATTCTCTTTTGTCTTCTTCGTTCTTTCTTCATTCATTTCAAAGAACTCTTATTTGTTGAATCAAAATCCTTTGATTTTAATTTACTGACAGATTCTTCATGCATACATATTATGGTTGTAACTTTTCTCTTTCTCTTGTCTATCTTTTTATTGTTATTATATCAATTCCTATCTGTTTTATTGATTCTGGTTCAAAAAGAACACACCGGAATAACAAAAAAAACACAGGATAAAAACCTTGGATTAATCACATCATTTTTCTGGCTTTACTTTGAAAATCTTCATAATGATCTGAAGAAATTCAGAGTTGATGTAAGATTAAAATAAGTTGAATGAAAGAATGGTGTGCAAAAGAAGAAACCTGCTTTCGCGCTTTACTTGAATACCAATCTTGAAAGAAATTCATAACACTCTTGATCAAACAAAATGATCATCATGAAAATGTGAAAACCAATTTAAATTGCAAAAAAACTCAAACTCTTCAAGAAAACAAAATAAACATTGAAAACAAAGTGATTTGACTGATGAATTTGGTTGTGTACTTTATCCATTTCCTTCTTCATAGGAATTACTTTTATGTTGAGGTATAAAATTCCAATCTTTTGGTGTAGGTCGAGATTTTCACCCAATCTTTTGAAGATCCACTTGTCAATAAGGTCTAAAAAGGAAATACCCAAAGAAGAAATTATGATGAATCAATCCAAAATTGAAAAAAACATGAATTTCAAGTTAAAGATGACTTACTTCTGATTCATCTCTTCTTTGGAATGGGTATGGTCAATCGTTTATTTTTGCTGGTAATCTTTCTTATAAACCGACTGGTACATATTGGTATTAAAACCCTAATGATTCACAAAGAAAACGTTCGGTGAGGGGTTGCCAATAGCAGTGCTCAGCAGGCCGCGTCAGCCAGCTGATCTGAATGCATCTGTCTGTCACAGTCCACTGCACCGGCTGCGGAGACTGCGGCGCTGAAAAATATTTTTTCTTCGGGCCAGGGGTGCCATTCATTTTAGAAAAGGTAATATTACGTTCTGTGAGAAACCAAACCGGGATCTGGAACAGACACTACACAAAATATAATATTTTCTGGGCAGAAAATTAAATTATTGATACAAAAAAATATTGAGAGGCCAGGAGAAGGGCAAAAAATAAATAAAAATATGCATCTTGTTCCCTGCGGTGAGAGCTTCACTCTCCATATTTTTCCATATTTTTACAGTCCGTATTGATAAGTGTACTAACAATAAACCTTCATAATCATCCAATTACAACCTGTAACAAGCACTGAAATTTGGCTCATTAGTGTTTAGAGAAACTTTTGATTTCTGAAAACACCTATAACTTTGTCAAATCTGCCTCAAAACACTCGATTTTAAGTGCATTAGAAATCTGAACTCTTCCTCTCAAACTTTCATAAGGTCAAGAACTATGTAGCTAGTATGACAATCATTCTATGGATCTGTATGTACAAATGTACAAAAAAGATTATATCTTTTTTAGCAGACCAGCATGCTGTGTGGTCCTATTATGAACTATTTGGAGGACAATTCCAGCTTACCAATGCACCCAAAATCGAGCGTTTTGGACCGGAATTGAAAAAGTTATGAGTATTTTCAGAAATCAAAAGTTTCTCTAAACACTAATGAGCCAAATCTCAGTGCTTGTTACAGGTTGTAATTGGATGATTGTGAAGGTTTATTGTTAGTACACTTATCAATACGGACTGTAAAAATATGGAAAAATATGGAGAGTGAAGCTCTCACCGCAGGGAACAAGATGCATATTTTTATTTATTTTTTGCCCTTCTCCTGGCCTCTCAATATTTTTGTGTATCAATAATTTAATTTTCTGCCCAGAAAATATTATCTTTCTTGTAGTGAGAAAATGTGAGAGAAGTAGAAATAGAGAGAAAACATCAGCCCCTATGGGGTAGGCCTGAGGCCATCACACACGTGAATACACTCCCTAAACGAAAGAGAACAACCAAACAAAACATATAGATAAAAAATAAAAACAAATTAAAAACGACCTTGTACAAATTATAAACAGCAAAAATTAAATATAGAAAGAAATCAAAAAAGAGACATAACCACAACATATTCTTAATAAAAGACCTTTTTTTTTTAAAAAAAAAACTTGGGTAGAAAGAGCTAAGAATGGTACCAAACCGGAACCGGAAAAAGAAATATAACACGCTTCTTTGACAGACATGGAAAAACAGGCATAAAAAGGAGAGGGCGGGAGGGCAATCAAAAGAAAAAAAAACAGTAGTGAAATTGAGATCTGTATCGATTGAACTATGTAGTAAGAAAAACTACTAATAGAGAGTTGATGATGGATGTAAGACGGTTTAGATGAGAAACGGATTGGAGAGAGAGAGAAGTACGTAAAGTGCGAGAACAAGACTTCTACACTGCAGTACATATCTAACCAATTGACTCGTAGTTCATTTAGACCAGGACTCGGGAATACGAGACTATCCCTGATAAATCCATCCAATTGATCGTAAATTTCATTACTGCTTCCTCTATTCGACCACAGCGTACACCGTATTCCACTCGGTTAATGGAACACCAACCACGAGTAATCGTTGATCTGTGTCTCAAAAGTTTTGTATTTTTTTTGAAACTGATCTTGTTTACCTTTCATCAAGGTTCGGTATCGCTCGTGTTTTCGGCACCCTGTAAAGGAAATAATCAGTATACATGAGACAGAATGAAAGTACGACTTGGACTGTACCTAAACCGCGCTGATCCCATTCATTCTGAACTTCAACAATACCCGCCTTAGCCTCCAAGAGCTTCATTTTAGCCAGCTGAATTCTGATCAAACCCCGTCCTTGTGGATCTGACCCAATTAAATCAATCAAAAGTCATCTCAGCATATTAGTATTGATTACATCTGTAAGGAAAACCAATTCTCACCTGTTATACCAACTTCTTCATGAAAATCTCCTGAACCAAGCCTTTGCATTGATAACTCAATCTGCTCCTCAAAAAGTACCAGTGTATCTGGTAGTCGGCGCAATGATTCTTGTTCAGCCTCGGTTCGAGAGCGACGATTTTTTGCTTGCAATAGTTTCAACTTTTTACTGAGGGTCAACAATGATGTCAGTTTTTAGTAGAATCATTGGTGGGAAGAAACTAAATACGCAGCTTACTGAGCATTAATAAATCGCTCTTCAAGATCCAATAGAGTCTCTAGCTCACTCTTTAGAAGTGCGCGATTGTCATTAGACATTGCCTCAAGCTGACAGTGGCGCTGTCGGTCCCACTGCTCAGCAAGGTATTGTTGACCTTTTCCCTGCAGTTCAAGTGTTGAGATTTTGCAAACACTGATAATACGAAGTTGTTCGGAGATTGTTAGGCAGTTGTGTGATGAGATTGCTGCTTGAAAGTAAGGTAAGTCAGAGAAGGCAGTCAGTGCGGTCAGTATTCAGTACAACAGGGATGATAAGGAACCACTCACCCGAATTTAAACGCTTCCTTTCATTAAGATGGTGACCTCGGATGGTTAAAGCTCTGATACGATGTGCCTGAGTAACATACCTGAGGCAAGCTACAAGGTCACTATAGTCTGACCAGTCCCTTTCCATACCTTCACCATCAGTAAGTCCCCATCCCATGTTTAATCGTGGATTGTATTTAAGTTGACATGACCATTGATGGACGTAGGAATGGAAAAGACTGGTTGCGAATTGCAGCTGACCATGAGCCCGAGCAGCTTCGAAAATCTCGTTCTGGATCAAAGCAGAGAGATAAAACTTGATATAATCAACGATCACATAATTCAATTTGGAGACTCTGATGCAACTCACTCAAATGATCCCTTTCTCAAAGTTACATCCAATGTCGTATAAAACACCTACACGCTTGTAGTCTTGACCCTGTACAGCCTCAGCGATCTGTTCCAATAGCCAATCGATCAACGCCATCGCATAGTAAGCTCTACAAAGATATCAAATAATCAGAACAAATCAAGATAGAAGTTGATAGTGAAAAAGAAAAGCTCACCGTTCACCGGTGTTGATGCTGATGAGGGACAGCAGATTGTCATGCCGGCATCCCATACCCATAACTCCTGTTTCAGCGGCCGCACGCCAGGTCTTCCCAGTGTGTTGGTCATTAGCAGCTTTGTGCTGCGTAGTGCAGCAATCCTAGGCAAAAGCACAAAAAAATATCAGCGGAGCAATCAAGAAATCAAAGAAGTTAGAACATGTTAAGTAGGTACTTACCAATTCGGCCTCCGCAGGGTGTGGACTACGATCCAACTTGTCAGCCCACTCATCAACTCGCTTTTGAGGTAAAAATAAATCCGTGAGAATTGCTCCGAGCTCTTCATACTCGTCGCTTGCTGATTCGTGCCTTCGCTGCTGGAAATTGGCATCGAGGCAGACATGATAATCTGCCTCGCACCCCACGAGTCGATCGGAAGCAGGCAATGGTCCAAAGCATCGTGGGCAATTGCCTGCCAAGTTGTCCAACGAATTGAGCTGGAGAGCACGTTCGATAAGCTCGTCCTGTAATCGGTTTAGTTCCCTATAGGCATCAACAGCGCATGAAAGCGTTCGACGCCACTGCCGAGGCTGAAGATAAATGATTTGAAACAGATAGTTAAGTATTACTTGATTCAAATCAACAAGATAAACAAATGACAATCAGAAAAAAGCTGACCTTGTCCGTGCCTTTGACAACTATTCGAGGGGAGAAGGCGTCTAAAAATTCATCTAAGTAATTAGCATACTTTGAGATTGGTACGCTTGATTGCTTCCATAAAGTATGGTATGACCGTAATAAGCGAACTGAATACGCTGTGACTGGATGGACTGGTGTACCGCCGATATACCCCATCTGGAGCAATCGGACTTGATCCGACTGGCAATCGCAGAATTGAATTTTCTGCTTCTCTCGCACTGGAAGTTGTGAATGCAAAGGATAAGTATCATCAATCATGTTTGGCCGATATAAATAACATAAGTACTAACTAGCAATGTCGACCATATCGACTTCGCGAGGAGGGCGGCTGGTACATCTTGCAGGATTTGAGCAAGTTGGATGCCAATCGTGGTTCCACTTTGAAAGATTTCCCCATTGAGAAGTCATTTGGCTACACTTCAGATATTCCGGCAACATGACCTTGGTGATGTGCTGCCACTGACGTTCTTCTCGTATGCGTTTTCGTTTGTAGGAAGGCATGGCAAGGTATTCTTTGAAGTTCGAAGGCGGAGGGGTTGAAGGTGGATGAATTGGTTCCCGATCGGGTAGCCACATTTCCAAACCAGGAAAGGGCCCGTCACGGTCTCCTTCCCCATCAGGAGGCCGGCCGGGAGCGGTTTCAGCGGGGCCTGGGGGTTTTGTTCGTTCAATAGCCAATTGACTGAATGACTTCTTTGCCCAAGAGGCTTCGGGTGCTTCAAATGCGGCGAGTCGTTGCTCGGATGGAGTCAACTTGGTCCGTTTCTTCTTGCTCTGGGTTCCTCGCGGGCATGGAACATCTGTACCATTTTTCGGCATGTTGATTTGTTTGAAGTGTTGATGATTAATTTCAAACGAAAAGAGATAGGTATCATGCAGAGATAATGTATATCTGCGGGTAAGATGAGTCAAGATGTTCACATTATAATTTGCTTGTACTTAAGCACTACATACGTGATCTTATTCAATGATGTGAAATGTTTGAAAATCTCAATGTCTCATCTCAGCTGATCAGTGTGATGACCTCGTGCATCAAAATTAAACCATGCACTTACTGAATGCGTGATCACATCCCACATGGTAGAATATATGTTCATTTGTTGATCAAACATATAAACAACATAAACTTTGCTACCTTTCAAGCATGTTTATGTATTGAGAATCTTGGCAATGTATATGTACAACATATCAGAGAAAATTGATCACGTACAATTTCTTCAACAAGAGCATCTGATTTTCAGTACATATATATATTGACTTGATGAAGCATAATCATCAAGGTTTTTCGAGGCTTGCAGTTTTGTGTTGAACTCTGAATTATTTAAACATGATCCGAGTCATGTTGCTAATCCAATCATGCTTGGATAGTCTCTTTCTAACGCCGGTATATGAGTAGACCTCTAGATTTGCTCATGTTTGGATAGAGTATGTGTAACGCCGGTATAAGCTTGTTGAATTCTAGATTCTCAAAGCCTGATACATATGAGTCACATTTATATTCCATTCCTCATGTCTGGATAGAGTTTGTCTAACGCCGGTATAAGTCAGAGAATGTGGTCATGCACAAATATTGCCAGTCATTCCGATGCCATCTCAAGATAACATTTTAAATGCAAAAAGCCTACGATCAAGTCAGATATTGGTGAAATGAATCCAGACTTTGTTCTCCATTGAAGTATACATCAAGGGTGAAAAAGTCAACATTCTATTCACTCAGAGTCACATATAAAGAAGAGAATGTGAGATGGATCATGGGAATGCTTGCTGAGCCGTACTAACAGAATGCAACCGTGTGGATAAAGCATTGTTGAGCTATATATGTTTTGGTTGATTTACTCTACTTACCCCATGATCACCTCAATAAAACAAACTCGTCATTCTCATTCTCATCTTGATTATGAAGGAATGATATCCTGTCAACAACAAACATTGATTGGCAAACTGGTTACAGGGGTTTTGATTGTTGTTCATGTACTGGGGTTTGGTCTACTTTGTTGACGTTACAAAGTCATCTTAGAAGTGGGATCACTCCATGTATCTATTTAAAGTACGAGAAGTCTTGTGCGTACATCAAAAATGAAGAGCTGTTTGCCAAACCTATGATTACTATTGACCTTCAACATGAGACACAGAAACCCCAAACTAAGTAGCTTCCTCCACTATGAAGCATATCGAAGTTTCTTACATTTGGCAAGTGAAAAAAATAATTAATCATGTGTGCTTCCTTCACTACGAAGTACATCGATCTTACTCATTGTAAATAAATAAACTAGAGTTTTGAGCTGGGAGACGCTATGAATTTTAATATGAGCTTTTTACAAACACACTATCATTACTTGCTTATTGACCTTCAGCATGAGTTTTTTTGACACGCACAGAACCCCAGACTGAGCATCTTCCTTCAATATAAAGCATATTGAAGTCTCTTACATTTGGTGCAAAAGGAAATCAATCTATGTGTGTGCTTCCTTCACTAGGAAACACATTGATTGAACATCATTCTACATAAACTAAATTTTGCCCTGGGAGACGTGATGAATTTCAATATCTATCAATAACACTGAAGAGTTTGACTTATTATTGGGCATTGATAGAAAAGTAACAGACTAATTAGGTTGGATCTATACAATGTATTATATCCTAATAAACCACATTTACAAACCATAAAAACACTGTTTTTTTTGGATGTTATTGGTCAGACATCATAACAAAATTAACAGGTAATTTGAGTTTGATTTAATTATTTTTAAATTTTATCGGTCAGACATCATACAAAACTTAGCGGAAAACTTAGCGGACAGTTTGAGCTGGATCCAAACAATGTAAAATAGCCTAATAAACCAAAACTACAAGAATATGTAACATAGTACTTGTATTCTGAGAGTGATGATGAAGTTTGGTATATGGTGTTATTACCATAGGTAACCAAAAGAATAGCACGAAAGGAGGTTAGTTCATTTTAAAAGAGAATGACTGAGTTGAGAGAAATCTTACCACCAGAATTACATATCAATCTTCAACCTCTTCACTGCTATCGTCATCGTCTTCTTGGTCCAATCTCTCAAAATCTTCCGTCTCATCTTTGCCCTCCTCGTCTGAGACAAATTCTTGTGATTTTACCTTCTTGTTTTTATTGGCTCGGTTATGATTTTGAGTGCGGGGGATCACCTCCAGCTCTGTCTTCTCCATGGTAAACAGTCCATTATTGATGTCTTGTTGCCAAAGCTCTCGGCCCTTGCAATTCATCTTGTTGAATCCCGCACTTAGGAGAGCAGTCGGTAAAGCGTGGCCAGGGTGCTGCACCAGCTTAATCGGAATTCCGCGGGTCTTGAAGACTTCTTGAGGATTTGGCCCACGTGGAAGACCCTGTTTAGGCTTATAGCCAAGTGTAGTTTCTTACGAGCCGAGGAAAAATCAGTTTGAGTAGCAGAATATGAAACGATCAAGTGGACTTACTCAGCATATCAAGGAGTTCATTTCCGAGGTCTATCTTGAGTCGATCACTAGGTGCCTGAGGTCGTGGTTCCTGGTTTTTCTTGCTATTTGATGAGTATCGTTCCATCCTATCTTTCGCTGATAGGCCTTGAACATATGCTGAAAAAGTACTGGCAAAGTCCGCTTCCTGTTCAACATACTCACCAGCTGCAGGATGAGAGGTGTAAAATTTTGACCACCCTAATTTTGACGCTTTTGAAGATTGATGTGCGCTGGCAACCAGAAAGTAATATGCCCAGTCATTTTTGTCAGCAGCACAGGCAATCTGTAACACAGAATAGTCAGTAATGTGATATATAGAAATCCGAATGAAGCAAGAACAATTATGACAAGAGGAAGACGTACAGTATGATGTACCTTGTTGAGTGCACGCAGAGATTTGCGTCGGTGATCAGCCTCGTCGAAAGCTTCCCCTTGCCGGGCGGTGACGCGCTCCATATCCACAAGTCTTTCAAAAATAGGCCGGTACAGGGCCTCTTCTCGATCATTCAACTTGGCGACCGCTGGGCCTTTAGAGGTTGTTGCATTGGTTTCTTCGGTTGCAAAGTCTGAGTAATCGGGTAGGCCTGCTAAAGCAAAAAAAAGGGGAGCCTCAAAAACAGCCACCTCGTTGGCATCGAGACTAGTCCAGGCGGCTCCAACAATGGCGTTACGTGTAGCTAGAGGCGGGTTTGACTTGCCCCTGTTGGGCACTGAAAATCAAGTGATTTGTCAGCTTGAAGCAGGAATGAGTCCCAGTACTGCACGAACAAAACTTACTGGAATGTTCCAGGCATAGCTTGCCATAAGCTCTCCATCGGTCGTATCCAGTTGTTGGATTATCACTAGGATTGATCAACTTACTGAAATTGAACATAACAAACAACCAAATAAAAGAAGAACGTTGGTTTACAGAATTAACTTAACAAATATGAATGATGAATGATCGACTCACAGTTCCTGCTTTGCTGTCTGTACACTTATATTTGACATCATTGCTATCATGTGGATGGACCACTCGTACTTCTTCTTCGCTAACAGCAGCTCCGTAACAGCTTCGGGGCTGGCCCGCGAGACAGTAAGATGTCGACGAGAGTGCATCAACTCCAGGCAACGTCCATTAGGCCACAAGTCTCTGAGTTCTTGATAATTCTGGTACGTTGGAAAGTCATTGGGGAGTTCCGTTTCTCGACCTTCAGTGGTTCGTGTGACAGGACGGCGGCAGGTTTTTTTAGCTGGTGGTGGCGGAGGGCCATCATTGGTATGGGGATTGGCTTCAGTGACATCGTTGAGAGCATTCACAGCCGCGTCTTCTTCCTCGATTGGACCAGAAGGTGGGGGACGGGTGAGAGTCACATTCTTACGTCCTCGTGCATTGGACCCTCTTCCTCTTGAGGCAGGAAGCCCGCGTTCAGTTGAGGCTGAGGGGGGCTGACTGCGAGATCGTGTATTCCGTGTAGCCATGGTTGAGACTACTTGAGGTGAATTTGATTCTTGAAGTGAATTTGATTCTTGAGGTGGATTTGAAAGTGAATTGTGTACGTAGTAAATGGTGCTTGTATTTGATGATCAGAGGATGGCAGTAAAATACGATACCAACCCCCAAGGACTGGTAGATCGGTACCTTACATGAGGGTGGTTGGTCTGGTTAAAATTTAGAAGTTGATTTCCTTTAACAGTGACAACTTCATGTGGATTACATACGGTAGTAAATAGGTTTGAATACAAGCCATGGGACTCAAGAGGCCTCCAGAGGCCGATTTTGATCATTGTTTGTGACTCCTACCACGTATTGGTGCATCACAATACCCAGCTGTCTGCCCCGCCCCAATCCTGATAGTTGCATCGCACGAAACTCCGAACTTGGCTTAATCACCTTTACACCTCACCTTCACCGAATCATCAACAAGCAACAAGACATTAACCTCACCGCTCTCCACTATCAAGGTATGTAAGCTTTCTCATTGAAAACTTTATAGTTTTTTTGTTCTCACTTAGCTTCATGGTCAATACTATTGCCCACCCAAATGCATTGACCTGTGATATTGTGTGGTTTCCGTTTCGTCTTTTTGTTTTTTGTTTTGTTTGTTTTTTTGTTTCTCCCGTTTTGTCTGTAGTATGTATGTATATCTGGATGTTTGATGCAATTAAAACACAGGGTACGTTTAGGCAAAAAACAAACTCGGGAGAAGTCTTGAGGTTGAGAATGAAAGCATTATATGATATTTGAGTAAGTATGTACTCAATGAGTAAGTGTGTACTCAAATGTGGGGTACCAAGTTTGGCTCAAAGCGAGCAATCAGTCAAATAGAGTCAGATGGGTGTGCACAGGTGTGGACTATATGAGTCTGGAAAGACCCTGCAGATGCAGTGAGAGCCAGACTCATCTGTATACCCAGATGAGTCTAGATGAGTCGGTCTGCTCGGGGATGAGCAGGACAAACCCAGACAGGTCTGTAGACCCGTCTGGGTCTTCAGACGAGTCTGTAGACTCGTCTGGGTCTTCAGACGCGTCTGTAGACTCGTCTAGCGTTCCAGACGAGTCTGACAGGCCCTTGTGAAAAAAATCGGAAAATTGAGAAATTAGAGTGTTGAAACATGATTGTCTATAGTGAAATTAGTGGCATAAATCTGTCTGACAATTTTTTAATTTGTACTTGGTCTGTTTCAAGGTCGCAAATATCAATCTGCCCAGGCAAGCCGATCTGCATTGAAAGAGACGGAGACGCTCCGAGCTTAGGTCACGCTTTATGTACGGACTCAGTCCGGGTACTTAAGGTGCCACAGGTGCCAGATTCAACTTTGTATCCCCTAATTATTAACAATATTAGGTACTTCAAAGCCTAAATATCAGAATTCTCTTATACAGTCTAACCCGCGCAGATGCATAACTTGGGTGGAAGGCTTTCGCTATGCATTTTGACGGGTTATGCAATTCCATTGTCAAATTTGGCAGTAAAAAATATCAAAATTTAGGATTTTTTCTATGCATTATCACGGGTTATGCAGTTGCGCGGGTATGCATTTGCGCAGGTCAGACTGTAGTATCATCCAAAATTCTCCATGAATTTGAGTTTTGAGAGGTTATGTAGTCTTGTTTCCATGGTAGATTATGGTTGTGAGTTTGAGTTGAGAAATGGTAGTGAAATTGGTTTCATTTGATGAAAAGTTTGAAATTGGTGGTCACACACCATTTATGGAATTTAAGAAGCTATTTGGCATGTCCCTCAATGGGAGAATCAAATGGTGAAGATGAAAATATATCAACACAGGCTAGAAGAAAAACAAATAAAATGAAATCACAAAAAACAGAAGGAAAAAATTAGTAAAGTGAATAAAAATAGTGTTAAAGAACAATTTAAAATCAGACTGACAGCAATTATATCGAAGATTTTTACATCTTACCAGTGGACTTGCCAAATGTGGTACTAATAGCACAACAAGGGGTATACAGTGCTTCAAAGAAACCTGCTCAGAGTGATGGGTAGAAATCGGTTAGGATTTATATTAACAGCACAATAACAAACAAACAAAATAGAGATAATAATGACCTGAGGGAATTTGCTTTATTAGCAACTAAAGAGATAACAATATCTCTATGACCGATGGTGAGCAGTGAGACAAACCTGCTCAGAGTGATGGGTAGAAATCGGTGAAGAAGAAGAGTACAGAGTAGTCGAAGTACAACACCTATTTATACCACAAGAATCACTTAGAGACGGTCAAAAGTACAACACAGCAAATGACATCATAGGATGAGTAAGAGGATGATAGCATAGATATGAGACGAATAATCACTATGAAAAGAAGAGATAAATAAGAGATTAGATAACCCAACACTACGTCTGATATCCTACTTCAATTGTTATGTCCGGGTGAAAATGAGTAGCCGTCACCATCTGGGGATTGCGAGTCCAGCGAATGAGACACCACAGATGACTCGCTTGTAGTAGTGATCGGCGACGAGTCGAAACGTTCCGTTGAATCGAATGACGATGGTCTTGGAGTCTGAGAGGACCTATGCCCAGGTCGTTTTGAGTCTCTGATAGGCGGCGTGTACGGCATCGGAGTCAAATGCTCAAGGCTGATAAAGTAGAAGGAGTAAAACGATAGAGTCGAGTGAGCAGCCCAGGTTCCGAATCTAATTCACTGGAATGGTTTCATTGCCTAGTAGAAAGATACAACAGGATGGGCACTCAGTTCCCAGTCTGGTTCACTCAGAATCAGATGATGTGGAATTCTAGAACTGGTGCCTGGAGGCTGGAGGCTGTGCCGCATACTTTCTCACGTTCTTTGCTCGCGAATCGCCACTGCTGCAGATACGTAGGCAGCAGTGCAGCACTAGGCTGCCATCAGCTGAAAAGCTCTGCCAGATCAGCAGAGCTTTCTCGCCGGTACCGATTTGATACACATGGATCAACGAGGACATCAAAGTAGGTGTTGCCGCCACCCTGTTGTCCTACGTCTTATCGCGAAAGAAATCTCCTGGAGTCGCGTAAAAGTCTGTTCGAAACTCAGCACACTGCCTGTCCAGACGCCAAAAGATCTAGGAGTTTAACTTAACAGGCACGCGGACGCGGCCGCGCCACCGGTGGGCCTCGCAAGAGGGACTTTGCTAAAGTTCATAGGAGTCAAGACAGAAGTAAGCTTAACTGATCCCCTCTCCGCGCGGCCGCGTCCGCGCTCAATGCTTCCAAATATTTTAACGCATCAATCGCAGTCATGTTTTCCTCAGGCAGTACACACAAGGCTTAGGGGTCAATTTGAACTGATCGCATAAAAATGTAGCAATTTCAGTTGGTTTCGGGCCACATGGCAGAAGCTACATTTCCTGACATCCGTCTTGCTTCACGCCGAGGTCTACTCTATTCATCCTTCAATATCATTCGATAAAGATGACAATCAGTTCATTGATCAACAGCTTCTGGCACTCTGATCAGATAATCGCTTGTCAACCGCCTTCCTACACCATAGTACTTCGCTTTCTTCCTATTTGGCTACAATGCTCTCTTTTACACCCTCAATTTGATAAATCCTCAACGATCCGCTTTGTTAGATTGTCTCTTACCCCACTGAACTTTTACTTGGCCATCACACTTGGCATTGATAATTGTTTTTTACCGCTCACAGAAAATGGAAAAAATAACCTGGCTATGGCTGTAGCAGGCTTTTACTTCGCTATGAAGGCACTCGAATGGGGACTCATAGGTGGATTTTGGAGTGGTCAGTATTGGGATATCCCTAAGGAAAAATGTTCGACAAGGCCTGCGACGAGTAGCCTGAAAAGCACTGTGACGAGCAGCCCGCGGATCCTGTTGGAGAAACACAGTTGGAAGGAGGTTGCCGCCTGGACAACGAAACAATTCTTTTCGTAGGCTTGTTTTGCTCATTCTATTATATCGGTTTCTCACATCTTTCTAATCATGTTTGTTTTTCGTACGCTCCTTAGTTTACGAGGCCTACAGTATGGCTGGGGCCCCAAAGAAACGCGGCCAGTCCTCAGTTTCCCTGCACTTCTTCGAAGAATATTTTTAGTCAATACACTTGAATCTATTTCAATGGCATATCTTATCTTGGCTCGCGATGAAGATTTCACCTGCAAAGCACTGAATTTTCTGAGCGTACCCATTACATTACCAACAACCCTCTTGATGGAAGCATTTTCAACTTTGGTTTACGCATTGTGGATGTTGACAACGATAGATGTGACATGGTCATTAGGAATCTTACTTTGTTATGGCATATATGGTCTTTCAAGATGGGTTCCGATTCCTGTGCTTATCTTGGAGCTAAGTGATCCAAACGATTGTCCGCCAATCTTCGACTCTCCATATCTGGCAACGTCTCTTACTGAACTCTGGGGAAAGAGATGGCATCAAATGTTGCGAAGGATCCTCACAATATGCGGTGGGATTCCTGCAACCAGAATGGCCAAGAAACTTGGAGGTGGAGTGAAGCTTCAGCAGGTTTGTGGGCTTCTGGGAGTGTTTGTTCTTTGTGGGCTCCTTCATGAACATGGTAAGGCCTTGCAATTTGCGTTCATTTTTTTCATCGCCCGTCCTGATGTAATGTTCGCTAATGTGATGATGTATGTATGACATACAAAAGGAATACACGCTGTTGCTCGTCAACCACATCCCTTTCCTCATATTTACTTCGTAGAGTTCCCTTCAGCCCTTTTTTACTTCGTAACACAAGCCTTCGGAATCATCTTAGAACCGTACATCATTCCATATATACCTTGGTACATCGGAGGTGGTCATTTTTGGGTTTATCTTTTTACAGCTATCACAGCAACTCCATATCGAAAACAATATGCTATGAAATTTCGGATGATAGATGATGCTTTAAAGCCAATGGAAGAATGGAATATATGGTGTTTTATAATTCCCGCATATATCATGAGATAATTTGTTTGACGTTTTCTTCTGCGTTCCTGAGGTGTGCTGGAAAATTTCGACACTGATAATTATATTCAAGGATTCTGCAATTGTGCGATAAAGCCATACCTTCTTAGTCATTTTTTTGTGAAAATTCCTCTCCATCACTTTGAATCATGTACCATTTCATAGCCTGGTCAAATTAAATGTCCTGGAACGCCTATCTTGCCAAGAAATGGGCGAGAACTAAACGGCATATGCCACATGAGGCTGGTGAATCTTCAATGGAGATAAACAGATTGGGATTTTGGCTTGCAGGTCAATTTCTTGGCGCTATTAGGGATTGGGCGAAAAGTTCGACCGAGTTGTAGCCAGCGGATCTGGCGCCATCGAAGTTGTTGGAACTTGGCTACTCATATCAAAATAGATGTCACTGATTCACCTGATTCATTTTACTGAGCTACCCGGCGGATACCTGTGACAGGAATTAAGCCAGCCAAACAAAGAGGCTTTTGAAAAGGCTGCTTGTTTGGCCGAACGAGTGTTTTTAAGCTGGTGTAGGCGAGTAGGCTCAAGAGGGATGCTGCTCTTATTGTCACGCCACACAGCTTTTTTTTCTTCCAAAAAAATGAAAAATAAAAATCGCTGGCTTTGATATCGTTTGAACAGTGGCTGATATCCAGTCATTTTTGGATTGAATTGAATTTGAACTGCAGCTTGGGACACCAACAAGCAGTGTCCGCCCAATCCCTATTACAATACACGCCGCTATGAGCCAAGCGACGAAGCTCAAACCAGCCTCATTGGCCATGCACAATTTTTTAGTACTTGCCAATGCGACCTTTGCTGGTTCCCGTATCGCTATCGGCGAGTTCTGGTCCCACTGAGAAATAGCAAGAGCCGGGGAGAATGAGATGTCGGGTAGTTGTAATGCCCGGGGCCGGTCTATTCAAGAGTCAAGTACAGTCGAACCCGCGCAATCACATAATTTGGGTGGAAGACTTTTCCTATGCATTTTGACGGGTTATGCAATCCCGTTGTCAAATTTGGCAGTAAAAAGCATCAAGATTGAGGAATTTTTCTATGCATTATCACGGGTTATGCAGCTGCGCGGGTATGCAATTGCGCGGGTTCGACTGTACCGCATGATTCACGCTGATCGAGCCTGACACTTTCTTTTTTGGTTTGCTTCTTCGTTTCTTTGCGCCTGGCGATCGAAGCCGACCACGCTTTTGCCAACTTGGACACCGCGCTTTACTCTTCATTGACTGATCGAGTGTGCAGGGGGTACCTCAGCCAAGCTGTCGAGATATCCGCGATTCCATCCATCGCCTGTTCCCCGAAAGCCGCCATTCAATGGCTTTACAACCATCCAGCTCGAATGAGTACCCGCAAATTGCTTTTGACGAGTCAGACGTCGACAACCAGCTAGTTTGGCATCAGTCTCGGCTGCAAGATCGTTTGGAGTCTCATCAAAGGCGTTCTACACACCAACTCAACAGACTCCTGGTCAACGATGAAACAACTTACAAACTCAGCGCTATCCGCCTTTCAGGCGCCAGTCTCACTCGCCCCGACTTCCTTCGCCCTATCTTCGCACCTTTGTTATCCACAAAAGAACCGCAAAAACTAGCCGATATCCTTTTGGCTACAGATCAGCTTTACTCGAGGCTCGCGGACCTCGACCTCTTTTCATCCATCAAACTGGATCTTCACCCTATGTCTGACGGTAAAAAAAACGAGCTTGAGCTCCGGATGGCGGTATCCGAACGAGGAAGATTCTTTCTTAAGACCTCCACAGACGTTGGCAGTGGCGAAGGCGCATTGACGGGCTTGGCACGTGGTCGCAATCTGTTGGGTGGCGGAGAGTTACTCGAGGGCTCCTTGAGTTTGGGAAGTCGGACCCGCGCCAGTTATCAGGTAAGGGGAGAAGTGCCGATACTGGGAGCCGGAGCAAAATTTGAAATCGCGGGATTCGGAGCTGAGCGTGATCTCAGCGCATTTGCGTCTTGTAATGAGAGTATACGCGGAATGGTGGCCAAAATTAAGGTGGGTGAGTGTACTTCATCAAAATATTGAACTAGACCAATCAAACTTACGCCTGATGTCTTTGTGTGGCACAGACTGCATCGAGGTATGGTCAGCATGAAGTATGGTATGAGTTGATAGGACGTCGGATTGGCAATCTTGCTCCAACAGCATCTACCAGGTGAAGCTCGCCTGATACTAACAGATACCGACGGTTCAAATCGCTGATTGGCCTTTGATTTCAGTATACGCGAGATTTCTGAAGCCGGGCTGAATCTAAAGTCCTCCATAGCTCATACATGGGCACTTGATACTCGCGACCATATTGCCTTTCCTACTCAAGGCTATTCGTTTCGCTTGTTGCAAGTTAGGTCTCAAATTTGCTTCACATTATCTTCACCGCTTGACCCATCAGACGCTGAGGTTTCCCCTCTATTTGGTTTCCCGCTTTCATCTACAATTTGTCTCTTGGAGGACTCATCAACAGGAATATGCTGGTTTAGGAGGCAAGGCAAATTATCTGAAGTCATCGATTGATTCAAGTATCTCACATCGGCTGTTTTCTTCAAATGCTGTATGTATGCTGTCTTCGCTTCCTTTCGAGACATTGCTCCTGTGCAGTGGCGAAGGTGTGTGAAACTGACGACTTTTTATCCAGATCCTTTCTCTGGGTCTACAGGCTGGTTGGATGCATTCGCTAGGTGGCGGACTCGTGCCATTCAGCGACCGATTTAGGCTAGGTGGCCCTACAAGTGTGCGAATGTTTAATCTTAACACTCTTGGACCCAAAGATGGCAGTTGAGTAATTTGGAGTATTTTCAATTGCACATATTGTCCATATTCTGATTTCATCGTGTTTGCATGCACATTGTGCTTCAGATGACTATCTCGGTGGTCAAATCTTCTGGGCGGGTGGGCTCAGTCTGCTAGCACCCGTGCCTGGAAAACCTACGTGGCCTCTGCGCATGCACGGCTTTGTCAACGCCGGTCGACTGACAAATACATGTAAGGCTCTTACTATTTTTCTTATCTATCTATCCCCCAATATTTCTATAAAGTCGGACTCCAACTGAGGTACGTTGACTTATAGGGAGCGATGTAGGAGGGCCATCCATATCGGTCGGATTAGGCTTAGCGGGACAGCTACAGGGGGTGAGAGTCGAAGCCAATGTAGGTGTACCGGTCAGTGTTCGTGAGGGGGATGGATCGAGAAGAGGACTACATGTTGGCCTTGGAATCGCATACCTTTCATGAGCAAACAACTATTCTTCGATGCGAACTCAATATCTTATGTGTGAGATAGCTTCTTGGACAAATGGGATTTCGAATGTTCATTTACTTGAAAATGTGTATGGATGGCAAGATCTTATATCCCCTATCAAAGCTTTTGCTTCTTAATATTTGATGTCCGTTTAAGCCTCAACAAGTAAAGGTAAACTTGATAGCTTTTACATCAGAATCCTTATGATGGTCTTGCGCTTCAAATTCAACTACCACAAGCCCCAATGGACTGGCGATGCCATTGCTCGAAAGTCAGGGCAAGTATCCAGCCAAAAGTATCCAGATCAGTCAGATTCGAAATTCCATCTTCACCGCCAATAGAATTGCCTCCAAGGTGACCAGGTGTCATTGGATGGGCGCGTAGAGCAGCAAAGAGCATGAAAAAAACCAAAAGGTTTTTGTTGGCCCATTATCACACTTGGGATTGTTTTTTCAGGCCAACCTTGCCTCATACCTTCCCAGGCAATTGTATATGTCTGCAGTGCCAACATATCATTGACAAATTATGTAGCTTGCAGCAGTATAAACCCCTGAAATTTTGGAGATCTTGGGCCCAAATTCAAGTAAACAACAAAAGATGAAGAGCATGAAAAGCATAGAACATGATAAATGGTCAGTCATGGACACCCGAAGTGATCTTGGCATAACTTGCAAAATCTTTCTATATGATCCAAAATCAAAATGTCAACAAGGTCCCTGAGATCACAAATTCCCTCTATGTCAAAACTGCCTCAAGTTGCAAGACCAGATGGACTGCATCATGTTAAATGTTGTTATTACTCACACATGGCTAACAAAACCATCACAGAACCATCATTATGAAAAACTGAATAAGATTAAGATAACCAACCATAGAATCAGATCATGAAAAACATGACTTGAAGCTTTTTGGAGTTTTAGCATAGTCCTCCATAACATCATGGTCAGATCAAGCCATGTTGTGAAAGTGGCCAAAGAGAATTTGAAGATGATGGTGATGTGTGAAGGTAGGGAAGTGAGACATATCAAGGTTTAAGAAGGTAGGGAGCCAGAGCCAAATTGACATCAAGAACTTCTTAGTGAGTGGTGTTGGCATAAGATGATTTCAGTGAGAGGTGTGCATAAGTACGGCCACAAGAATATTTGCATACTACTTGCATACATGATTTCACAAATAAAAATTAAGTGTCAGAGGAGGTGGAAAACAGTTGAAGTACAGTCACTTTTTTCTGCAAAGAATTGACACTGGCCCTTAGCCCAGGTGAGAGGTGTGAATGCCAGCCTGTGTGGAAGGACAATTGTTGCTAGAGGACAGGTCACAACATTTTGAAAGAGAGATAAAAACAAGAAGCTGGCGCAAAGCACAATGACACAGAGAGAAGGTATAGAGACATGTATCTAACTTGCTTGTGAATGCAGGGAGTACATGAAGCATAGTGAACTGAGTAAGAAGGATTGTAATTTCCAATAAACAAGAGAATGAGATCTACAGGAAGATGGAGACTACTATAAAAGAGAGCCCATCCATTCAACAAAAATTAATTATTTCAAGCTCCTGCAAGCCCCTTTGATGACACCCATCTCTGACCCCTGTTTTTACTGCATTTGCCACCACCACCATTTTGACACTAAAAGTCTTCCAAACATTTGACCACAAAGATGCACTTCTGAGATCCAACAAGCCACTATATTGAGCATGAACTTAAGTCATTCTTGACCATATCCATCCAGTCAAAGTTTACCAACATTTTCTTCCTTGAATTTTTGGCACATCTGTATGATATGTCTCCTATGTGGTGGAAGAACCTTGAAACCTGGTGGTCCTTTTCCATAGCTTTCTGGAAATTTTGTTTCATCATGCCACAAATCTATCAGAAACCAAATGAACCCTAGGGAGAATGTGTTTACCACTCTTTTTTTGCTGAAATAATTCAATGTTGCTTTCAAATCTGACCATTCATTGCTCACCCTTACCCGTCCTACAGGTGCCAGTACTATGGGATTATTGGTTTCTGAGAAATATCTGCTCCATGTAGAGAAATATTCTTTCAGGAATTCCCATCCATTGTGGGCTATAACATCCCAAGTTGAATCAAATTGCATTTCTGAGTACATCACCCTCAAAAGGCCCATAAATGCTGCAGTCAATTCATGCTGTGCAGTATAGACTGCCTTGTGGACCATATCCTTTCTGAGAACCTCAATTCTGTCAAGAAAAATCTTTGAATGATCTGCTGCATTCATTCCTGTCTTGGTGATAGATTTTATGTCATTTTGAAGGTGCAGAAAGAAGTGTATAACTTCCCCTGTTCTGAAGGCACGTGAACCTACATCCTTGAGAAACCTGACAATTTGAGCAGTGTAAATCAATCCTGTTGTTTTGCTGGCAAGATGTTTTCCCATGGCATCCTGAACATCTTTAGCCTTATCTATCTTATGGCCTTTCACACGATAAATAGTTTTCTCATCTCCTTTTTGTTTGTAGTGTATATCACATTCTTCAATGAATGACCCGTAATCTGGTACAAAAAGAGGAACAGAATCCTTGTAGCTGGTTGTAGTGGCCCATTCCTTAAGCTTTTGGTGTACAAATCTTTCTGAGATTGGTGAGTCCTTTGCCAAGTGTAAAGCATAATCAAGGGCTTTTCCAGGCTCTATGTAGTTGTTGTTTTTTCCTGATTGACTTTCAGATAATTTGGTTACATTTTCCTCTGGTAAAACACTCAACTCTTCTTGAAGATATATTTGAAGAAATTCCCACAAATCAAGAATCAAAGATTCCATCAATTCCAATTTAAGATGTCTCTGAAAAAGGATCTTGAAAGCACCCAGCACCCCCATTACAAAATCTGTGCGTATCTTCTCAATAGCCAAACACAAATCATCTATGGTTCTGAATCCATCAGACTTGAATGCATCATTTATCTTATCCTTGGATGTGAGAGAATCTTGCAAATCTTTGAAAAATCTTCCAATTTTTTCAGAAACCTTGTATCTCTTGGCTAATAACAAGTTGCATTGCCATTGCAGGATTGATTTTAATATGTTTTGATAAATATAGTTTTCACACTTTGCCTCATTTTTCCTACGTTTCATGTTCTCTCTGGACTCATATTTTGACTTGGGTTCATTTTGATAATCCAAGTTGATGAGACTATGGGATCTGTCTTTTTTCTGAGAGTTTTTTCGTACTCGCAGAGAGTTTTTAGATGGTAGCATGTGATCAATATGTTCTTGTTGATTCATCCTTTCTGATTTTTTTTCAGAAGCCTCATTTGATAGATGCCTGTGTCTTGGTGAGATATAACTCTTTTCAATGGCAAAAGAGTTTTTCTGTGCCCTAAAAGGAGGTGGAGATGGTTCCAGGGAGTCAATCAACTGTTCTTGATGGGTTCCGTCTAAATCATTCACTATTCCAACAGTTGATAGATGATCTTTGCTTGGTAAGATACTGCTACCTTGCATAATAGTTGGAGGTGTGGTCTCTTTGTCAGTTAGAGCTCCTGCTTCTTTGTTTGGAAGAATATTGTTCATCCAATTGAATTCTGGCATATGATAGTGATCTGGATAGATACCACCCAAGCCATACAGAAGACTGTGATCATCATAAACCAAATTGTCAAGAGCTTTTGCTGACTTGATTGTGTCCAGAGCCAAAAGACTATTGGGTTGTGGAGTATCAAGTTCAATGATTGGGTCTAGATCAAATATGTCTGAGAAGAATTCCCCTGTGTTCTGATCATCCAAAAAGCCTACAGAGATGACTGGGAGAACGAGAAATTGAGTCAAGCTGATCAGCAATATTGTAGATGATATCATGGGTGAAGTTGGTTCTCCTTTTTCAGATTGCAGTTCAGATAGATTGATGATATTGATTTTGAATGTCAAAACTCTGAACCACAAAGTGCTCCACTTATTTTATCTTGAACTAGAGGGATGTATGTTGATACCTCAAACCACTGTGTGGTATTATATTGAGGTCAGGTCTCATTGAGATATCCATTCCTTATTTATCCCAGTATTTACCCAGTTTCAAACCTCATACCAGAAATTATTTAGTAAATTATACCTGTGTCATACCACACCCCTTTGACTCAAACTTTGCTTCTTGTTCTGGAATACATCCCTTGTTCCAAAGTTTGATCATTGTTTCAAGATATTTTCCTCATGAACAACAGTGTCTCGTTTGCCAAACTGCATCTATTGTTCTAAGCTGTGCTTCTACTACATGCTGAAGTCTTGTGCCCTATAATTCATTTTGACCAGATCCCACATTCAACAGAGATGTTTTTTGCCACTACAAAGGGCAGATGCACAAGATGATCAATGCTTTCCAGAGTGGACCTGAGTATTTAGAAAGATGTTAAGAACTGACACTAAGAAAATAATGGATGTGGTCCTGGATTCAGTAATTTTACTCAGGACTTCCTTGTCCAAAAGCTTGGATACTGTTGATGCCAACTTGTTCCTTATGACACAGCTGATTTTCCATATGACATAACTCACAATGCAATCATCCTTGATGACTATAAGGCACACTGCACCACTTGGAAGTAAGACCATAGCATGTAGCACAGATTATCATCACTCAAGGTTTCTTGTTCTGCTGAAGCTATCCTGATTTATGTGTAGCTGAGTCCCAGGTATTCTGGGTATAGTGACAGGAAACCACACCCTACAAAAAGTTTGGAACTGCGTTTTCACATAGATTTCTGAGCTTTTGTGGGATGCCAGCAGCTTTGGTGCTATAGTCACATAAACTTCTGAATGAGGTTCTCAAAGGTAAGAATGGATCTGTGACTTGAGATGTGAGTCAGCATAAAATCCAGTTATATGATCTTTGAAGACAGTTTGTTCAGTTGACCAATATTTGGGGATTGCACATGGCAATAATTGTCTTATAAGTTCTAGCTAGACTTGTGGGATCTTTTATGCTCTGATGTCAAACCCAATTCCAACAAAATTTAAGCTAGAAGAGATTGTCCAAAGAAAGTATTGCTAGGTGATACTTGTACTAGTAGTGCTTTATACTTGGAAACTATAAATCTATTTAAGTCTTCTCCATGAGCTCAATTTATCTCATGGTTGAATCCCTCAAAACCAAAAAAAAGTTACAATTGGAGTCTTCATTAATTAAGATTAGAAAGACAAGATCTCTTTTTGTTGCTGTTTATTGGTTCTTATACATACACTCAGACTACACTTATTGTAGCAAAACCTTATACACCACAAAGGATTTACAGAGTGTTAAGGGGATAATCTACAAGTATAGCAAATGATAGAAAATTTCTTAGGACTGCCCTTTCAAAATGTATAACACAAGTTTGCTGTATGTGATTCCTGTAAAGCCCCAAAAGAGAAGAACACTTGGTTGATATTGAAAAAGAAAACTGCCTACTTCCAATATCCTCAAAGGTCAAAAGTGTTATTTGTCAATGATGAAAGATAAGATACCATCCAACTCATTGACAGTCTCATTTTCAAATACTTATACAGTTGTTATTACCAATGCCCTCTGACTGGCTACCTGTAGAAAGATTTGAGATAGTTGACCCGGTACTTTAGTATTGTTATGGTTTTTTTTTTGATCTTGTCAAATGTATTTTTTTTGCCAAATTTTGACTTACTATATTTCTAGAATTATTATCTGCTTTTCAATATCATAAACTTCCAAATGATTAGAAACAAACATGCTTCTTTTTTCTATGGTTTTTTCATGAGTATGAAAATGCTGTTTTGAAAGAAGAGAAACTCAATGAACTAATGTCTGATTTTTTAAGTTAAAATTCTGAGTCTTTGCCAAGTTATTAATTAGTTTTTCCTCATTGGTCAGCTACTCAAATATCTTACCACAAGGTCAGTCAAATGTAGAGCCAGCTTTGATCAAGAGATCAGAATCATTTGAAAGTTAAACTGAACATTGATGTTTATGATAAAGGAAAGAATGAGAACACAACAGAGGGAGACAAGCATAGGAAAAACCCCATTCTATCAAAAAATATTGAGAATCACAAGCTACTGCAAAGTTATTATCTGATCCCCATGGCACAACACTTACCCATACCACTAGTTTTAAAACACACGGCTCACATCACTGTTCATCATCACCAACAATACCACACAAAATTGATTGGCACTTCCTTGAGCATGTAATTTTCCTGGGCCATAATCATACACTCTATAGATCAAATTGCTTCTCTTTGTTCCAAGTTTGAAACCTCTGTATAATATTTTTCTAGTGTGGAGGAAGAACACCAAACCCTAAGGTTTTTTGCTACTGCTTTCTGAATTCATTCTTCCATCATACCATAGATCTACCAGAAAACAAATGACTCCTTGGCATATTGGAGATTTAGTTCATTCCTTGCTTAGATATTCTAGTTTTTCCTTTTCATACACTCTATAGATCAAATTGCTTCTCTTTGTTCCAAGTTTGAAACCTCTGTATAATATTTTTCTAGTGTGGAGGAAGAACACCAAACCCTAAGGTTTTTTGCTACTGCTTTCTGAATTCATTCTTCCATCATACCATAGATCTACCAGAAAACAAATGACTCCTTGTCATATTGGAGATTTAGTTCATTCCTTGCTTAGATATTCTAGTTTTTCCTTTGAATCAGACCATTCTTCAAGCAGTCGCAATCTTCATTGTGCTTTACGTACTCTTTGGAATCATCTGATACATGATACCTATGATCATCCCAAGTTCTTCAAACAATACAAACTCAGGCTGGGGGCGCGTCTGAAAAAACGCGCCCAAAAGACGCGCCTTGCACCCAGGCTGGGGGCGCGCTGCAGAACCTTCAAAAACTGGTAGGCGTGCCCAACAGGACCATTGTGGAATTAGCTGTTTCCTAGTAAGGGAGATTGGTTGGCAGTGATTGGTCTAGCTATAATTTGCATCATTATCAGTTTGAAGATACCAAAATCCAGCATAAAACTCAAGTTAACAGCTCATGGGAGAGGCAGAATCAAGAAGGCAATGATCAGATTTTGCCTTCAAAATTCCAAAATCCCCCCAAAAGACAATTTTTGTGGGAAAAAAGAGGTTCTTCACTGAAAAAGCAGCCTCCTGAAAAAAGGACACCCCCAGCCTGAATGAAAATCTATCTCATGTGTAACAATCAACTCTGTGAAGATCCATACCATTTGAAGAATTTTGACATTGGATATGATTGATTTGCATTATTCCACAGGACCTCTGGTAAAAAGTAAAAAGAATGAATCTGAGCTATGAAGGAGTATTGATTATGAGGCTGAGGTATATTGCCAAGTTGGCTATAGTGAGCTCGAATTACAAGTGAAATATCTTCACATTGGTCTAAGCTTAATCCATACCAAAGTAGATTTCTTGAATCTCAAGGGATGACCTCATAATAGCATGATTCCGATGTTGGGAGTTGGGTTGGGGCAAGGCCGTATTAGCGGGCTTCAAGTTGGCCAAAAAGCCAACTTAACCAAGTCCCACCTGCTTCTTGAACAGAAACCTGTGAAGAACAGATTATCAGCTTTGTTAAAAACCTAGCACACTGATTGGATGAAATGGACCATTTGAGTAAAACAAATATTGTCAAAACAATGAGATTGAGTTACATTACAACTAAAATTAAAACAACAATAAGACTTACATGATGTTACCTTTGATGTGATTTGTTTTCCTGGTATTCAGAATGTTGATCCTAGGGTGGATTTGGAAGAAGTATTTGATGAGATTTCTGCTCCACCTCCAAGTGTCAAGGTTCATAATTTGATGTAACTGATGATGGACCATCCACAACTCCACCATTCTCAAGACACAAGTGAGACCTAGTTAAGCCAGGCCTAAAATTGCCTACAAGCTTGAGTACCTTGGCCTCCCACTTCAACATTGATATTTTCTTGGAAAGAATGCCATGAGTGTGCTTCTCAGGGGGGCTTCATCAGTAGGTTTTAAAAAGATATTTGAGATATTTTTTCAACTTGAACCTCCCTATTGTTGACTCACTAAGGAAGCTTAGCTTGGGGTCTAGCCAAGGTTGAGCAGAGATATCTGAATCATCTGAAATTGAAAAGACTATGTATGAGCCTACAGGAGGGAAGAAGATCCATGAACCAAGAGACAGTTTGCACATATCTTACTCAAGTGATCATCATATTAGTGCAAAAGCTCTCCACAGCCACAAACCTCTTTCATATACAGTCAAACCCCTCTAAAGCCATACCCCTTGGGAGAAGGGGAAACCTATGGGTATAGAGGGGCTATGTCTTTCTTGAGGAACCCCTCTATAGACATACATTCATGGCTTACATTGAAAACCCTCTAAATATATGAAAATCATGGCTTTAGAGGGTGGACATTCCACAACCATAGAACATATCCCTCTAAAGACATGGAAACATGGCTTTAGAGGGTGGTCCCCCTACAGCCATAGAAAATAGGACTTTATACGGGTCTTGTTGTTGAAAAAGTCTAACTTGCTATCAAATATTTCAGTATCTGCTGTGTTAATTTTTTGTGAGAAGGATACATTTAAAATTGTAACTACATCACAAGATTTGTTTAATGTCTACTAAAGGAGAAAGTGATGGAGGGCTGAATTTTGTTGGCAAAATAGATCTTGCTGGTCAATGCGCTTTCAAGAGCAGGGAGAAGGGGGTCAACAGCTGTTGCTTTGGGCATATCAGTACTTTCAATGAATTGTATAAGCAAAGATACTGCCTTCAAAGCTTCAGAAGCTGTTGGAGGTATCCCCTTTCCTACCTCCCTATTGGCCATTTTTCTATGGCTTTACATTGAAAAGATTGGTTTTTTTTTGGATTCTGAGTATGGGTTAAGGGGTTGGACGGAACTATGGGTTTTTCACAAATTTTGGCCCCTCCCAACTTGGGAGAACCAAAAAACCATCACTATAGACGGGTTAAGGCTTTAGAGGGGTACTGCTTTAGAGGGGTTTGACAGGACCCCGGAAAGCTCCCCTTGAACCTACCGACGTGTTTGGTATGATTTGAGTGGTCAAGATTTGGTCATGTTACCGACCAAACTAATATGAAAATGGTTTGTTAGTCATTCATCTTACAGACGTGCCCGGTATGATCTTTAAAATCTCATCTTCATACCAACGTTTTTGGCACTAAATGGCACCAAAACATAGCTTTGTAGCCTGGGGCTCACTTTTGTTACTGAAATGTTACCAACCAATTTGGTATGAAAGCTCCAAAAGTCCGGGATTTTTGGGTATGAAAATCCTCAAAATCCGGGTTTTATGTCGGTTGGTTCAACAGGTATACCAGAATTCAACAACTTCCACATCCTGCCCAAAACTATTCAAATAAGTCTCAGAATCAGGCCCCAGGGCCCACCCACACTGACAGTGAGGATACAGTGACCATTCAAATAGGATCATATTTGAGAGTTTGCTCAGTCTTGCCCTTGATCATGCCCTCCGTCATCATGATCCATGGGTGGTTTCATATTTTTGATCAGCATGTCTTTAATTGCAATCTTTAACCACATTACCCAACAAAGCAAAAATCCAATCCTTCTCCATTTGCCTATTCATTTGAAGCACCGAATGTCTTAAAATCACTTTCTGATCCTATGTATAACCACAATCAATCTGTTTTTATCAATCAACATTTCATCCCCCTTCATATCTTTTTGCGAATTGCATACAAACAAACATAAACTATAAAAAACAATTTCAGAAAACTAACAGGTGTAGTAAGGAGCTAAAGCATCGAAAAAAAGAAGATAACCTAAACCACAACGTCTAACAGATTTTTTTAGTGTATTTTGTCATGTGGTGATCATCAAAAGAAACGTCAAAGAGAGATCTCACTCAGACCAAAGATAAGACAGAGAAGTAAATTATGGTTAACAGAATATCATCAGGAGTCGTTCAGAACACCAGGTATGAACCCTCGATGAGCGTTACCAGGTCCGGTACCACTTCCCACAACCCATTGTGATCTATGAGGAAGTGTATCAATTGTAAGAAGTTGAGGGTTCTTCATCTTTGATTTCTCAGTGTCCAGAGTAGTTGTTAGTAGAGTAGGAAACAGAGCTGAGGGTGACAGAGGTCCGGAGGGCTGGGTTGATTCTGAGGTTTCTCGATGATCACTCGAATTGATCTGATGAAAGATGATCGATTTTAGCTTGACGGTGACGCTCCAGACAATGAGAAAGAAAAAACCTACATAAGCATCTAAATCAAGTGCAAGCATCCCACGCTCCTCTTCATCAATCTTTCCATCTCGTCCAGTTGAACGATATCGTAGAGCAACTAGACCCGATACACTTCTTTTGCGACCCATCGCTTTCCTCGGTGGTCCAGGTTCACTTCGAGCTCCCGATCCAAATGAAGTGGCTGTAGGCCCAGGTGTCGTACAGGCTGCAAGTCTTGCGTCCGCCTTCTTTTTCTTTGATTGACGTTGTGTAGTAAGTGAGGTAGTAGATGTAACACAAGGGGTAGAGTGAGGTGGAAGTGAGCAATCGGAATCGAGGAGTGAAAGGTCTTTAAGTTGTAAATCCTCGACTTCTTCGTTTTCACTATCGTCTGAGAACCCGTCATCATCTACATCATCATCCCCTGTCATCGAATCAGAAGAAGAGGAGGAAGAAGTCGAATCGGGAGATTTAGAGGGCGTTAGAGGATGTAGACCAGGGCGATGGGTTTGATCGATGGGAGTTAGTGCTTGATCATGTTGAGAGGATTCTTCCTCACCGGCCTCAGCTAGATTGCGGTCTTGATCCCCCATAGGCACCAACGTCAGGGAGTTCTCTTTGGGTGTGATTGATTCATCAGTTCTTGTCGTTAGTTCGAGTTCGAAATGTGGCTTGACTTCCTCAAGGTGGACGTCCTGATTTGGGGCTGTACACATAGAGATGACGGGAGCTTGCATCGAGGAAGATGGCACTGAAGAGGGTTGAGAATCAAGGCCGGTTGGAACAGGTGAAGGTGAGGAAGGTAATTCTGTGGTGTGAGGGTCAACGTCCATATTGAGTTGTTTGGAAAGTGGTCTTGAAAGATGTGAACCGGTTTTTGAAAGTTAGAGAGCGTAAGGGAAGTAACAGTGATGATGTTGATGTGTGCTTCAGTTAGATTAGTCTTTCATTCAAGGTTGATTTGATCGTTCAGTGGTTGAGTAGGTTTGGCTTGATCGATCAGTGGTTGCGAGTTGCTCAAGCCTAAAGGGAAGCGAAAGTCGAAACAAGCCAAGCTGAGTTTGTATAAAGTGAGAGTATGATGAAAATTTGGCGAAAACCCTGAGGAAATTAGAAAATTAAAAAACTCAACTACAAATCGAATTCATATTGGAATTTGGGAGTTTGGTTCCCTTGAAGACAATCAACTAAATCGGTCAAGTCCGAGACTGATCAAGTCCACATCCAAATCATTCATCGTAAATCTCCTCAGGCTCAACCCTGTGCGTTCCTGTGCCGTCATGGGGACTCAGCTTTTCAAAATTCACATCAACTTGAACACAACGAACGTTCTCATCACTCACAAGATAGGCCACCAGTTTGGCGTTGTTGATCGTCCACAGTTTGGTAGATGACTTGCCGCCATCCTTCATTTTGGTTCTATGTAGTCCGCCAAGACAGATGATAATAATATACTGATGAAGTATGATGAAGCCATAAAGGGGATAAAGTGTGGAAAACGAGAGGCGTATGTATGCGGGGTAGAAGCGGCGACGCACCCACTTACCAAACCATCAACCTTGGGATCGTGATAATTCACAAAGCCTGGTTGCAGAAGATATTTTGAAGACAAAACAGAATGAACCATCATGAAAAAGCTTACCAAAGTAAGTAATAAGCAAGTAGAGGTTCTGGTGTCAGTGTGAGTTTGGTTCCAATTCGGAAGCAAACGTACCAGATCACACTCGTTTGAGTCTATAAAGCGCAGTCTGGCATGTATTTTTGATTGACTTTCAAAAGCCAAGGCAAAACTTGACAGAAAGTCTCACGTTGTGGGAAGACGAGCAGGTCCATGGGGGCAGGGTCATGATCTGAACGAGAAAACTTGATCCTGCGCAGCTTTGCATGTGAGAGCTCAGAGCACTTGAGCAAGACTCAGAGTCAGCACCTACAGGCTACGGCTACATAAAGCCTGATTTGTGCTTATTCGTGCATTTCGATGATGATGGAAATTTATCTCGAGTTGAACTTTTGTTCCGTCCAGCAGACCACCTCTTGGGACACTTCTTGGGGATGAAAAAACTCTGGAGTCTGATGATGAACATCTTCAATTGTAGGCTTTGTTGAGTGAAAAAGAAGCAAGTAAAAAGGTTCACCAGACGCTTGGATTCTTGGAACAAGACAATACCAACTTGATTGAGCAAATATGGATGCTGAGCAGAAGAAGTAAGTTCAGAGGTTTTCATTCTGATCCAGAAATCCTTCGAACATGACTAGTTGTTGGTATCTCGATATTAACGGATGGGAATGTGAATGGTGATTCGGGCTTTTGAACATGTGTGTAAACTTTACTAACGGGTCGGACCTTGGTTTATATCTTGCAGATCTGCAGCTGTGATGTCATGCTGTTTACCACCTTTCTGAATCTCATTTAAAATTCATTCCCATAGCGTTCACTATCGATTTCTTTCAAAATCTCTAGCTATCTCTTTCTCTAGTGTTACTTTTTTACTCGTTATAAACTCCAAGAGCATCATTTCAAGTATTAGTCTTTGAAAATAATTCCAAAAACTGTTTTCTTTAAAAATTTCGTGTCTTAAAAACCGTTCAAAAGTCATCAATGAGCGATGTCAGTTTTAATTTCGAAGCTGCTACTTTGGTTACCAAGAAGTTGGCAACCTTGTCCGCTGAATATGAAGCGGCAGGTGGCTCCAACAACAAACCTATGTCCTGGGTCCGATCTCAATATTCAGAGATTGTTCCTTACTCGTCCAGGAACTGGCATAAACAATGGTCAAAATTTGCCACTGGTCTTATCGAACTGGACAGGGCGGCTAATAGACCAATTCATAAAAACGAGGGTCCTATCCCTACCGGTCCAGTTGTTTCCGAAGATGATCAAGTTTATGTGTTTGACATCAACAATAATCCGTCCTATCCACCCGATCCTCCTAAATCTCCTCGCCGTTCACCGTCCAAGAGTATCCAAGGCAATAAAGAGGTTCAAATTCTTACGCAAGAGCAGATCAACAATGCACAGAAGGCAAGGGATATGCTCGATCGTCAAAATAATAGACAGCGTTCCAGATCGTTCTCCCCTTTTGTTGCTAGAAATGATAAGGAGAAGGGTAAAAATGCTTCGAAATCCAATATTGAATCTGACGAGGATGAGTCCGAGATCAAAAAGAACAAGATGCAAAAAAGCTGGGAATTTATTGAAAGAGTGGATATGGGGCCTTCGGCCTCTGAGAACATCTCTGATTCCGCACGTGTTTTTGCTAAAGCAATTAGAGGTTATGCTCCTAACATTGCAAAAGCTGTCGAATCGTTCAATGATCTGGTTAAACCAGCAAACTTTCCAGCAAATTTATCAAAAGAACTTTTACAAGGGAAATTCATCAATCTTAGAAGAATCAAGGGTGAATACATGGCTGAGAAGAAAGGTATTTCAACGAATCTCATGGTGGCTGGAAAAGATAAAGACGTCGAAATTCAAAACAAAAAAGTTTCGAATAAATTGGACGATATCCAAGATTGGTTCTATTATTTCGACATTCTCCAACAGGCTTACCAAGAAGCTTTTCCTCAAGGTTTCAGATATTTCCTTCAATATGCTACATGGATCAAAGAGGAGTTTATGTCTTATGGTCAAAAAGCGGATTGGACATGTGTTGCCAATTTTGATGCCGCACTTAGGGGCCAGTTTGCTATTTGACGTGATATCTCGTTTGCAGATTGGAATCACCAAAGCCTGGCAACAATTAGAACAAGATATATGTCTAAAGCTTTCGACAAAAAGCCACCGATGGCATCTTCAAGTAGCCGGCAATTTTCTCAACCTCAACGCCAACGTTCTAATCAAATGCATCAACAATTTCAACAGAAACCTCGGGAATCTCCCCTTCATTACAAATCTTCTTATAAACATAAAGGATTGTTTGAGGTGGAAGATGGAGATGGGTTGGATGACCGCGAACAATTTTGCTTTGCTCATAACTTGGGGCACTGCAAGCTTGGGAAACCTGCCTGCCCGCGCATCCACCGCTGTGTTGGTATTTTGCTTTTTTATCCTTTTTTGTAAGACAGGCGATTATTTGTTCCTAATTGTCTGACATATGAGTGTTTCTCTTTCAGAACGTCAAAAGATGTCGAAAAGACCACAAAGGATGTGACCATGTCTGAGGACATGGTCCATCAAGAACTGTGTGTCTATGATCCTGTTGACAGATGGCCGATGAATTCAAATGTCACGTCCGAACAGCTTTCAGTGGATACGGGAATGATCTCTCAGAAATTTCTTCAAGGCTATTCTTGGGACGGTATTAATCCTCTAGGGTATTCGCCAGCAATCAATTCAAGTTTTTATGCCTTGCCTTTTCCGGACGCTCCACCGTTGTCAGAAGACATCCACGCGGATTTTGCCATTCAACAATATCCGGATTTATTTAAGATCGTCACTCCAATCAAGGTAGACAAGTTTGAAACATTGCTGATTAATCATCCAAATCGTCCATTTGTGGAGTCAGTAATGAAAGGTCTGCGGAAAGGTTTTTGGCCAAACTCGTCTTTACCTGATGGAAGAATTGTAGATGGACCAAATCAGATTTCCTCGGATAATCAAGAATTGTTAGAATCTCAATGTCAAGAGGAGATTGATAAGGGAAGATATTCAAAAGAGTTCACGACATTATTAGAAGGTATGAAAGTGATTCCCTTATTGATGGTTTCGAAAAAAGATTCAACCAAGATGTGAGTCTGTACAAATATGAGCGCCGGTCGACCGTCTCCGAATGATCTTGTCAAAAAAGAAGATATTCCGGTTGCATATGATTCACTGAAGACTTGGATTCCTTTCTTGATAGAAATGAAGAAACAATTTGGTGAAGTTACATTGTTTAAATCAGATATTGAAACAGCATTTCGAACGATTCCTCTACACACTCAATATCAGATGCGTCAGATCCTGAGAATTAAGGGAAATAAGAAAAGAGTGGATTACGACATGACATTCGGTCATTCAGCTTCGCCTCACATATGGTGTGGGGTGTTTTCTTTAGTCTTGTGGATTGCTGAATTTGTTTTTGACATCAAGTACATGAATAACATGATGGACGATGTGTGGTGTGTGTGTTCGGCAAAACATTTCTTCACCTTCAAAGATCATCGGATTCCGCTTCAACAGGCAAAATTGTTAAACTTATTCGACATCTTAGGTTTTCCTTGGGTATGGAAAAAACAGCTTCATGGACCGGTATTGGAAATAATAGGTCACATCATTGATTCTCAAAAAATGATTATGTGCTTACATCCGGACAAGAAATTGCTTTTAGTCAAAACTTTAGAAGATTTTGTTTCGAAACCAAAACACTCTTTGAACGATTGGCAATCTCTCTTAGGTCATGCATCCTGGGCATGTACCTCAATGCCTTGGGGGAGATTTGCTTTGCAAAGCCTGTATGAAAAATCAGGAAATAAGGATCATCGTTTTCTTCAAATTCCGTTGAATAAAGAAAATCAGAATGACTTACGTTGGTTGACTGAGTTTTTCAGGAACAGCAGTGGGATTCGAATGTTGGAAGCGTCTCATTGGGGTTTAGCTGACGCTGACTCAGAATTTTTTACGGACGCGTGCATGACCGGTGTGGGTATTTGGGAACCAGCCACAAAATTGGGCAAATATTTCGTTTTACCCCCTCCTCCTCGTAATATCTTTTGGGCGGAGTTGTTAGGTGTTATTTCGGCAATTGATTTAGGAATTAACAATGGCTCAAAGAAGATTTTCATTCACTCGGACAACAGGAACGTGGTTGACTTATTCAGCTCACATGCGCCGAACAAGATTGTGAGACCTCTGTTTCGTCATGGCGTTAAACGATTGGTGGAAGCAAAGGTGGACGTAAAAGTTATGCGTGTTGCAGGAGATTTAAATTCAGAAGCAGATTATTTGTCTCGTCAGGACACAATC